TTACTGACAGTATGCTGATATGTGGAGAGCAGACCATGGCATGTGACGGTTTCTGATTTATAGTAGTCGGGTGGAAATGGTTTCGTGGTAAAAAGATGTGACGAAAAAAGGCTGGTTTTGGTGTGTGGCTTGGCGCTCATTTTGTAAGTTTTCTGTCGGTAGCCGGGTGCTGTTTTGATTAGGTGTGTTTATAGAAGGGTCTTTTGGCTGAAGTGTTTATAGGGGGCATTTAGATTGTGTATGTTTGCATGATGAGTTTGAGCAATCGAATATCTTCCCGGCGTCGGAATTCTATTTTCGGTGTTATGGTTTGTCTAGGTCTGGTTATAGGTGGCTGTGTAACTTTACTTTTACCGTATAGTTCAAAGGTGTTGATAGTCGCGTGTGAGCGCTCTTTTGTAATACGTTTTACTGTACAGACTTATTTAGTCAAGCTTAAGACACTCTCTGCGTCGGATAAAACGCCAAGAAAAAGCATTTACGCAACTTTAAACCGCGCACTTTACAGTCAACTAAAGCTTAAGTAGTACTCCTAGATCTGAGCATGGCAAAGGTTAGTGTGAAAGTGGCAGGCTGACCGTGTGGTTCCTCGTATGCGATTGAGCTGGTCGTACTCTCAAAATATTCGACGTTCAATTGTATACACGATGATATATAATAGATACGATGAATTTGAGACATTAATTCGCCTGAGTAATATAATATGTATCCGGAAGAGGTGTAAAATTTGATGGTTTGCTAGTAAGTTTTTAATTTGAAATTTATGTCATAGGCGTTGAGGAACCGAGTCCCAAGTTATATTTTTGCATATTGAGATATTCCCTGTCTGGTGAGCACTAGATTCGGTATCCTGCTTTCGTTAGCTTGATAGAAAATGACTAATTAGGTGTTCCGTACCATAACATCAGCGAACACTTATCGGTATATAATGATATCACCTCGCTTTTTTGACAAAACATTAGCTTAAACTATCTGGATGTATCTTTAGTAGAGAAAAAAATTCTTTTCCATGTGATGCTTGAGTGTGAGTGATTTGCTTAATTTTTTTTTGAAATAGGATAAATCTCCGGATGGTCTGAACATGTAAATCGAAAAGGGTAAAAAACCAGTGATGGGGCTTTTTCGGAAATCAGAAATGAAATGGTAAAATAGATAGACACATTTCTCCTTGACGAGTAACCGTGAGAGAATTTCAAGGGCTATGATTTTACATAGTGAGCTTTAACATGACTGAACAAATTGATTTATTATTAGCGAAAAGCTATCATTTAAGCGATCAGTAGAATAAGTGAAATGATCAGTACATTATTTGTTGTGGTCAGCTATTAATATACTACGATTTCTTGGTATGTTAAAAAATCGGTAAATTAGATTAAAGGATTAATATAAAAATTGAAAAGTGTTATAAGGAGATTTACTTTTTTTCATGAGTGTTCTTTTGGTCTATATATCGTACAGCTGATAAGTACGGCATATGTAAATGTACTCTTAGCTTCTTTCTTTCACATTCAGCTTAGTATCAACGAGTAAAACAGATGGAAGTCGTACAAGTTGTTCAATATGAAAGTGATATATCAGACAAAGTGGTTCTGGAAGGAAATGATGGAATAAATGGAAATCAAAGAATTCCAGAAAATGGTGTAGGAGTAGTGTAGGTGAACAGAGCAATCACACCGACACCCGAATTTCTATGTTTTACTGATCAATTTTATCTTTTTTACTGGTAATTATATATAATAAACTGACCACTTTAAGATTAATTACTGATCATTTTAGTACTGATCATCCATATTCTTTTTTACTGATCATTTCATTTATTTTACTGATCAAATATAATGTTCGCTTAACGAAATACCATTTGTTAAGTAACGTTTTTAAGGTTTTTGAAACCGATCATATTTTTTTTCTGTTGAATTAGTGTCTCAAATTTTCTTATTATAGTTTATACACCATTTTGCAGAGAATTGAATGTGGAAGATTTTGAGGGTTGAACCGGCTCGATCGAGTATGAGGAGAAATTCTGAAAATACTGACAGTATAATTATCTATGGCCTACCTGTTAGATGGAAAGCGGTACTCATGTAAAACTGAGCTGTTTGCAAGTATTCTCATGTTGAACTGGACATGGATTCAGCAGTCTTATCAGAAGTTTTGGTGGCCAGTATACAATGAATCTAAACGACCTGTTTGAGAACTCCTGCTCAATTAAACGATTTTGAATGCTATTGTTGGGGAAATCGTACACAAATCTTGTTGCTTTGGATTTCTGCAGCAGTCAGAGTATTTACTTTTGAAAAGTATTCGCGCATGAATGCATTCGTATCAGAAAATATTTGATAATATCATGGAATTATATTATCAAATATTTTTAATGTCAGAATCAGCAAAATCGTTGATAAAATGTCAAACTTTCATGTGTCATTTATGAGTGAAGTCAGTGCGTTAGGATAAAACAAAAAGCTCTTTTAGAATTGTGAGTCTTTCAGGAATTTTTTTGTTTTCACCAGCCACTTAAGAAAGATACTATCTCTCTATGATAAATAGCGTCATCTAAGTTCGTACAAATTTGTTTTAAAATAAACACAGTATTCCTATAGTCGATTACGATTTTTTCCCGTGGTTTCTATACGTTTTTCTAAACCCACACAAGTGAAGTTCAGATGTTCAATGCAGCGATGATGGCAACAACCGCAAACGAGAAAAGTACTACTGATAAACTGAGATAAAAGTATCGAGCTATAATTGATAGCATCTTTTCTTCAGATCATCAAAAAACACATAAAGTTTTCTTACCAATAATATGTCAAAAAGATAAAGTTATGTTTAATTGAATTCATTCTCATCAATAAGTCGTTAAATTTCGCTAATTATTTCACGGCGATGAATTTAACTATGTCTATTTCAGCAGGATATACAATTTGTACTAAACACTTCAGTTTAACCTCGTTTTGTTGAGAATTCTCAGATACCAAGGCAACGACAGAAAGTAACATATGAGATAGTCTTACGACTACATCAAAAATGCCAATCAACAGTTAAGTCTATCCCTAGAGGAATCCTTCCGATAATCGGATCCGATCCAATTCGACAGCAATCCAGTACGAATTCATGTTTATTTCTCGATGAATTCCTGTAGGGATCTGCGAGAATCTATATCAAGGCTCTGACTGACTTCTAATGTTAGATTCATTCACCTGGGACCTACATATTGTTGATATGATTCTCAATTTTTCGGAAAATTGGTTCGAACTCTGCGCTGCATTTCATGTGCTGCTAAAACTCGAATGTCATCCAGCTTAATTGTTGAAGACTTCAATAACTACATTCAAGCATCTATCATTCTTATAGTAGTACAAAAGTTCACAAAGAATTTAACTTTAGAATCTTTGAATAGAAATTTCTGGGAAAAAAATGATTACTTTTATTTGAATTAATCATCATCTATCGTGCATCGAATTACATTTTTGGAAACTATCCCGAAACAAAACAAAAGAAGTTATTTAGCCAATTTATTTAATTAGATAAGTTTTCTAATTTTTGCTTCAATCAGCACTGCTTAGACTGTATCAGGTCTCTGCAAAATAGGGTGTCTGATGGCGATATCTTTGATCTAGATACAAAAATACTTCGCATGCTTCAAAGATAATGTTTGCATATAAAATACCAAAAAAAGCAGGTGTTTTTGTTTGCATAAGATTTTCTTGTCGTAAAAAACAGTTGATTTAGTAAAGATTTACTTTTGTTGTCATTCTAGGCATTTAAAAAATAAATTCTATTCCAAAATCCGGGTAGATGCGTAACATAAAATTTACATTTATTTTACAAAGATAACTTTCTCTGATTGCAACTAATCATTATCATCCTGGAAAACTCTTGTTTGGAATAAAACTCTCGATAGACATGTGTGAAGAGGCTTGCATTTTGCTCACTTAATTTCGAGAACAACTTTACCTACCAATAATGACATAACATAGGAATGTATCGAATCTACTTGTAATAAGAGAATTGAATTTGACAGGATTTGTTGAATAATGTGAACAGAACTTAAAATGTTTCATCTAATCTATAAATTTTTCTGAATATTACACGAAATCTGGTATCACTATTAGATAGAGAAAACAAAAATGGCCAAAAATGGCACAAAGATTTGATCCTTTCATTTAAGCCCTCCCCCCCCCCTCACAATCGATTTGCCACTTAGAACGATCCGTTTGGGCTGAAAGTTACAGAAGTGATTGGTCATAGTGAGAAACCCTTGTGGTAAAAATTTCAGCCCTGCATATCTTACTAAACTAGACTTACGACTTGTTTTATAGGTTCCACAAGAATCGAAATAACTTCATAACCATAAGAACTATCGAGGTCGGATCGATTTTAAATTAAAGCTAGCCTCCATATGCAACTTTTCATCGAACAGGATTTTGAGATTCGCTTCTACTCATTTTTTATAAATATTTCATTCAGTATGACTCTAAAATTAGGTACAAAAAATGCAGTAAATCGAACGTTTCTCAGCCCAGGAGTCTAGTATGAAAAATCCGTTCGATGAAAAGTTAAGTCTCGTTGAGACCTTTAAAATAAAATAAAAACATCTGGCGAAGCTTGAGCGAAGCAGGAGTTATTTCAGCTTTACTGTTTGAAAACCATGTTTTGAGAAAAACACTAAACAAGTTTTAGAAATTATTTTTTTCATGTATAACTTTAAAAACTGATTTTAAATGGAATATTTCCAACGTATCGTGCTATACCTCATAGAGAGTGCTACAAATGAAGTCAACTAATGCCATCTACTATCGTCAAGTGCTATTGCTCTTTTATTTCTCGAGTAAGACATGTATTGGATACACATCGGTTTTGAGGTAAATTTAACAAAATATTGAAGTTATCTCGATAACACTCAGTAGCAAGACACATCGGGTTATATGCTGCACATCTCACACTCTCTCGTTGGCATAGCATTATGAATTCTTTATTTTTAGATTTATTACCTTAAATCTTCAATGATACGTTCTTCGGCTTTAAAAAAAGAGAAACAGCTCCGACTGGCTCGAAATACTTCCAAATCACGAAAAATCATTAACATTGCTAGAAAAAATACACGTGAACTACAAAATTATTTTATTTCTAATAAAAGTCAGTCAACTAGCAATGAGAAATTCACGTATAAAACACGTACATTTACTGATCCATCGTGTCAGAAACTAACAGATTTTCTTAAACAAAAAGGTACAGATTATAATAATAATACACAGGATTATTATCAAATAATTCACAACTCATTTTTGTTGCAACTAATGAAACAAAAAGTCTGTGCTTCGTGCAAGTTAATATGGAATGGTGATATGTCTGTTGCAAAGCGAGAAGGTACAATTTTTACTAATTTCTCTCTAGCAAAAATGAATAATTACATTTATATTACAGGATTATATTGCTCATTGGTGTTTACATGTTGCTGCTCTCATGAGATTAAAATTAATATATCTAAACAATGTCTGAATACTTCTAAAAGAGATATCAATGTTAGGAGTGTAATCGGTAAGTTTATCCTCAAAAATTTAGTAATCGATAATTTTATCTAATATTTAGGTGCGAATTTTGCCGGTATTAGTCATCAAGGCCTCGTCAAGCTCTGTGCTATATTGAACGTACCACTTCCCATTGATGAAGATCATTTTTCTGATACCCTCGATTATTTACTTCCAACATTTGAATCATACAAGCTTCGGTCAATGAAAAATGCTGTCGAAGAAGCTTGCAAGAAATCAAATGGACGTAAAATTACTGTTAGTGGCGATGGTACTTGGCAAAAGCGTGGCTTTTCAATTTTACATGGAGTCCTAGAAGTTTTGTCTAATGGACCTACTGCAAAAGTACACATTTGATAAAAATATTTCCAGATACGATGAATAATTTTAATATTTGCTACAATGCATTATGTCGTGCATTTGATAAAGAAAATGTGATAGTATCACCTGGTCTAGTCGAAATTCTGAAGCCTCACAATTCAGTGTATTCATCTGTGATTCATACGAATACAAATGATGCTCAAGCGGAGTGCAGTACTTCAACAAGTAGCGAAGATGCTAGTGGAGATGAATCCGACAGCTCAGATAACATCGATTCGAGCAATATAAATGAAGCAAAACCCAAGCGCCGTAAAAAAAAGACGAGGCTACTAAGTGTGTAGTTCTTATTTGCCAATGTTCCTATGAAAACTCTAAATCCTAGAAAAGTGGATATTGATTGAATTTTTTGGACGTTCTTGAAGTAATAAATATTTTTGCTTAAAAACATTTTTTTACCACGACAAAATCTTTAACAAGGTTATTATTATCATTAGCAATAACAGCAAATGCAAATCTACTCAATCTACCATTATCAGAATTAGCACTGACAATTAAACCAAATCCACTCGACTTACCTCATGATCAAAAACAGTGACAAAAAATTGATTACAAGCTAAATCAACTCATCTTCGGTATTCGACAACAAAAATTAAAAACAAAAAAGAAAGAAATCTACGAGCTACCCCCATTAATCAAACAACTTATTAGATGTTTATATCCATCAGACATCGATGGCAACAACTGTTCACAAAACCCGGCCATTGTATTCACTCTTCGAACATTCATTGAACTATTTCGCGTGTAATTTTTGTGTTTCAGCTCTTTTCGTTTTTCATCTGTTATTAGCATTCCTCGACAACACAGGGTTTCTATAAAGTAACTTCACGACATTTCTTGTACGTTAAACTAATGAGTCATCTTGAGAGATATAGTGAACTCGATTTTCTCAAAAATATGTAGGTTTTCGCAAAGTATATATAAACTAAATCTGTCATATGAGCGCAAACATAATGTAATCATGATCTTAAGTGTTACTAGGCGTGTCTTGGTTGATGTAGGGGTATTTTGTTCAAACTAGCAGCCTATGAATCGATGAAAACGGAAAAAAACGAAAAATGTCGTCAAAAATGCGAAAATATCGAAAATTTTGACAGTAGAGTGAGAGTATTTCTTCCATAACTCTGTCAAAACTTAACCGTTTTTCAAAAACCAATATATATTCTGAAAGAGGAGATCACGGGGCATCTTCCTATGATAAAAACTCAATTTCGTTTTTTTTTTCGAAAAATCGGTTTTTCTGAGGGGGGAGGGGCTTAAATCGTGAGCAGCTAGAACCATAAATCTTTTGGTTTTCCTGTGTTTTGTAATTACACAATACATTTATAACTTTGCATAATTTTTCATTTTCTTCTTTTCTATATCTTTGCAAACACTGTAAATAGTTTTGTCTGGTGTATTCAATATTTCAAACGATAAACATTGATTCTCTTAATAGATTATGAAAACAATTTCTCAATTTCATAACGGAAGGCATAGCATTGTAAACAGTAGAAGACACTTAAACCTTGTTGATACGTTCTGAGCAAGTTTTTTTTAGCGCAGGTTCAGGCATACTTGAATAATACACAAACATTATGTTCAGAGTGTGTACATAGTCGCTGTTAACTTTTTGTTTATGAGTGTCGGCTTAGGATTAGTAATATGGGCAGCTAATACGCATTCTACAAACACTAAAGACAGATAGTGTAAGCTGAAACAAAGGGTTGCAAGAATAAAGATTGAAGTGCTTCATCTATCTACGATGAGTATTCTCATTTTCTCTAAATACATCGTTATTTTGGTTATTACTAATAAATATAGATGTTTAATATTCACAAAGGACTACATAATTTTATCCAAAAGGCTGTTCAATTAAACCAAACTTTAGTATACTGATCATATGCAGACGAGTCTCTTGTATCCTTTCGTTTTTAACGTGACTACATCATATCAATCCCTGGTTATCTCATTTACCAAAGTAGTATTCATAGGGATGACCACTTTAAATTCAAATTTATAATTTGTTTTTTTAAGAAGTAGCAGATTCTTATAGGTTTTGATTTTATTGTTAATACTTCAAGTCCAATACTAATATGTTTCTTATTTTCTAGATTTAAAGCTAGCCAATCGCCTACGAATTGCGCTAAAAAATATATATTTATGAGTATCCTAATATTTGAAAGAAGAAAGATGACGCATCATCCATAAATTCTAAAGAGATGTTGACTGTTATGAACACATATTAACCTAAAATACTAGATTCTCTTCATATGCATTATAATATTGTTACATTCATGTATTTCCACCAGAGACTCGATACTGAGTACAATTACTCAGTATTTTCGTACTTTTTACTTAAAAATCGTAAGTAAAAAGTATACTTTAGAAGTACAAGTAAATTTACTTGCACTTCTCGAATGTACTTAAGTACCGATACTTAGTACAAATTTACTTAAGTACAAGCACCAAGTACTGATTTATCGATGATCATATAAATGTTTCAAATGTACTTGGTAATTCTACTTAAGTACATTTGTACTTAAGTACCGGTACTCAGTACAAATGTACTTAAGGAATTGTACTTGAGTAAAAGCCCAAAGCACAATTAGTAAGTAACAAGTATTTTCCCTTGTACTTGCTGTACTTGTACTTGTCCAGTCTCTGATTTCCACGATAGCGATGATTAGCTCCCGTCCAAGCAGCTTATTCAATTAAAAAAAGTTAATAGTGAATCAAAACCTCTAAGTAGGTATTAACTAATCCTCATACTCAGTCAAACTTTCTCTGCCAGAATTCTTTCACCCCGTAATTAGAGTATATCACATCCACTTCAGTTTTCGATATCATAACTATTTCGGCACGAGACGAAATGTTATACTAATATGGCTGCTTTGCTTATAATACCTCAGATGGAATCGCCATATTAATACTTAACCAAGTAACAAACATTCAATAGCAATGTGAGATGAGCCCTTATGTATCGCATTCGAGCTCAAAGTAAGCCAAGTAAGTTTTAATAACGACTAGCTAATATTTTACAGAAATATTAGCTTTCATTGCTCAGCAATATTCTTTCTGTAACATCGATTCATCACAATCTCACTGACACTTACTAGATGAGGCATCTTTCACTGTGGTAATCATTTGAGATACTGCATGTCCAGCTCCTGTCGTTGCTCTGGTAATTGTACTAGGTGAATGCTTCCTTGATTCATGAGAGTGTTTGGGAGAGTGACTTAATTTTAATTCATGTTCACCAGATTCATTGCTTCCATAAGAACCTTCGAATAAAAGATAATAAAGTAAAATTGAGTATGGAAATCGATGTAACTACACTCATATCTCTTCGCTATTCCATCTATAGCATGTACTGGAAAATTATTCATAAAATCAATTGCTGATTATTATAAACGTTATGTCGGTCAAACAAATGGCGAACCGAGAAATATTATGCACATAAGTTACTTATCAATATGTTTTGTACGGCGGTCAAGGATGGAAAATTTGTTTGCTCTGTTTTCATACTTCTTTCTGATTCTGACTGTGACTATACGCATGAACACATAGCAATACAGAAATACAGGAAATAAGCTTTTCCCTTTTGTGGATATTACCTTAGGTATTAGTTGCAGTTTACGAAAGAAAAAGTCTAATAAGAGAGCTTTCTCAGAGTATCAGTGATACTCATCTTCGTAAAAGTATTTTTATGAAAATATAACATCTGCTTAGACGTGTTCTTATGAATTTACTAATAGAATTGCAATCGAGATAGATGGAATGTATAGATCTGCCTCTGTTTTGTACAATTGGTAATACATAAATCAAAAGAAGTTTTTGCGAAAATTAGGTAACCGAAGTGAATTTTATTAGCTGTTACGTGACTGATGCGACTGAAATCGAGTGATGATGACATACAATGCATCACAATACAATAGCTTTTCAGTATGTTATATCCATTTCTTGCATGGTGACTAATGAAACTCTACTCCTTTCGCTCGAGTAAAAGAATTCTAATGATTTCTTCCCGAAACTAATCAGATTGTTATTGATTGGTGCTTTGTTTAGAAAATTATACTACCGGAAGAGATGTGTGTGTGAAAGGTCTTTCGTCGGAGATAGCTCACACTGAGTTAGAACACTCTTTAGAATTGACCATTTTAGGATTTACCTGCATCGTATCAATGCATAGACTTTGTTTGATCTCAGACATAATTGATTATGAAGTATAAAATCTATTATATTTATTACCAAAATAAATGATTTAAGAAAGTTTATTATCAAAGAATACCGAAATAAAATAACCCATTACATACAATTATGGTGTTATTCACCACGAGGGGTATTGGATAACTATTCGCATTTATATCTACAATTAAGAACGTTTTACTTGCCTCATCATGATAGCACACGAATAGAGAGCTGACTAATATTGTCGAGTCTATTCATGTAAGCTACAATACAGTGACTGATACTCTGAAATATTAATTATTTGTCTCCTACGGATAATCAGGATAGAAAAGCGTAAAACTTATTAGTAGAGAATTACATTTACGTTTGGTGAATACATTTCATAACCTCTACCAAATCAAGCAGCCTACTGGTTCTCAAAAACATAGCTACATGATTGAGATGAATCGTTTTTACGAAACGCATCTTTTATATCAGGTTACATTCAGAGAAATAATAATATGCAAGATGCAATAAAAAAAAACGATCAGTAAAGAAAGTAAATCCATTGCATACAAATATCAATATTTTCAAAAAAGACAACGGCACCGAAGCACATGTTCCATACAAATGATACTTATATTTGCCAGTTGAAAAACGTTGCTGTCTGTTAATGTTCTCTGGAACACGTTTACTAAATCGCGAAACAGGCGAGTATCTAACATATAAGAAATATGAGAACTTTAATTAATTTCTTCAAATTCAACCTTTCTTACAGTACTGACAATACTAGAAATTATCGACTTTTTTTCATTCATTTTTGAAAATGAGATGTGCCAAACCAAATAATACTAAGAAATGCAACTTCTCGAGTAAAACACTCATAATTATAACATAATCTCACTTGAAATTCATTCAGTTATTTTCCTTAAAATCGTTCTCGAGTACACGTATCAATTGAGCATCAACGATATGCATATCTATCTGAAGAAAAAATTAAATGCACCTCTATTCAAGTTACACATATCAAACCAAAAAATGTTCCTAACCTTCGCTAAATCAATTTAGAATAGCTGAAGTGAAAAATCTCTCATGAAAGCCTACCTTACACCTAGTACCTGCAATCACGGCATCGTCCATTGCGTAGTCTTTTATAATAGGAGGGGATACGAGATTACTTGCTATTTACTATCTGTAACGGCAAACACCAGTAATTGTTTGTTACCGCTATTGAGAAACGACTCAATATCGACTCCTATAACACTGAAAACATTGTTAAAAGACAAAAATATATTGTGGCTAGTATGCTGATAGTCAGAAAGCACATGAAAAATTTGTGATAAAGCGTAAAAACTCTGAGTCATGTAAACCTTTTGTCCTACACTATAGCTGCTAATAACTCTACGAAACGAATCGTATCTTCGAAACTGTAGTCGAATAATATCCTATTTTGCACTCTTCCTGAAAGGTAAGGGTATTCTTTTCTTTCTTTCGTTTCCGCGACTGAGACCCAGAGAAACGAAACACACAAAGAAACTGACTAAATCCTTCTATAAGCATATGACTTACTCTTTAAACAAAATCATCCGTGAACTCGACAAGATATTCATAAAACTTGCGGACACACACTTATGGGCGGAACTTTGTACTTACTTTAACAAGTGAAGCAGATTTACTACACTTTACTTTAACTCGTAAAGTAAAATAGTTACAGTTCAAATTATTGCAGCTACCTGATCTCAGCTTCATTCGCCTACAAAGATTCAAACTATTGCAAGCTTTTCTGCAGTATTTCAATATACACAACAGCAAACGAAAATCGAGCTAACTTTACAATCAATACACGAAAAATCTTGTTTTCTGTTAACTTGATTTCAATATATTTTGCAAATTTCCACCAGGATATTGCATCTTTAATTAAACTACTTTACTTCTTGACTAAAACAGACTCACTATACATTACTTTACTTGTAAACTAAACATAAATGCGTTACCTTACGATTTTGAAGCGAGATAAAAATGAGTTGCCTCGCTAACCACAATCCAAAGTGAATAAATCATTACCCCTCTTAAAACTGCTACCAAAACACACTTTTTTCAAGCAACCAATTCAATTTTGGCCTCCTCGTTCACTTTCTATTGATGATTTGCCCATCTGTGATAATTCCATCGGGTCAAACAAAATCATCCGATTAAAGAACAATATTACAAAATGCAAACGTCGAGTCACTACTCCTAACATAAAACACCCTTTCCTCACCGGCAACCCCTACCTACCCAATCCACATCGTGGCAACAGCACAAAGAAACCTTGGGAATTAAACACCTCGAAACTAACATGGGAAAACATCTAACTGATACATCGCTTTTCGGGTAGGATTTCACGCATTTCGCAGACACTACTCAGGTATGAAGAACCGCAAAAATGGATGAATGTACATAGGTGTCTTGTCCGACATTATAAGTATTTTACTGCAAATTTTCCTCTAAACCCCGTGTATACCAAAACATTGAATGAGGATATTCGGAACTGGAACTTCGCTCAGACACAGATCTACTTATAACTGGATTGTGCTGACAGCTTCAGCTGAAAAAATTATTCCTTCTCCAAATATTTCAATCCAAAAACAAAGTCTCCTAATCATTCGTAAAATATCAGTGACAAATGGCATGGAAATATCTCGAACAGGAAAAAGGTTTCGAGCTAATTTTCCAAGCACAATTTACTCATAAATAGTATAGTCTATGAGAGACCTTCCAGGTCCAAATAACAACAACACATTTCGCCATATACTGGGAGAGAGAAAAAAGAACAGTAAAATGCGTACAAATTGTCACAGCACACCTTCGGCGACTCGTCCTTTTCGGCTTTTCATACCGAAAGCACCACTGTCATATGCATCAAATCTAACTTGAGAAACCATAAATAAATTGCATATGCTCCCAGGTCTGACCTATTATGCAACCTATCAACTCCGTAATGAATTCACAACCAGTAAATCAACTCGCACAACACACCAATAACAAACTAACAGACCTTTCTCAACGCCACAACAACAAACTCCATAAGCTGCGGAAATAAAAACTTACCATCTTCCCTTGCTCCACTCGACCACCTTGCGGAACTAGAATCATCATCATGAGGTTGATTTTCTTGTGTAATTGTACCGATGAATGCTGCTTCTTTGCAAGCGGTCTTCAGTGAGGCAATCACTGTTTCGTGATGAGACTTGGCGCATGGTACTGTGTAGTGGAATTCAGTGTGCGTCGAATTACCCAATACTTTACTGATTTGCCATGGGAAACGACCCTTCACTCCTCGACTGTTCAGATGATCAGCGAGAAGTGACTGAAATTTGTTGGCCACATTCGTCACACGACTTGGTTTTCGAACAAAACGTGCTGCATGGCATGATTTGACGACCAAGACACCTCTGAGATTGTTATCATCTTGAGCCCTGACGCTGTGATGCTTGTCAAAGTCGATAGTTGATGGTTTGCTCGGTTTGCGCATTCCACGAGGTTTCGCGGCTGGTTTGCCTCCCGTCTCGGATCGGCCGTGTTCCTTATGGTCTGCTTCCTTGGAATGCTTCTGGCCATGTTTGGCGCCTTGCGCTCGTCGTTTGCCCAACTCTTCACCGCTTCTTTCTTCGCTTGAGGAACTTGAATCATCATCCTGGGGTTGATTTTCTTGCGTAATGGTACCGATGAATGCTGCTTCTTTGCAAGCGGTCTTCAGTGAGGCAATCACTGTTTGGTGATGAGACTTGACGCATGGTACTGTGTAGTGGAATTCAGTGTGCGTCGTATTACCCAATACCTTACTGATTTGCAATGGAAAATGACCCTTCACTCCTCGACTGCTCAGATGATCAGCGAGAAGTGACTGAAATTTGTTGGCCACATTCGTCACACGACTTGGTTTTCGAACAAAACGTGCTGCATGACATGATTTGACGACCAAGACACCTCTGAGATTGTTATCATCTTGAGCCCTGACGCTGTGATGTTTGTCACAGTCGACAGTCGATGGTTTGCTCGGTTTGCGCATTCCACGAGCTTTCGCGGCTGGTTTGCCTTCCCTCTTGGATCGGCCGTGTTGTTCGGAACTGTCATGCTCATGCTTTTCAGGTTCGGCCGGTGCAACCGTAGCGGTTTTTGTCGCTGGTTTCTCACCGCTGTTTGAGGATGCGTTTTTTTCTGAACTTGGAGCATTGGGCGTGTGCTGTTGTATGCTTGTTGTAGGTGTCGTTGTTTTGGTAGTAAGTAGATTGACTTTTTCGTCCGCTAAAGGAAATAGGAATGAATGATTGTTGTATTGTGTTAGGCATAAATTTAAGTAAGGAGGTTCTCATTCTGAATGTTAATGTGAAGATCTTCCTTGGCATCGATTAGGTGCTTTTCTATTTATTACATTCTAGTGCTTTGGTTTATATATCTTGTTTCGATGCGATTTGAGATATGTGAGTTAGATTTTGAGACCAATAGAATTTTTCTTATGCTATTCTATTATGTGGTATGCTGCATAGGGATTTAGATCTGTTGCATGCTTTAGAGTACCACCCGCGCCCCCAGGTGAGGAATCGTTTTTTCGTTATTTTTTGTCTGATTTGCTGAAATTCTAGCAGCATATATGTGTTGCTTTAGCTGAGTTGCGTGTAATGTTTTGAATTCGCATGATTGTTTTTGACGAGTTACTGTCGAAGAAGCGGTCAAAATGGTGGGCTTCGTGTGATGCCGATTTCACGGGCTGTCGAAGTTTTAGACAGCTAGGGGTTTTCTTTTACAAAAGGAAAGACTTCGGTCTATAAATTGATTTTGCTCAGATTTCTGAGATCTTTTTTTGCAGGAACTTGGAACTTCGCGCTTTTTGTATTAGTGCTATTTATTTGCGAGGACGTTTTGACCACACTCATGTATCTTTCTCCATTGCCTTTGGTACATATGAACCAAAGGCAATGGAGAAAGATACATGAAAGAGAAGACACCGTCCATAACAACACAAAAAAGAATATGGTCATTATTTTATCCAGGAGTGGTCAACACGCCTTCAAAAATAAGGCTCATTATCTCAAAGAAGAAATCGAATTTCGACAAAACCCTATACAGATTTCTAGGCATAAGTCTCGGTCTCTTCATTGATTTAAAAAAAAGGTAGCTCGCTTGCTCTTCTACAGTCTGAGAAGTCGGTTCCTAACTGTGAAAAAAAGCGATTTTGAGAAAACGAATCAACAAATTTATGAGATGTGTGAATATGACAAAAGTGGTCTGTGTTATATATGAGTGAATTGCAACTTTTTGATACATTTTGCGTTTTACCTGTAGTTGTCTAATAGCTTTTTTCCCCTCAGCCAATTTTGATTAATCATCAGCTATTGATCCTAGTATGCCCCACTGGCACACAAAATTTCAGCTCTCTAGCTCATACAGTCGCTGAGTTATAAGGAAAACATGGCAACAAAAGGTTAATCTTTACTGACACTTGAGAAGAAAAATGATTTTTTGGACTATAAAACAGCAAGAGAAAAAATATTTAAATAAGCTATTTTGTACAGCGTTCAATGCTCTATCGAAGTATATTATGGATTTAAATTTTATACTTCATTCTCTCGTTCGCCCAGCGTTCACATTATTTGACAGACACTGTATTTTTGTGTAGAATGACAATTTTTCGCGAATATTTTCAGTACGGCTCGTTCAAAATTTTCTTTTCCACGTAGTTAAATGAAAAGTGATCATAGAGTATCATTTGGGAAAAAAATGATGACCTCAAAAGCGAGAATGTTGAAAATGTGGACGGTTTTTTCGAAAAAATTTATTCAGCATAAACATAAAAAAGCGCACTATTGTCTAGGTTCTATTTTTATTCAAAAATTCGTACCTAGCACGAAGTAGGACATGGACCTAGATAGAATCATCAACGTCGTTCTCCATAAAAATGAAAAATGTTTTTTTCGAAATTGCCGTACCCCCCTCCAGGGCTGCTGGTGAATAAAAAAAATTCATTTTTCGTGACAACTGCATCGACCATTCCATCTATGATCATGTACTGATTTCTGCTATATATAAATTTTAAACTTTCAAAGTGTGGTTGTTTTCGCATGAAATCTCCCACAAGTAGAAAAAGTCATACATGTATAAAAGGGCCATATCTCCTTTAATAATCAATCAAGTGTTGGGAAATTTTTTTGTGTACTACTGGCATAGATTCTGATAAAATGCACTACTCAAAAATCGTATAGGTTCACTTTCATCTGTTCGCATGAATTGTACCAAAACGTTGCAATTCACTCATATATATGTGAAATCAACGTAAAATTCCCTTTTTAAGTGACACAATTAAATAAAAATATGAAACAAATTTTTATTTCACTATAGCTGTTATGCCGTCTATACTGCAATTTCGTCACGTACAAAGGACCGTAAAAAAATCTGATTTTGAAAGCCCACCATATTGTTCTAATTAATTAAAATAACATAGAGTATATGCATTTCTCTTTTGGAACCGTCTACGAGTTTGTTGACCACTGTCACATGCCCGTAACTAAGGAAAAATTCTGAAAAAAATTCTACTACTGCTCGTAGAAAACTGCTATTTTCACCCCTAAAAACTATTGAAAGTGCAATAAATCGTAGATACTCGGAAAGAGGACACGTTGGGCTTTCAAAACATGTGCTTGTCTCAAAATCGATTTTCTGAGGGTGGAAGCCTTTAAAACGGTTTTCAAGAATGAAGATGGTAGGCTGTCGTACTCTCTTGTGCGACTGGAGTAATTTAGGTATTGCGACTGATTGACTTTGTTCTCTACATCGCCAATGATTTCGTTAGTAAGATCCCATAATGTAGTAAATTTGAACGCCACACTTACAGCTAGTTAGATGCTAAATCAAAACTACTCTTCCTCACTTCTTATTTATGTAAAGATTAGTATTAAAATTTGTAAGAAGCATTTAAATTATAGCTCATTTAATACAAGACTATACGGCTATATAGCCAACCTGCTTCACTATATTCCAAGGAAAATCAAATCTTACAATGTAGTTAACTTTTTTCATTCGAGTATCAGATAAGCTCACATAAAATAAACTGAAAACAGCATGTCTGTGTAATATGTTGATCTTAGATTGAACACATCTGATCATTTTTGAAAGATAGTTTTATCGTTTCTTTATAGTAAAATTAAGTATGGGCTCAATAGTAACGTTTCATATTTACCTATTGCTCACCAATGCCGTCAAATTAGCTGTATCATTTTTAATATTTTAATCTCGCAAGAATTGTACTAAAAGTTTGTTTTTCACTATCTGCTTTGAATATTTCTTCTCTCTTTTGGTAGTCATCGATAGATATAAGATATCATGTGGATAGAAACTCTTTAACCGTTCTGCACTAATCAGATGACCCACGTACTCAGATAATTAGAATTAAATAGATATAATATGCGTCTTTTAAGAGATTTACTTGGCTATCTCTACGAAACAGAATCAAATATATTAAAAACTTCTAGAGTTGCTGATTTACAGCTTATTTTATTTTTATTTTTATTTCATTTTTGAACCGAGAAATAATTTAAATGTAATCTTTTCATCCCTATCAGAAAAATACATGATTTTCACAGAACTACATAATAATAAGAAGAGAAACTACTATTTTAGGTTAACCTATATTCATATTCCATGACGATAATCTCGATCTCCAGATCCGTCTGGAATTCACCAGGACGTTTCCACTGGGTAAATGGAAGCAACATTCCATGGTGAAAAGCACCCTTTCGGATCCCTCCCCTTTCTACAAAAATCAACTTCATAGGATCATCTCTTCTAGTAACTGATTTGAAACCGTTTAGAACTATGCCATATCTACTCAATATCATAGGAACAGCTCAGATATTAGTCGATATTATTACTGGCAACAAAGGAACACCGCAGAAATCAACGAAATGAGCCGAAAATATTTTCAAGCAGGAAACTGTCGGCTTTTTTCAGCGCAATCCTATTCTACAGACACGAACATAACCCTCCATTACCATCCGGAAATGTTTTAATAGCACCGTCTTTCGCCAACTCCACGAAGATCCTCTATCGCCCAGCAAATCGAACGCATTTACGATTTATTCAATCATGTGTGAAACCATCTGAAAGCCCATCTAATGAGAATGCTATTAGGGGTGGCGCTTTAATTTTACTTTAAATGTTAAAGCTAAAGTACCATCCCTAAAAGATAACAGGCACAGCAATCATCACTAGTCATACCATTTTAAATTATTCATATCTACAATCTCTTCAACATAATAATGCGAGCAAATAGAATAGCATCCACTCAAATCAGATCGATACCCTTTTTTCCGTACTATTCAGTGCTACCTAAGTCTTAGCCCATTTCTTAGATTCTACTCTCCAGTTTTTTCTCAGCTAAATTGAGGGCTGTTTTAGCCGTAGTAGGATTTCTCGCACTCTAATCTCCCGATTTTTTATATTTTAATTTACGTTAATTTGCGAATCTCGGAACACGCTGCACATCAGAGTGGGGATTCTTTTTCTTCGCTCAAGAATGATAGAAAGAGAAACTATACGTGACTAGTACTGTGCGATTGGACAGATTCGTCTCAAAATCACACTTGTTTACCATGTTCGATCCTTTAATTTTAGCTTCGTCGACAACCCGAAGTCAGTTAACTATGATCCGTACTTTGTGATATGGATAAGTTGTTGAAATATGAGTTTGGAACCAAACCTGATACGGTCACCGAAACGATTGACTGCTTTCCAGCTGAAGAATTGATGGGGAGTAGGTTAGGAACATCGGTAAGAGCCAGTCTGGAAATCTAACGAAAAAGCTCCTTGGAAATCGACTCATTTATGGTCGTTTCCGTTTCTTGGTCGAGTATCGGGAACGCAAACGGAATTGGTAGAATGTTTTCCTTGAGTTTCCACCTAATTTCCGGTCGAATATGAGTTGAAAGAAGTTGAAAAATCCGGAGAAAACCGCCTCGGAATACTGCTTCCGTGAAATCTCAAGAAAGCCCCGGAACCGAGCGTTTATGTGCCGGATTGCTCGGCATGGGATATCAATCGGAATTCCTTTAAAGCTTACGCATATTTTGTCATCTGTCTTCTTCCAACTTCAAGGATACTCATAAGCATATAATTATTAGCACAATTATTAGACAAATGACTAGCTTTAACCTTAAAAAACAAGAAACATATTAAAATTTTCAGTTGAAATATGAACAATAACATCAAAACCTACGTAAATCTACTAATTTAAAACGTTTTATCGATTCAAATTGAAGAAAAAAATTTAATTTAAATGCAATTAAATTAATTTTTTGATTTTTTGGAATATGGCTCGATTTTTAGCGGCTCAGTCAATCAACTACTCAAAAACCCAAGTTATGAGGTCGATAAAAGCGGTGGGCTACTCAAATTCAATACCTGGTCTCAAATGTGGTGATAATTCAATCGAATGAGTACACTCTTACGAGTATTTAGGTTACCAGATAACAACGAAACTTCGCTGGTGTTATGCTTTTTCTCTTGTTAAAGCTAAAACTCAGTAACAACCTGCTATAACCAACTCAATTAGGTTTGAAGGGTCGAACTCGATTCAAAATTGCCCAGTTCTATTCCCAACGTTTGCTTTACCATTTTTTTAATTGCTCTATGATCTCTTTTCCCTGTACACCGACTCATAAACATTAAGTCTAATTTTTTTTTATTACACATCACTCACACGAGTTTAACTACTTGTACCGAAGATATTCATTTTTGCATTTGTGTATGACGAGCATCATCTTGATGATCTATACTATGAATAATGGATCAAGTATCTGACGAGCATGACTTGATTGCTGGACGATTATATGCTACATGAGCAATCGTACCGAAAAACCGTTCGGTATGGTATAAAGGAACAACTCATTCGTTCTAAACGATATCTCCATTGTCTTGATGTGCTGGGTTAGATCTTGAAATGATTATCAAATACTATGCGGATTTTCTATAAACATTTTACTAATTGGCGTTTCTTGTTGTTTTGAATCCAGCTCGTTGACAATTAACTTTTTCTATGCTATATCATCTAATGTATTATATCTGCTCGTAGCTCCTCTTTATTTATCTCATTTTATTTACATTTATTTTCCTCTTCCCTCCCCTGTGTCTCTCCTCTATTTTATTTTTATCTTTCTCCTTGTCTATCTGCCTCTTGTCTTTTTAGTTTCTCGCGTTTTTCTCTTCCTTTCCTATTATCTCTGATTATTATTATTAATATTATTATAGTTCGTTGTATCTTATTATTGACTCTAACTGGTACACGTGTTAATAGTCAACAACCCCTTGAGAACCATTTAGATCAGAGGGACGAACAAAAGCAAATAATATTTAAAAAATATTGCATATAATGGATACATTGACAGAAAATTTAGGCGGTCTATTTTCTACACTACTTCCATCGTTATATGCACGCAAGCATCCTTTCTCTGTCTCTATTTATCATCTTTAATTTTTCAGTAGAAACAAATTTAGAAGGTACCGCGACGTTAGCATCGTCAACCCTCTACTGAAATGATTTAGTCATGTAGAACGTAGCTATCCACAACTATCTAGCTAAGAGACCTAACATTTTATAGCTTCGAAATGACTTTCATGGAAAACTCGATTGATAATTGAGCATAAATAGAAAACTTGCTTGGAAGTATCACCAAGAAAACGGCATTTAAGTACTACGTACTATTGCTGTATGCCAATAGTGAAGTTAAGTACATCCGACCTGCTACAGCTCAAGCTATGATCGAAATACTCCATTTTATCAAAGTTACAACTCAAATCGGTCTATGGGCTAGATATTTAACATGAATTTGCACGAGTAGATCAGAAATCACATCAAACTGACTTTTTCTAATTCGATTTCGGTTAGATTTATCCTCATTTTTGCTCAACGTCATGTGGGTTCATTTTGTTTCGGTGCGTTTCCCGTCTAGAATGTATATATTCTTTCCCGGGTGCACGTTCACAGATAGATAAATCTAGGATTTACATCTTTTGAATCAAATTCACTCGCAATCCAGAAAAACTAAACTTATTAAGATAATCACGACAAATATTTCACACGAGTTGAGCAATTATTTCATGGCCTGTCTTCGAAAGAACTTCAAGATATCTCCTATTTTCGAAAATTGTCCCATATATGCGGTGAACGTGATCCTTTCAAACATGGCACGATTGATTGAAAACTTCGCCTCATTCTATAATTATTAGATGAAAACAAAGAGAACTGTCAATAAACCCGAAAACAACAGTTGTGAGACTAATTTAATTCAGTTTTATCTACATATACGATAAATTCCTCACAATTCAGAGAAGAATAAGACAAGATTCCCGAGTACTTCTACACTTTGCGAACGTTCGTACGTGCTCTAATCTAGAATTCTAGGGGTTAAGTTTGAATAAATTCTTCGTGCTACAATAAAACTTGACTTATCAAGAATAAACTGAAGATTTTGAAAAAAGCCTTCAACGTCTTAGTGCAGATGAGCGGCTAGCCGTTGTCAAATTGAGAATCAATTCCACCGCAAAATGTCTATAGCTTATTCATAATAAGATCTCACATAACCATACGATACATCTACCACTATAAACATCATCGAATGGTATCCTTAAATAATTTCTCTACAAATAATTTCTATCACGAGAATCAGTCGATCTAAACAGCTCCTAATGCATTATAAACTTGCTTGAACTATGAAAGATCATTAAGTATTTAATATTCAATCCATCGACAACCGTTGTCTTATTTGAATCAACTTTATTTATTTCTTTACGATCCTAAACGCTTTCAAAATAGCTGTCACTCGTCAGTTGCTAGTCACTTAGTTTTACTTTTTCAAAAGTTCATGTGTTTATTCTGCATAAAACACCTCTATACAACCCTCTTTGTTTATTAAAACGATCACAAAAAGTTTTGAAAAACTACCCTAGAAATCGAATAGCTCCGTCCAAAAACTTTCGGTTAAACCAACAACGGCATCGTGTTCTCTCTGCTCAAAAAACTTCGATGCAACGGTTTAGATCATTTTCATGTGAGAGGCTAAAAAAACATTTTTTTTATTCTATGCGAACGAACGGATTTAACTCACTTTTCGTAAAACCCTCTTTTCAGTAGAGGGAATATTAGCATAGGGTTGTCTTTTGTCTGGAATTACTTTAGTTATGTACACTCATTCACAACCATCCGTGTCATAACCGGGAAAAAACGAAGAACCAACGAAAGCAAAATAATAGTGACGCATATATGCAGACTGGTATTTTCAATTCTTTCATCATCTTATTGTATCATCTAAGACGCAATATAGAAACTAATTTTCTGAATATTTCGTCCTATTTTCTTTTCATTTTTATTTAGTGTATTAAAAGAAATGATTGATGAGCAATAATATCCTCGTATCATTTATCTTATGTAATCAATAGCTTCAATCACGAGTGTAGAAGATAAATTGTAAAAGGCATTTTTTTTTAATACAAACAGTCTCTTCTAAATATTAGCCACAAATAAACTAAACCTTCATCTAGCTAGGTAATTATCTTACATGCATACTTCTCTCATGCACTATCGTTTTTATATTTTAGTTTTTCACTTACGAGTCTTATGAAATTATTGCTATGTTGAATTTTAGAATATAGGAATAAAGAACCGAGATTCCTTTTCAAACAAAATTACTTTTATAACATTTGTTTTAATAGACAGAAAAAAATACTCAATTCTAATACAATATAAATATTTGGTGGTAATAAATGATAAAAAAAACAATAGTAAACTGGGTCCATATCCATTGAACTGATTACTTATTAGGGGTGTCAATTTAGAGTTTATTTAATTTAAATTTAATTTTTGAAAATTTAATAAATTGTTTGGATGGATACACATCATTGCTACGAGAGAAATACGTGACTTTAACAGTAGTAAATAATAAATGAGAGGAAAACCTAGTATTTTAGGTTAATATTTATTCATAATAGTCAAAATTTCTCTACAGATTATGCAGGATCCGTCATCTTTCTTCTTCAAAATACTGGGATACTCATAAAGATATATTTAATAGCACAATTCATAGAAGAATGACTAGTTTTAACTTTAGAAAACAGGAAACATACTCAAATTTGACTTTAAATAGTAGCAATCAAGTCAAAAACTATGTTTACCTGCTAGTTTTCAAAATTTAACTAATTTGAATTTCAAACAATTTAATTTAAATTTTTTGAATTTAAATTTATTTCAAATTTAACTTTTCATTTAAAAAAATTTAATTTATTTTAAATTTAAATTTTTTGAATTTAAATTTATTTCAAATTTAACTTTTCATTTAAAAAAATTTAATTTACTTTAAATTTAAATTTTTTTAAATTTAAATGTGACACCCCTATTACTTATACAACAAACAGTCTTTGAACAGACAGAAAATTACTAAATACTACCAAGCCTCAAGATGTTGCTGACTCAATGAATCATCGAATTACAGGTAAAATAGAGAATTGAATAAACTTACGTGGCTGGTTATTGTTCTGTTGATTTGTTTTGCCTGTTGTAGATACAACATCTATTGTCGACTGAACAATAACTTTCTGGACATCATTTGTTTGAACAGCCTTTTTCAGTGTATTTATTGCTGTCTTTTGATCAGACACACCGCTACATTGATAATCAAGAGCAAGCGTACCATCAGACAGCTGTGTGATAGTATTCACTTGAACTTGTGAATTAGCATTTACAGTGTCTGCTTGAACTTTCTGTGTCAAAGTATGAGACATTGCATTTTTCGAATTCGAAAGAGTATCGTGGTTACAGTTTGACACAACCATTGTACCTTTTAATGAATTTTCGGTGTCAGCCACCACCACATGAGAATGGATTGCTGCGCCATTTGCATGCACAGCTAAAATCATAGTGAATTATTTATTAAATAAGGGCTGACTCAACAGAATAGACTTCACAGGTATTTTTTAGTCTTGCGATACTAAAAGGCATGTACCAATTGAAAAGCCGCTAGTATAATTAAGTGATTTTTCGTACATAACGAATGATCATGGAAACAATTGTTTATTACTTGTCACTACCCTAGTGAAACATCTTGTAAGTAAGATCTTGAAATCTTGGGATTGGTAGGTAAGATCTTATCAAGATCTTTAAAAGATAATTCGCTTGTTCAGATCTTGTCCTATCTAATGAATCTGTACCTAAGATTTTAGCAAGATCATGGCAACGATTTCTTTTACTATTATCTTCTCACAAGATCTTGAGTAAAACAGAAAGCGACATCATTAGTTTATTTAGATAGGCTATCTAGTCATTCACCGTTTTTTTATGCATACACAACAGAATATAAGCAACATGATTGAACATGCAAAAACATAACTATACAAAATAAGTTTTTTTCTAAACTATTTCTCGGCTATTGATTAATCGAGAGGATGCTGATCTCGATCGATGGTCGAGAGAGGACTACCCTAACTTGGTCTGGCGAATATGGGACCAACTTAAAGCCGGTCAGATCTCAACATCTGATTTGCTTGAGCTATTCGGGACAGGAATAGTTAATATTAAAATATATTGAAAAAATACCAAACATACTTTCAGAATGCATCATTCAAGATGTTATGAATTCTTACTTAAGATCTGTAATAAAATCTTGGGTACAAGATAATACAGTTATCCTGCACCTAAATTTTCAAGATCTGTTCACTTATCTGTACCCAAGATCGTGGCCAAGATCTTACTTACAAGATGTTTCACTAGGGTGATATCAATCAAATTGAAGTGCAAAATTCATTTACCTTATTAATTGAGATCATTTATACATATAGCTGGTATCAATTGCTGACGAATCTAATGATATAAACCAGTCTAACTATTCTACTTTGCTGTTTTTATGGTCGAGACTCGTAATACATTCTTTTCAGCTGCAAATGGAGGGCACTAGTACAATTCGTCGCATATATAGGAGAGGGTACATTAATTGAATTAAGATATTTAGTGTAGAATGTTATTTAATTAATCACTCTGATAATTGTTTTTCTTCAGAGAATAATGGCTCTTTCTTGATAATACTTTTTTTTAACAATAGAGAGCTGAATTTACAGTTTTTTTAAATTAAATTAACTAGAATTAACATTACAAAAACTCAATGGAATTGAATTAAAAATGAATTCAATTTTTTCTAATATGAAAATTAAAATTATATAGAAATAATGTTTTTTATTTGATAATTCGTAATGATGCAAATTAGTTATCGTTATTTGGAAAAATATGACTTAAGCAGTAACACATAAGAAAAATAAGAAAATCTAGTATTTGAGTTACAAATGTGTTGATAAAAATCAAAATTCTGCAACAGATTATACATGATTCTTGAAGTTCAATCTTCCGTATTCCAGAGATAATCAACAACATATATTTCTTAACACAATTTGTAGGTAATGCAAAAAAAATTGAAATGCTCGCAATAAAGTCTAAACCAATCTTGATCATCTTTTCATGAAATTGTTTTCAATTTAAATCTCAACCATTTTAACTTTAATTTTAGATTTCAATCTTCGGACCATAGACGTGAAGCTTATTTTGAAAATGTTTGAACGACTCTATCCACTAACCGAGTATCTTTAAGTATCACAGAAAACTGTCCTAGACAGTACTGAACGAATTATATACTTTAAAAAAAGTGAAATTTGCTTTCATTTATTTCTTTTTTTAGGTGAGAATTTCATCAGAATTTATCCCCTTAAAGGACTGGAATCCTATTTATCATCAGACTCTTTGTATTTTAAGAGAAAATTGTTTAAGAAATCTTTTCAGAAGTAAACTGTTTCTTTTTTCGAAGCGCATCTTCTATTCCTCATGTATATCTAATAATTCAATAACAGCGTATACAATTTACATGATTAATTAAATAGCATTCTACACTAAATATCTTAATTCAATTAATGTATCCTCTCCTATATATGCAACGAATTGAACGATCACCCAATTGGAGTAGTACACTCCATATATTACGAAATTGCGTGCTGAATTATCGACAATAAATTACAACAAAATTTTCAGACACACATGGTTTTGAATAATTCTACGATACATAGAAGCATTAACGGTGATGTAGTTTAAGTGAACTATATGTTCCACGTAAAAATTTCTCAGGCGGTCTTGTATTAAGAACCGCATTTTCCCCTAATATTTAATTTAAAAGGTTTTCCAGAAAACCAAGGTGATTTTCAGGATTTCCATCAGGATCTTAAGAGTGTCATTAGAATTGTGAACACATTCGCTTAATATTTCCAGCTTAAAATGCTAAGAATCAGGCATATTTTGATGGGAAAACGCTCATTAATGTTCGTAATTAGCAAAAAACTAATTAATTAAAGGGGGTCTTCTAATATGGGGGATCTAGTTACAGATTTGGCTAATCTACATGAGTAGAGGTGTCAGCCGTGCGGCTGAGCGCCGCAGCAGCCGATTTTTCTATAATATCAGCCGCCGCAGCCACCAAATTACTGATCATTTTCAAGAATTTTCGGGGAGCCGCCGCTGGAAGAGACAAACATTTTTGATAGCGTCATCCGCCGCCGCTAACATCAATTCATATGCGATCGAATCGAATATTTTTTTTAATTCTCATCAGTGAATTTTTAACTCAGCCGCGCCGCTGCTGTGGAAAACACTTTAAGAATTTGTAGTAGCCGCCGCTGAAGACATTACTCATTCAAATAAGGAACCGCTGTAAGTCTTCAAAAATTGAAAATTGTTGCCCGTTGCCGCCGTTCAATCCTTCAGCTGACACCTGTATACACGAGCTACCTCTATCAAATGATATTTGTTGTCTTCGCGTAAACAGTGAATTTAAAATAAAATCCTTCGAAAGAAAAGTTAGGCTTTGCACTAATAACTTCACTGATGGTTTACTTAACTACCTAAGTCGCACCTGAAATTCAACTCTATTCAACTATTTATATTACACTTCATTGAAAAAATTTACTTAATAAAGCAGACCCTAGTGAGAGTACTCGAGCTAATACTCATCGTCATTTTTTAGAGGGCATTCAGCAAAACATCTATACATTAGGATGCATAAAAATAAAATAATATTGTATAATTAAGAACAACTATATAATGAAACGAAAATTACAAAAGAACTCTTTGAATAAATTATCAATTGTATCCTCCATCTTTTGTGATGAGTCACTCATGTGGCTTAATCAATTGGCTATTTAAACAATAGAAAAAATTAAATCATTTCATTTCAGCTATTCGCTTCTCGAGTAAGACCAAATATTTATTTGAAAATATAAAAGGATGTGCTAAATTTTACGTCGTAAATCAAAGTTGAAATATCGTTTTAGATAAAATTTATCTTTTTTGTGAGAATTAATGAAACACAAGACGAATGAGAAAATTTTTCCGAAAACATGAGATTCAATATTCTGAAGAAGCATCAATAATATAGAAGACAGTTCATACTTTTTTTAATTTTTTACTTAGCGATCATAGTTTTCGATTTAAAATGTTCATATTTTTATTCATTTTTTCTAACATTCTATGGATAAATGTTTTATCTCTGTGTCATAATTAAACAAATTTTAAAACGATGAAACACTTCATTTCTCAGATTCTTATCATGTAACTCTCTGTTCTATCATTAGTTTTTGAAATAAATAAATTGAACCTAGTAAAATACTGGCAATTCCTCGGTCCTTGAACAGTGCTGAAACACGGACAGTAGGGCCACTTTTGTTTTTTTTTCAAAATGAAAAATATGAATGCTCTACGTCAGAGCTGGGCAACTCAACTCAAAAAGGTGTCCAATTCGATTCAATTCATTGAAAGAAAAGTTCAATTCAATTCATTGAAAGAAAAGTTCAATTCAATTCAATTCAACTCAACTCAAATCGTCGATCTCTAAGAACTTTTCCAACTCAATTCAATTCAATTCAGAGATATTTCCGAATTATACTCCATTCAATTCATTTCAATTCACCAATTCAGAAAACGTCCTATCAATTCAATTCAAGACAATTCATCAACTCAAAAATACACCCCCAATTCGATTCATTTCAACTCAGAAATTGAGTTGGGCATTTTTTGAATTGAGTTGCCCAGCTCTGCTCTACGTAGTAGGCTAGCTATAAGATATTCAAATATAAGACTTACCAGATAATGAGCCTGTCTGCAGTTGCACAAAAGCAATTGCATAAAGCAATATGTATATTGGCGTTTTCATTGCTGGAAACGACAAAGAAATTGAAGTGAGAGAAAATGTGAATATAGCTAAAAATTCATCTCAATTTATAGGCGAGATTGTTTTTTTCTTATCAAGGTCGAAATAATAAGTATTCTTTCTCATATAACAATTAATATATCTCAGCTGCATTTAATCACTAAAAACGAAATAATAGATAATGTCTTTTTTTCTATTCACATTAAATTTTTCTTTTATCTCTACTTTATTAAATACAAAAGTGCGGCAGGCGCATATTTGTAATTATCTTATTCATTGGTGGAAAGTTTTTTTTTTGTTATTTATCAAAAATTATTTATATTCGACGCCTACGAATTGCGCACACGAATTTTGTAAGAAAATTATTCTTTTTCAAAATGTGTTCAGTGCGAAAAAAACATTAGACTATTTGTTTTTTCATGAATTCGCCATTTGATACGATTTTAGTTAATTCATATCTAAGAAAAGTATTGCCGAGTTTGAAGTTCGAACATTTTTGTCGATTTTACCTTTTGTTTAGCTATAATTGACTATCAGTTATTGCGAGTAGCTTCTCTCAACATATTATCAACAACATTCTTTAGGAGCATCTTAAATAAAAACACGTTGAGTAATAATACACTTTTACGTTCAGCTCATGTGGTCTGATTTATTTTATTCTCTTAGATAAAATTTGAATATAGCCGATCTTATCAAATTTCAATGAAAAGAATATGCATGCAAAATATTTTTATCTGAGACAACCACCATGAAAAATAAATATTTCATCTACAAATTGAATCGATATTTCTTTTTAACCAAACAATATTAATAACGGTTTCAGACTACAGATTAGAAGTGTTTTATCATCAACTATTAGTGCAACAAAATTTATTGTCTATAAAATCCATTACAATTCAACTACACAATGAAACAGATGTTCGAAAAAAAATTCGTCCTTTTCAAAACTATTCTATTCTGTAAAAAAAAGAATTAAATGTAAAATGATATTGTATAGAAGAAGTATCGTATTCGAAAATTCGAGCACTAGATTATAATGACTATCCAACTAAAAACTATTCATCGAAAGCAATACATCTCAGATATTACTATCATTGAATGAAACATATTCTTGAAGAATAAATATAGAAAGATATGTTTGTTTAATACTTTAAAATGACGAAAAAAAACATCACAAATCATATGCCATCAGTTTCGTAATTTCATTGACTTCTAATATTCAATTATTTTAATAAATATTAAATATAACACAAATTATCAGCGATGTTAACCAACAACAAAAAACAGTTAAGTGAAGTAAGGTATATAGTTATAAGTACTTATATTGATGAGATTTATCTAGTGCAAAAAAAATAATACACTCTTTCTTAGTCTACTACTAGATCTAAATAACTTCTTTTAAAATTCTTTTGGTAGTTTTCATCTTCTATTAGTTTTCATAGTTTGTGATAGCCTCTAAATCATATATAAGATTTTCATGATAGGCACATATTGTACTAATTGCAATGCATTCTAAACCGAAAAGAATAGAAATTGAAAGAATATTCACAATATAAAATGTAAAAAAACAAGATCATTAATTTTTCTTTCAGTTACTAATGGCTTTTTATAATAAAAAGAATATGTGTATGTATCGATGAATGAAAGGGGCAAAACCCTCTTGTTTTTCTCTTAGATAGATAGTTTTTATTTTTCAAGGACTTTTCGACAAACATAGTTTCTAATAGAAATTAGTTATAATCGAAAAATAAAAATCATGGATTCTCTATATATTTATTACTTGTGATGAATCTTCTTCTTTTAAGCATGGATAATAAATACAATCTTCGATTTTTATTTGCTAATAATTGTATTTCGTCTTTTAAACTATTAAAAACATAATTCTTCATTTTCATCTTCATCTTATTCCTATTCGTATTAAGTATTATTGAATGAAATAAGGTTACTTTTTTTTCAATTCTTTTCATAAATTTCATTAACGAAATGCTTATGAAAATATCGGAAATTGATTGTTTTAATTATGACTGTCTTTTGAGTTGTGACAAATGAAATAGTTAAAGAAAAATGTATTACTGGTCATAGAAAAATATCTAAATGTTCTAATGCATTGTCTATTCTCAAATAAAGTTTCTTTGTTTATAAATTTTAATATTTACATAGTTGACTAGATTTATTTATTTAGATAATGCAGTTCAAACTTTCTTTGGACGACCAGGAGCTTTCTGTTTTCCCAATTGGATCATTCCGAATGGATGAGATTATCATTTTTATTATTATTTAAGCTTCTTTAATTCATCAATTAAATTTGCAAAAAGTATTTAATCTCTCTCAAGCGTATTATCAATAACTGATAATCACACACTTCCCACTAATTAGTTTGGCGATCAAAAGTCTATTTTCGCTTGTTTTATCTATGAATAATAATTAATATTGAAACAAATTTTCAACTTTTATTTTCAATTCAGATTTATTGAGAATGATTCTTAATGATAAAAGCAAAAGCGATTGTTTTAATTTTTTCTTTTTAAAAGATATAATAACAAAATTGACTATTCACATACAAAAGAATACATGGACTAGCTATAGTTATAGACTACAATGAAGTCAAAAAAGAGATTTTATCAATAGATATATGTAGCAGATGGTAGAATATATTCTATTCAGCTTTTTAAAATTAATCACACTTCATTGTTTTCAATCGAAGTTATATAAAAGAATCAAATTTTAATGCTTATTTCTTTTTCAAAAGTTCTATCGAATGACAATATCTATTTTCAATTCTTACTTTATTGAGTTAAATAAGTAAATAAAATGTTTATTATCTTTTTCAGAAATTGAAAAAAAAATTCAAGATAAAGTATTTTGTATAATCGATTTTTCAAATTTCTTTGTTTTTTCATTGTATACTTTATCAATAGGCGAGCGCAGATGTGAAAACCATTTTCAATATTCATTTAACAATAGAAAAAACAATTTTGAATGAAAGTGAAAAGATTTTTTCCCATTTATTCTTTAATGTAAGAAAATTCGTTTCTATTAAGTTTAATTAAGTTTTTAAAATTGAATAATCGACTCTCTATATTTTAGTTTTTAACCGATTAGTTCATCTGTAGAATAAGTTCGATTAATTCTTTATTTTTTACTTATAACTCAATGAAAATAATTTTCACATTTGAAAATGAGAAAACGTCTATTATATACGTTAAATAATCATTGGAAAGAATTTCAAAGCTAATTTTAATCCTTTGTCTTAAAATATTTAATTAATCAAAATGAGAAGTTTAATAAAATGATAATTTTTTTTCTATTTTTCGAAGATCAATTCAATATAATAAAATCTATCAAAGTTAATCATTTCTTTTATTCTTTTTTATTAAAATTGTTTCATGTAAACAATGTTTTTTCTCTTTCTTTCTTGCTTTCTATTTTGATAGACAATCTAATATTGAATGAATGTTGTTGTTAATCTATTAGAAAATAAAAGAAAAATAGTTTCATTGTAAAACTGACAACAAAAAAAAGGTTTCTTTTCTTTCTTTCTGAAATAATATTGCTCAATTTTTTAAAATTGATTGAAGAAGAAGAAGAAAAGATTGTGATTTATAAATGAATATGGAAGAAGAAAATATTGAATCATATTCTCTGATTTGGTTTGATTCTTCATCAAACAATAATGATTATAAGAAAAAGTTCGAAGAAAAACTTCGTTCATCAATTAATTTTATTAAAATATTTATTGATGAAAATGAATTTTTAAATTATATTGAAGCAATATCAAATGATGAAAAACTTGTTTTAATAATAAATTCAAAATCAGCTCAACATATTATATCTCGTATGCATCAATTAGAACAAATCTTATCAATTTATGTATTTTCTTTAAACATACGAAAACATCAAATATGGACTAAACTTTTTTATAAAGTAAGATTTATTTAAAAAAAAAGAAATTCTATCATTTTTTTTCAAGATAAAATGTGTTGTCAATGATTATGATGAACTCATTTGTCAAATATTATATGATCAAAAAGAAAGATTTTTAAATAAAATTGATGAAACTATATCAATAACTAAAATAAATGATTCAAATAAAAAAGACGAAGATTTATTATTTAATTGTTTGATTAACATAAAAGTTAATTTAAATGATAAAAATGAATTAATTACTTTACTAGAAAATAATTATAGAAATAATCCAACAGAATTATTGCTTATTAAAGAATTCCATGAAGAATATTTATCATCGAAATCTATTTGGTGGTTAACAAGATATTGTTTTATATCAAAAATCATTAACAAATTAATTATAAATAAATCTTTTAAAATGTTATTTTTAATGAGATTTTTTTTTCAAGATATTTATAAAGAAATTCAATTAAATAAATCTATTAATAAAAATTTTCGTCTCTATAAAAGTCAATTAATAACAACAAAACAATTGGAATCATTAAAAAGTTCAATTGGAAACGAAATTTTAATAAATAATTTTTTATTTACATATTTAATACGAAAAACATCATTTTCTCATTTGAAAAAGTTAAATATACCAGAAAATTTTCATGGAATTTTATTTGAAATAGATATTGATTCTAATCTCAATCAAGATAAATATTATTCTAATATAAATTTATTAAGTTATTCATCAAATGAACAAATTATTCTTTTTATGATTGGATCAATATTTAAAATAGTTAATATTGAATATTATGATAATAATATATCCATTATTCATATGATTTATCAAAATAAGAATTCAATAAAACGAATTGAAAATTTTGATTTAATCCATTTTGGTTATTTTTTAATTGATTCAAATCAATATGATCAAGCGTTCTTTTACTTTAATTATTTAATTCAAAATTTCAATGAAAATCTTTATGAATATTATAATGCACTGGCGAATATTTCATTAAAACAAAATCAATATGATTTATCATTAACATTTTATCAAAAATTAATCCAATTAAACAATTCTAAAGAGCTTTCATCAATTTATAATAATATTGCTTTTGTTTATTTTAAAAAAATTGATTTTCAACAATCATTAAAATATTATCAAATGAATTTAAATATTTTAAAAGAAAATTTCAATGAAAATTATCAATTCATTATTGAATCATACAATAATATTGCTTTGATTTATAAATCCGATCATAAATACGAAAATGCTTTAGAATATTATGAAAATATTTTATTTATCTATGATAATTATTGTTTACACAAAAATTCTGATAAAGCTATTTCATATTATAATATTGGATTAATTTATTATTATTTAAAGAAATTTTATTTATCTTTAGAATATTTTAATAAATCATTAGATATTTATAAAGAAATTCTTCCTTTAAAACATTATCTCATTTCAGTTATTTATGAAAATATTGCAAATATTTATTATGATTTAAATGATGTAAATCAATCATTTTTATATTATCAAAAAGCAAATGAAATCTATCAAAATCTTTTCTCTTCAAAACATCCAGATGTTTTGCAAATTAAAATTATTATAAATCGTATCAAAACAAAACTTAACATTTGATTAAAAAAACATTTGTCTATTCAATTTTATACTATGTTTAAATGAAAATCCTTCTTATTTCTATTCAATATCTACTAATCAATGGAAGTTGAATTCAGATAAAATCATTTGATTCCTTTTTATTATTATTTCAAAATTTATTCAACTGTGAAATTTTTTGCTTAAGACGGAAAAGAAAAATACGAATATGATAAATAAATCTCAAATAATAATAAATTTTTTTTCTTTTTTAAGATCAAAATTGATTGTCTTCAATAGATTACGCAACTCTCAAACGATGGAAATCATAAATAAATGATTTCAAATAAAATCGTTAATTTATTGTCGGTTAGATGAAAAATAATCTGTAAATCAAAATTCTAATAAATTAAAATAACGCATTCCCCAATATCCAATTAAGAAACTACTTGAATCTAACGCATTGAATCAATCTCCATCGTCAACATCATAAATGGCTGAATTCCATCTATGACTAGATCGTTCATCGGGCGGTATTAAGTCCAATGATTGAAATTCATTTTGACATTGAGAAGCTGGTTTATTCATTGAAATATCTAAAAGATCACTATTAAATTGTGGCCAATCAATAAGATCCAATGGCCATCGTCTTAAATACCAAATACTATCGATTGACAATGAATCACAATCAAATGATGCGTGATAATCTTCGTTCAATATTATTTCTCTAGTTAGATTAACTAGTTCACTGACATAACAATAGATAAAATTGTAGAATGGACTTTTTTCCATGACTTTATATTTATGTGATAGATCCAAGCCAATTCGCTTGAATGGTAATAAATGATCGATTATGTTTTGTGCTCGATTTTTCTGCGTTTCAGATAAAACAGTTGATGAAATTATCGTTTGAAAAGCATAAAACAGATTGAAATAAGATAAATAGGCGAGTTCATCGTCAGAGAAATTATTATCGCAAACAGCAATCATCTTTTGATTAATTAGATTAATATCGTACTGATAAGACTGAATAAGAAGATTGACACCATCGAGAAAACGTTCATCACCAGTATAAGCATACGTTTGCAATAAGAAAGCAAAGATTTGAAGACTATTTAAACCACGACTCTCTTGATAATAACTATCATTATTGATTTGTATTGGATTCCATATTCCCCATCTTGTATGATTATGATTTTCACCAATTAAATACCAGTCATGAGTCAAAATATGTGTAGTAATGTTAACAATAAGTATATAGGCACGTTGACGTTCATCATCATTTTCAGCAAGTAAATCATGAACTAATGGATGCACAAATTGATGACCAACGATTTCATCTGATGATTTATCACCATAAAATTGAATTTCAGAATAAATTGGAGACGGATACCAACGAGATCTAGGTGGAAAATCAGTACGATTCGCTACCGAACGACTAGGATAACCAGGAATACCTACATATGAAAAAATATTCTTATTAATTTATTTTAGTTTTATTTAACACTTGTCGTTTTTTTTACATGAAAAACACTGTATTGTAATAGAAATTGTTCGAAAATCGTTATACAAATTCAGATATGATAAAAACAAAATTCATCGTATGATTTTTCTCGTACCTGTTACTTTATTGAGTAATTCAAGCGTTTCAAAATATTTCCATGCTTCTTTCTTCACTTGTAAATCATGTGTTGTTGCATATCGAAAAACTTGACTGGCTAAATAGATTGCAGTCCAGAGACCATCACTATCACAGGGTTCTTTCACACAAGTTCGAATATCACCCCACGATGACATAGTACAACCGCACACAAGACCATATTTCACATATCTACTGGGTGAATCAAACCATTTTTGAAAATAGTTCGCTTTTTTTGCTAGTGTCCACATTTCAAAACGAATGACCGCTAGACCTCGACTCGTTACAGCTACGGCAGTACTGCCCAAATTAGCAGGTGCTTCACGGTCTTGACTAAGTACAGCTAACGATGCAATATTGACAATCGATTGACGACTAGGCATATATCGGGGGCTATTGAACACACGCCAAGCATCAATATCTGTAGCATTTATATCGAAGCGCATCAGACCATGTATTGCACCTAACCAAACACGGCCATCTAATGATGTAGAATGGCTAACGCTCAATGTTGTTATATTGGCAAATGGTAAATGACCTATGTCAGAACCAGGATTCGATATTTTACCGGCTAATCGGGAAAAATACCAATACACACGTCCCGAAGGCAGTATAATTGGCGATAGTAGAGTGATACCAGTATTTTGACCAATCCATAATTTGTCTTGAATATCACTGTAGACTAATGACGTAATTGATGCATCAATAAGTCCGTTCACATGTTCAAATCGCCATTGGTCACTGATATTGTCATAACTCTGAATCCAGAGTTTCATCTGTGTGCCAGCAAATACTGTCTTTCGACGAGAACTCCATGCTAAGGAGGAAACAGAACTATTAATCTGATTAAGAAAAGGAAAAATTGTATATGTAAATAAATCCAATCCATGAAGGCCAGAATCACTCGCAATATACAACCAGCCATCGATTCCGAGATCTGTAACAAACAGACCAGCATTAATTTTCGTTATATTCATCATTATAGCGGGAAAAACTACAGTGCGTACAACTCGACAAGTTGTAGCATTTGATAGATCACACAAAATGATTTGAACTTGATTAGCTGCGATCAGAGCGGTCGTACGAACTTGGGCACAATTTTCATCGTGCGATACAGCTAATTAAGTAGTATTGTTTCTTACCTCTATTTCAGACAAAACAATTAAAGTACCATTGCTAGTTAAAGGCATCCAATACATGTTAAAAGTTACATAATCTAAATTCTGTGCCAATAACCAAACTCCTGCGCTAGCTTGACTGTGATATTGTGGCAATGCAATTGCTTGCCAGACAGAATAGATATTATTAAGCACAGACCATCCAGTTGAATCATTAACAAAAGGAGCAAACAAATAACGTTCAGCAATCACTTGTTCATATTCACTATCATGAATTACTGTAGCCGAGAACAACTCATAGAATAGTATAGTAGAAACAATAAAAAAAACTAATTTTGACCACACAATGCCATACAATAGAATATACTATAAGTAAAATAAAAATTTGAAAACTCAATGTGATTGCTAAAGTCAGTCTCCCAATAAAGTGTGTTCAACACAAGCATTCGTTTCAGATATAGTTCACATTTTCAAAATTATTATTAGTTTTATTTCTTTCCAATAGGATAATGCATTTACTTTTCTAAAATCAGTTTTCTTATAGGCCATCCTCTATTAGCATTTTTACTAGCAAAAATTACAGTTTTAGATTTATCTTGGTTGATTTCTCAATTACACAAGTGAATCCCCAATGAGTATATTTTTAGACAGAATCTAGCGAGGTCTCATGCATCAATCATTGTCAACAATGACTTTTAAGAGAGAAAATATTAGTTACAGTAAAAACTCGACTTATGAGCATATCTCCTCATTCTGAATTGTGAGCAGTTTTTTCAGCTCCATCAGTAACAACAACTTTGATCATGTGAGTAACGTGTGCTCTACCACTCACGTGAAGATGGGGAAAAACGAACTCATTAATAGTATTAATAAAATATTTTCGTAGAAAATAACAATAGGTACTGTAGATAAAATTTTGACGCGCAACAATGAATATTTAATAGATTATGGATAAGAAATAGTTAATAAAGAAGCTGCAAAAAAAGGACTTGTTGATACAAAATATCTTAAACTTCATCAAACTATAAATGACATTGAATCCAAGCTTACAGACATTTACCTTGACTCAAACATTTTTGTTCAACTCACTATTCAAAATTATTTTTAAAAAATGGATGATTGTTTGAATCAATAAATTACTGCAGAGCAGAAGAAAAAGGTTATTTTATACTACTGAAAAGTGATTACAAATGAATTCGCATCATTTAAAAAAAAAGAAATTTAAAGTCTACCAATAGTGACCAACTTCATAAACTGAGGACTTTTTCAGTCTCAGTTCCAATAGTCCTTATATAAGAGAAGTCTTAATTAATAATTTAAGTAATCAGCGATAACTGAAGAATCAACTTCTCACTACAACCTTGAATCATCCTACACTCTCGAGCAAAATGAATCACAGAAGAATATTTATAGAATCGATATCAGAATTCAAAGCCGAAATAGACGATACATTAAAGTTGATAAAACAAGTGACAGATGGTAATAAAACTAACTGTAAAAGAAGAAAAAAACGTTGTTTTTATGTGTTATACAGCAGTAAAGCTGAGACCTACGATTTTATTGAAAACGATCTGCAAAAATTATATCAGTTTGAATTAACTAGAGTTGTTTTACTTTTAGCCTTATATCCTTATGCATAAGTTCGCACTAACGGTAAAAATTGAATTCTTTCATGATACACTAAATTGGGTAGTGCATTGATCAATACATGATCGTTGAAGAGATGCGAAATCGATCTAAAGTGCTGGCGTATTTTTTCTTCAAGAATCAAAATCATTCTTTTCTTTCTAACCATGATTTCGAATCACCTAGAATGCCTTCATCAGCTAGAAGAATTCATCCTTAGGGTTTTTCTCCAGAAAACGTCAAAGAAAGCGATCTGATTTTGATGGAATCCTATGCTTACCTTTCCAAAAAAGAACGGATAATCAATCATTTCAATGGTTATAATGGAACGGTAGAAAACGTGTTCCTTCAAATGCAGAATGTATCGTTGTCAGCTATGAAAGCATTCTTCGTGGGCAAGGTAGCTTTCCATATTTTGATGAATACGTTTCCTCCCGTTTTTTTCTTTGATTATTTTTCACTGTGTATCATTTCAAACAGTACATACTTGAAACTTGAATTAGACATGTGACAAGTCTCGATAGTCAAAATCGAACGTAGTAAGAATGGTATTTCTCGTTCAAGACAAGGAAATTCGTCTGCTGTGCATCTAATAAACACCATGTATTATCATTTATATTAACAGCTATCTATTAAACAATGAAGTTTACTCTAACATCAACTCACCAAGTTGAATCATGACGATAAAAGAAAAATAATTTTCTTATCATTTGTCAAATACAGCATTACACAATCATTAAATAAACAATCCTTGCACAGCGAAAAGTTTTGTGCTTCTTATCTAAAAGCTGTTTGTTGGAGTGAAAAACTGCAATTTTACCTGACTAACAAACAGTGTCTTGTGTAGTATCATGAAGTTTTGAGACGCAGTTAGATCAGAACTATACAATGAAGAATATGAAACGACGCCAATAAAACTGTGCATAAAATATATCATCAGTAAAAGATAAATTCATGAACTCCAGCTAGAACACATTTATTATAGGCATCAGAATGAATTTAAAAAAAATATATGTTACAAAGTTTGTTCGCCTGTAATACCCATGCAAATGATGAATACGAATCAGAATCAATCTATCAGGAACTTTGAGGATAGGTTATACGCTACAAGATTACAGAATTACATTATAATCTAATTATTATATCAATAAATGCTATAAAATAAAATCTAGAAATTCTAGTTCTAACGTGAAGGAATACGCTTCAATAGATAAAAATCCTATGAAGATAACTGGACAAGTTGGATTTTTAATATCATAGATGATGAAACAGAGAAATGACTTTGTTGGTTTAGGCTTTTTTAAACACGCCAATTTGTTCGATCTCGAAGTTATATTGAATTTATTCTCAACGAAGTAAAAAATAGATTCACTTTTCATAAGTTATTTGTCCATTTAGTGGTAAAAGATGTTTTCTTGGTATTTTTACTTAGTAATATATTTCAAATGGCATGTTTTGTAGAGAGCAAATATTCTATTGATTCAATCGTGAAAACATTCGGACTTGCTTCTTCGGTATATTGACAAAGATTAAAGTTTGCTAGTAAAAGTTAATGACATTAATGAAGAGTTCGTTTAGATAATCAATATATGAATTAAAAACATACAATAGCATGGCTTGGCGTAGCAATCTCACTTGTGAGACAAGACTCGATTTTTATGATTCTATTAGACAATGAAAATCCTTTATTTTTCAACCAAAAGTCTGGAAATAATCGATTCATGAAGCTCGATTACTAAAACATCTCAAATAAATAAATATATATAATATATGCCTTGACGATAAACTTATCTCTGTCCGGTACAAGCATCCACTAAATATTCTGCATAGACAAAATTTACTTCATTCACAAACAAGAATATTTTCAAGGTAATTTTTATTCAAGCTCTAGCTTATATCAACATTTAACTATTTATCCAAATACCAAACGAAGAAGTACACAAATATATCGATTTCAACTTATCGAGCATCTGTTAAAAATGCTGGACTACTATGAGATGAATCTTTTTTATCGGTTGGTATACCTTTTCTTTTACTATAAAATACTTTAAACAATCATATATTTTTTATTATCTGGCTACTCATCAGTACCTCGAAAGACACGAATAAAAATGCAAAGATCTTTATCATAATGAGTATAAACAAGAAATCATGGTCACAAGTACTAACTCAACAAAAGACAATTGTATCTTATTAAAAAACAACATCAGATTAACTCTCTTTCTCCCGTTTACCTTACAATATTTTAACATTAAAGAAATTAGGCTTTTCAGTACTGGAGAACCACACGCACAAACTGAACACTAATAAAAGATAATCAGATAATTCGACAATCCTAACTTTCAAACAAGGAAGAACTAGCGTCAATAAAGAGAATACCAAATGAAGGAACCAATACACACTGCGAACATTTATTCAGTTTTCGTGTTTGATTCCGTGTACTCAGAATCTTCATGAGTCTCCTACTGTTGCTTATTGAGTGTAATCAAAGTTGCAATGGAAGAACTGTGGTATTAACTGGATGGGAGAGTGTATCACGTGTTTGAATGTCTATTGGCTCAAGATAAGTATTGTTTTATTGGCGTTCGCATTTGGTTCACATTGATGCTTCTGCCGTACTTATAGGAAAATCTTATATCATTTATTTAATTTCTGTCAGACGAGTGCTAATATGATTTTTTTCGGTAAAAATGATGGTAAAGATTTGTTCTTAATTTTTTTTGTATCATACTCAAGTTGTATTCTATTTATGTTCAATTAGATGGTTTTAGTTAAGTTAGATATTTGACTATTTTTTGAATAAATCTAAAATAATCATCTTATTAAGTATGAATTATGATCAAAATGAAAAGCAAGGTTACATTAATCAATATTAATATCTAGATGAGAAAATATTGTTGGCATATCAATATAAGCCGAAGAAATAGCTAGCAAAAGAACGCCATTCTATATATAGCAGCATTCTCTCATCGTGCTAGGAATACAGTAGTGAGGTTAAAGTACAATAGAAACAATTGGTGCCCTACTAAACGATTAAAACGAATAATATTATTCTAAAGATAGATAAGTAGAAAGATGTCCTTCAGGATACATATGCTGGCTTGCAATTTTTTTTCTTGCCATTTTCTATATCGTTATCAAACAAGGCCATTCACCTTGACTGTCTGCCATTTTTTTTATGCTGCGTGTGCATTTTTTGTATGTTGTCATGCTTCTCGCTTTTAGCAGTTAATAAATGCGGAAACATCGGATTTGCATCCGATTGTTATGTGTACTTCAAAAAGCAAAAATGTACATCCATTTTTTTCTGTTCCTATTTCGTCGTAAATGTTTTATATCATGCACAGCAAAACTAGAAAGAGGAACGAATACACTATTGAAGATACAACTCATAAAGACTGTTCCGAAGTGACGGGTTCTATTTACTTTGAAAAAATTGGTATTACTCATATGAAAAATAAACAAATATCACACCGGCACATTATCAAGATATATGAGTTTTTCGACACTGATACAGAGGAATCTTGTGAGCAACTTGTTTACCCTTATAATTTAGCATCATCTTGCAGCCCATGAAATCCCCAATCTAATGGTATATGACAGTTGAAGAATTATTTTGATTATGATAAATCTGCTCGTTTGAGAAACAAATTATAATAAAATAGAATAGGTCACTATTCACATAGAAAAGTAGGATATTTTTTGCGTAACTCATCAAATTCTTGACGGACTGCGTTCATCTTCGAACTCGACTGAGATATTGATGAGATCATTCTGTGTACAAAATTTCATAACAATTGGATAAGGCTTTCAAAAGTTATCGTGTTAACGGACGGCCGGACGGCCGGACACACTGACCGAATCTAGAGTGTACTCATTTTTTTGGAGTACACAAAAACATTTTTTTTTAACTTGAAAAGTCTTTTCTTTTTCAATAACGGTTTGTTCTTAGCGCACAGCTATTCAGAACGAAACCAAAAACCCTAAATTTACTATAAAACAGAGCTAAATATTGATTGCTTATCTTTTTTTTTTCATGACCTTTTCTTCTCTGTCTAGTCAGCAGACATTGGGTGCTCCCTACGCAAAAATCTGACGTACTAGTACGTTTTGTGAAGTAAAAGTACATGTACTCTACTGTCTATTTAAAAATTGTACTTTATACTTTTACTTAATTATATATAACGTAAGTCTAAACGTACTCAAGAAAAAGTGCAAAGTACAATTTTTAAATAAACAGTATTTGTGCTCGTACTGACTCAATGTCTGCTAATCAATGAAAGTCTTAAGGTTTATTCATATTAATTTTGTTTTTATTTTAGATAGATTGTGAAACATTTATAGCATGTCTAACGTTCTAGTTGATTCACCAGAAACTACGCCATTCATCTCTAAACCAACTGAAACAACTGTGGTATGTGAACATTACTTTTTTTCTCGATGAAAACAAATAATTTATATATTTTTAACAGATTCCAATAAAAGATTCAACTATTGATGTAGAACATTCATCTAGTTCAGTTACAATATCAAAAGAACAATTTCAAGAATTATTAAAGCATGTAGGAGATTCGAATCGAACTCAATCTGGAATAGCAAATCCAGGTGCACTTGGTCTTGGTGGATTTGCATTAACAACATTTATACTTTCAGTATTTAATGCTGGCTCATATTTAATTAATATTAAATTAGAACCAGTTGTTTTACCAGTTGCATTATTTTATGGTGGATTGGCTCAATTTTTAGCTGGCATGTGGGAGTTTAAAGTAAATAATACATTTGGTGCAACTGCATTTACAAGTTATGGATCATTTTGGATGTCATTTGCTGGCTATGTTCATTTCATTGTACCGCAAATAAAACAAGCGGGAAATGTAAAAAAAGCCACCGGCCTTTTTCTATTAGCTTGGTTTATTTTTACGCTTATTATGAATGTTGCTGCTGCAAAAACATCCAAATTTTTATTTATTTTATTTACTGTACTGAATATAACATTTTTATTATTAATTATTGGTAATCTTGGTGGTTTACCCTTGATTGTAAATATTGGAGGATGGTTTGGAATTTTAACAGCATTTGTAGCTTGGTATGGTTGTGCTGCTATTGTTATTAATTCAACTTTTAAAAAATCTCTTTTACCTCTCGGCCCTTTGGCATAATATTTGACTTGTTTTATTTAATTAAACAGTTCATTTTTTATTCAACAATTTTTATTTAGAATTTGATTGAAATTTAAAGTATCTGTATTAAATAATAGTGTTACATATTAGTATTAGACGTTTATTTTAATTTGCTAATAAAATATTACCAAACTTTTAGTCAATAGAAAATAAATAAATTTTTTATAGTTAAACTAATTAATAAGATTCTTATTTAAATTAATGTGACTTAATCTTAGTTTTTATATTTTTTTAATTTTCAGAGAAATTTCGTAATATCATCTTATCGAAACGAATTTTAAAAGAATTGTCTTAAAATTTGTTTTGATTTGTATAATTTGGTTCAATTAAAATCTTCATTATATTTCAAATCAAAACCCACAACTGACTTAATCAGTAAATTGTACAACAAATTAAATTTAAAATTTTTAGATTATTATTACTGAAATCTAATTAATCTAATTGAAATATTCGATTCTCAATCACTATCAGATTGCATGTAACTCAATACGAATAATTTTTCATCCATATGTCTCATTACTATATAGTTTGTTTGAATCGTAAGAACAGAAAATTTCCTTTGAAGTTATTCGTGTATTCTTCACTAGTTAAAAACGATGACCGTTCGTTAGTTGCTAGTGACAGAAAAATACTACGTGTTATCCAACGATCATTTTTAGTTAATAAGATTCGAACTAATTGTCATGGAAATGATAATATATTAAAAGTACAAAAACAAAAGTAAAACTGTATAAAATCTTGACGCAACTAATGAGAAATGATTAGTTAAATTCAAATAATATATTAAGATTTGAAAAATATTTTTTTTATTGATTGAATTCGATGTTAAAAAAATGCAAACAAGAGATGAAGGTCAGTGTGCCTCTATAGCTCAGTGGTAGAGCGCCAGTCTTGTAAACTGGAGGTCCGTAGTTCGATCCTGCGTGGAGGCAATTTATTTTTGTTCTCCTGTACAGGATAAATTCAAACACTATTTAATATTATTTATTCTTGTTATTTTGTTCATGAAATGAATCATTTCATATATTAATTTTAAGCTAGCCTCCTTTGATAAATGTTTAGTACATTTATAGAATTAAATATTGATTGATAACATTCGCATATATCTTATTGTTAGCAGCAAAAATTCTAAAGTATTCCCCTCAAATTTGTATGCAATTTTATTTGTATAGTTACTAGTTGAGTATCTTAATTATAATCTGAAATAGGATTCAATTTATTGAATGCGTAGTTATAATTTATTATTATTATTTGCCTATTTTCTGTAACATGAGTCCAATGATAATCCTCACTAAAAATAAAAAATGAATATCAACCTAAATCTTCGGTTTTTACTACCCTAGATAAATTCATATTGGTTATATAATCACGTTTAACTACACAAGAAGAGAAAAGAAAGTATTTCTCGTTGACTTAGGTCGATCATGAATTTCAAGAACGCTTTAGAATAGATCTCATTCAGTATAGTCAGAGAATAATAAAATAACTAGAAAATCTATTTAATATTTAACTATACTTTTGCTCCCACGTTTGTATCATAAGTTAGTAAAATCTATTTTTGAAAGAATTATCGACCTGAATGAATGATTACAGAGACAAATTTAAAATATAAACTGATCAATATAAAGAGTTGATATTTATCTAAGTTATGCTTAACATTTTTCTTTAGAATTAACTAAAAAATAAATTATTATTCTAAATCTAGAATAGTTATATTTTGAATTAAGATTTTGACAACTAAAATTAATAAATGAAAAAAAAGCCTCCGATAATGAAAAGTGTTAAAATTGAAAGAAAAAAAGTTTATTTTCCAAGTCCTTTTATTTTAATTTCCATACATTCATTCCAAAAGAATTTCTTGACACAAATATTTGGCGCGCAGCATGGATTGATTTTAAATTTACATGGAACACAATTTTTTCCAAATTCTCGTTTATCCATTGAATCATCATCGGAATTTTCATCATCATTTAACATTGAACGAAGAAACATTTGAGCTTTTTCATTTGATAATTCTAAATCATTGTCATTATTTAAAAATAAACGTTTACCATCAATAAATGAACATATCGATAATATTAATATAATGATACTTATCTTAGAAATCATAATTTTATTTTTACTAAAGAAAAAAACAGCGAACTGTTATTTATAATATTGATCAATTTAGTTTATTTGAAAGATTTTTTTTCTATTTCAACAATTAGCTGCTTTCTTTTAGATTTTTATACTATTGAAAACGATTATTCATTCAATGCAAAGCTTAATTCACATGATTGAATTAAATAAATAGAATTATTTCAAAAGTAAATTCTTAATATACTTCGTCAATATCCATTGAATCTAACTATTTTAACCGAATCAATCAAAGGAAATCTAGGTTTTTCTTTCTTGATAAAATTCTCCTATTCACATTTCTTTTTTCTTGTTTCTTTGAAACTAATCAACTGAATTTAAGTTTTAAATAAAAGAAAACACTTGTCAATATTTGATCAATTTATCAATGAATAACTATACTATTAAAATTTAAAATGAATTAGTTATAAAAAAAAAGAAAATCTTTTTGAATAAATGAAAATGAAAACTAAATGAATAAATGAGATAAATTAAAAAAATTATGTTTTTTTCTTATCCGTTCGACTTTTTTCTAAAAACTTTAAAACATAATTAACTGTTTTATCTAACATAGATTTATTTTGTAAACCAATTGAACATGATTTCGGATTTAAACACGTGTACCAAGTAGTTCGACTTATTTTTTTTGGATCATCTTGATGAATTTGAACTAAACGAAAATTTTTTTCATTTGATTGATGAAGATAAATTTTTTCTTGTAATGTAAAAAATTTATCATTTTGTGGTTCTTTTGTACATGTTATCGGTTTGACAAAAGCTGATTTAATATTTAATAATTTAGAATCTTGTTTTGGATAAATATTTCCATAACAACTTAATAATTGTTGTTTTTCTTTAGCTTGTCCTTTTTCGATTGATAAAGTTTTTTTTAAATTTTTTGAAAGTAAATTAAAATCAACACTAATTAATGACAGTAAAATTGTCCGAAACGTTTTCAATGAAATCAATTGATAATTATCAATTGATAATAAACTAGTTGGATATTTAAAATCTTCAATTATATCAGTTGTTAATTCAATTAAAGATTTATTTTCATTCAAATTATTTAATGATGATAAAACGCGAATATGAATTTTTTCTTCTGTATGATTTGTAAAAATTTTTAATTGAATTCGAGATTTTAATGAAGGTTTTTCTAATGTTTCACATAATTGATTTGTTCCAGTTTTTTTCAATGTTTTAAAATCAATTTCAGATTGGCAATCTTCTAATTCTTGTATATCATCATTATCATCATCGTAATCTTCATCAATATTTATTGATTTTGTTATGTCGAATAATATTAATGAAATAAATAAAATTGCTATTTTCAATGAAATCATTATTGACCAAAGAATATATATATATATATTGAATGAAAAAACTATTTTTTTTCTCGACTCGCTTTTATATAAGAGATTATTTCTGTGATAATTAAGATAAATTATCTTTTAGATTCTTTTCTTTATCAACGATAATTAATGCACTTGTCAACATTGATATATATATAGATCAAGATAATCCAATTTGTTGACAACGTCAAGGTATTTATTAGGCAATTGTTATAGAAACAAAAATAATCAGATTTAGATTATTTTATTTACTTAGTTTACAAAAAATCGAATAAATTGTTCTACAGATATTCACTTATTTTAATTAATGAAGAAAATTAATTGAAAATAATCCTTTTTACTTTTTCACTTTTCAAAAATAAAAATAGCCAAAAGACAAAAGAATCGATCGCTTGTCCTTATCTTTTATTTAAGATAAATTTATGTATATCTATATGAAGATGAAGAAAGATATTCTTTATCATATCTATCATCGCATTACTCGATCTATACGAATTAGTTAATCTATTTCTTATTTGTTTATCATGCTTTGATTTCAACAATATATCTTTCGTCACTTTTAGGATATTTTCAATAGTTATTCAAGATTTTCTTATTTTTAAATAAGAAATTTCTCAGTAAATAATAAAACCTAAAACAAAATATTGTAATTATTATTTTTTCTTGATTTATTTAAATTAGATAAAAAAATTTCTTTCAATAATTAAATCAATTAAGAAGAATAAAAAAAACTTTGTTACAATTAGAAAAACAAGTGTACATACCACGAGGGCTCTAAATTGATTTAAATCAGGAGTCGCATATTATTTTTTCACTCGCTATTTATGATTCACGAAACGCTTTCAAATTTTTACTGCGTCTTCAACCATAAATGGAAGTCAGTATCATTTTCCTTCTTGTTGAAAAAAAACTATCTTTCAATAAAGGTTAAAAATTACTCAAGACTTTAAAAGCACAACACCTTCATAATGGCAATTGTTGGCCAAAATTACACTTTTTCACACGTTAAACAGCTCCGAAATGACGAAATTCAGGTGTAACAGATTCGCCATACATTATTTTAATTTATATTTTAGGTTTTCAATTAATTATACAATAATGATCGCTTTCAATATTAGTATTTCAAGGTCGAATTTCATCTCAGCGTATAATTCTCTATTAGTTCACTGAATGCTGGCATCAACTCATAGAAAAAAGTGTTTTTAAATTCTATTTACCCGTGTTACTTGAATGACCGATATTTAAACAAATTCTTGCGTATCGACCTGCAAAAAATGATGTCAAAGCATAATCAATTTGTTTTTTTTGTATCGCTTTAAAGATATCTCTTTTATCGCGAATGTACTGAGTCAAAATAGAGTACCACTAATCTTGATTTGCTTTGGTTACGTAATACCTATCAGTTTCTTATTTAGTGAGAAATTATTATTTAGATAGTCTTTTAGCGATTATAATTAGATCACCCAACAATTTATGTTTATTCATAAAATAATGATCAAGATTTTGTTCTCTGTATAACATAATTATTGAAATTCAGTTTTTTCGAGGATTAACAACAGTTTATATTTGGAAATTGTTGTTCTTTGATCTCGAAGTTGCTGCAACCGTTGTTGGATCTATATCAGAGAAGAATTCATTAATTAAATCGAAACACTCATTATACAATCAATAAGAGTATGTTTAGACGCGTTGAAATAAAATTGTTTAGCTGTGCTATTCATAGAGTATGAAAGTTCACCTCAAAATCTTTCTTACCAAAGCAGTGTTTTCAATAAAAAAAAGACTTACTCTAAACTTTTTTTGTACTTTTCCTGATGCAAATTGGAAAGTTAGTCCATTTCCCATCGGCATTGCAAGTGACATTCAAATTACCATCAGTATTTATGTAACCATTTTTGCAAGCAAAAAGTACATAAGAACCAATAAGAACCAAATCATCTTCATCCGAATTTTCAGATACACGCTGAGACACAATTTGAAGGCCTGCTACTCTTGAAACATTGTTTAAAAATATTTTCATCAGTGGAAGAGAACATCGCGCTGTAACTAGAAATAAGAAGTATGCAAATTACTTTCTGGAGAAAAAGTATTTATCCAAAAAATACGCCAAAACTCTTTGAAGTCACATACCTGAACAGTACGGTCTGGGCGACCATGTTCCATTGTTACATTTAAAAACACCTTGACTTATGTTATCAATCATATAACCAGGTTCACAGGAAACCATTATACAACCTATAATAGAATGTTATATAATCTTCCAGAGTCTGTCAGTATTTATGAATCGATCTACCTGCTGCAGTATTATCATTGTAGACAAGCATATTTGTAGTATTTGAAATATATCCATTAGTGAATTGCCAAGTATCANGCGACCATGTTCCATTGTTACATTTAAAAACACCTTGACTTATGTTATCAATCATATAACCAGGTTCACAGGAAACCATTATACAACCTATAATAGAATGTTATATAATCTTCCAGAGTCTGTCAGTATTTATGAATCGATCTACCTGCTGCAGTATTATCATTGTAGACAAGCATATTTGTAGTATTTGAAATATATCCATTAGTGAATTGCCAAGTATCATCTGTAACTCCGCATCGCATAAGCATAGAATCACTAATTGTTGTAGAATCTGATGTTAATGCCAAAGTCGATGTCGATATTGAAATACATCGAGGATACGGAGTCCAGACACTAGCTTCTGTACAGATGATAAGCAATGGTCCTCCAACATTGATGTATCCATTTAAACATTGTACAGTTATATTTGATCCACCTAAAGCTCGATCATCAGTAATACTATTCGTGAACACAAAATTCAATGATTGATTGATTCGCATGCCTTCTGCTGTTTGAATAAACTCCAATAAATCAGACATCAGACATGCACCCATCGCTACACATGAAAATACTCATGCTGAAAAGAATGAACACGGTGACTTACATCTGCATACAGGTAGTGGCTTTGACCAATTTCCTGATTGAAGACAAGTGATACGTCCACCAATAGTAGGATCAAGTTCATAACCTGGATCACATTCAATATCATAGTAGCCATACGCATTTCCATTTGTGAAAACTTTCAGATTGGTAGTGTTCGATTTATGACTATTGGGGACGGTGAGTAAATCATCTGTCCAGGAACATGGACCTAAATTAAATTTGGATGAGCTTCAAAAAAATTATTAATTTCACATGCACATGCACATATAAAACTAATCATTTTTTTTGAAGAACTCCATCTATGTGTAAAGAAACACGTTTTACTATAGACAAGAGTTCATCTCCTAAGAATATTAATGTCTGCTATTCGAATATAACCATTAAATACACAGTAATACCAGGTCTAAGACAAGAAACTATTACCTGAAATTCCTTGTATACTCTCAACAGTACATTTGGGAAATGAGCTCCATTGACCGTCAGCATGGCAGCTAACATTTAGATTTCCATTCAGAAAAGTATAGTCAGTTGTACAAGCAAAACTTATCCATGATCCAACAAGTGCTAAGTCATTTTCGTTTGGATTAGCTATAATATGTTGCATAACAACACGAATGCCGGTGAATTGTGAATCATTGTTGAAAAAATTTTTCAGAACCGAAAGTGAACACCGCGCCGTAACTAAATGAAAAGTCAAGTAGGTTTATTTCATAGTTTTTAGAATGCAGGTTAATATTCGGGAGAATTTCTTTAGCACAGCATCCACAGGACATAAATACTATTATTGGTGTAACTGTTTTGTTAATCAACGATAAAACTCTAAGCAAATAGTTTAAAATCTTCTACAATTAGTATGCCTTAGTCAGAATAAAACAGAGAACGGAAAAAAATAGCATACTTGAACAGTACGGTCTGGGCGACCATGTTCCATTGTTACATTCAAAAACACCTTGACTTATGTTATCAATCATATAACCAGGTTCACAGGAAACCATTATACAACCTATAATAGAATGCTATATAATCTTCCAGAGTCTGTCAGTATTTATGAATCGATCTACCTGCTGCAGTATTATCATTGTAGACAAGCATATTTGTAGTATTTGAAATATATCCATTAGTGAATTGCCAAGTATCATCTGTAACTCCGCAACGTAAAGAACGGCGAACTGTTGCTATTTTTGATGTAGATGTCGATATTGGAATACATTGCGGATAGAGAGTCCAAGTATTGGCCTGTGTACAAATAACTGTCGATGATCCTCCAACATTTATGTACCCATTGGAACATCGTATGGTTATATTTGATCCACCTAATGCATGATCATCATCAACACCATTTGTATAGATAAAATTTGTTGATTGATTAATCCATATGCCTTCTGTTGTTCGAATAAAGTCGAAAAGGCTAGAGATAGGACAGGCGCCCATCGCTAAAAATGATTATCTCCACATCGATAATGAAACACATTCAATAACTTACATCTACACACAGGTAATGGACTCGACCATTTTCCTGATTCCAGACAAGTAATGCGTCCTCCAATAGTGGAATCCAATGAATAGCCTGGATCACATTGAATATCGTAAAATCCATAAGCTTGCCCATCTGAGTATGTTTCTAATTGAGTAACATTAACTTTGCGACTGTTTGGGACTAAAGGCAAGCCATTACTCCACGAGCATTGACCTTTATAAACAAAAGTAAGATATTTTGTTCATTAATATATACTAATCTTCCTGAAGATCACGACGAGGATTAAAGATTTCTGCAAATATTGTTTCATGAGACTAATTTTATTGTAAAGAAAATTCTGCGAAAACATCGAAATTTTTATTCGCCTTTAATACCTACTGCTCGCAGCGATCGAACAATCTACGTGAATACTAAACGCAGTATAGAGTCAGATCATTGAATTTCGTATTATACCTGCGAACAATTCCACTATATCATCTTTTATTTCCCTAATGTTTGAATTATGTTCTAGATACTGACTTCTACATATTTCTGTATTCACTTGATCAAAAGGTCAGGTAATATTTAATCAGCATGGTCTTAATGATACTATCATGCTTGTATTTTCGAGAGCCTACCGTATACACAGATGACAAGTACAAATAAGTCAAACAAGACAAACAGAACATTCATTGCAATAAGTTGATGATGTGAAATATTTAATGGTTCTGTGTCAAAATATGCGATGCAATAAAATACTAAGAAATAAATTGTACCAGAGACTTCATTTAAACAGCACTATTTGAATAGGTTCTTAAAAGAAGATTGAAAACAAAAAGCAAAATAGACGAAAATATGAGCAATTATTCTACAAGTACTTAATATGAAATAATCACATCGCATATATGACTCTTGAAAGATCATTCGTATGAATATTCAATCATTTAAGAAATAATGAGTTTTCAATGATAAGATCAACCAATAATGAAAGTTCGGTGTTTTTTGCAGTTTATTTCTCGATGAAGCAAACATGTTATTAATATTAAATAACGATGAAGAAAAAACATTTATATAATGAATTTTTAATTTTACCAAAACAACACCTTAAAAAATGACGAAAATAACCACATCAATAGTATTGAATGCACATCTGCATTGTTACTTTCAATCCACGATCAAATAGTAGCGAAGAATCATTCGTGTGCCCATGTAGAGATGCTGCAATTCACTAACAATGCAATTGACAGGCATAATGTATATCTCGAATTTACTTTCTTCATAGTGTGAGTAGAAGGGTAACTTTTGATTAAAAATATGCAAGAAAGTTATTCGAAATCTTTCTTGCCATTTAACTTTGGGCTATTTCTTGAGGGTGTAGAAATTTCGATGTCTATGATACCTTGGCAAAGAATGATACTTCAGCGTCTGCTATGCATTCTTTCATAATCCTATCAAATAAGATATTTTGGCTGGTGCAGTAAAGTTTCTATTAGCAGTAAAATTCTGACAATGCCGACAGATGCAGGGTTGTCGATTATTTCGAGGAGTGGCGGAAGCTGAAGATTTGGGAGAAAGTCAGTCGTTTTCATAACATCTAACTTATCTAAAAAGTCTTTTCAGAGCAATCACAGCAGACCATTTCAAATATATTTTAACTTTTATAAAAAATAGAAAACTTTACAAATATTTTAATTGAACGAACAGAAAATTTTCTTTAATCGTCATCACTCTCTTGTTTGTTCTTCATTCCTGTTTGTCATACAAGCTGTAATATTTTTCAAGGTCCTTGTGAACATATTTTATTCAAAGTAACTTATAGTTCAACGAATTCATCTTTTTCTCTTTACAATGACCAATAAATATATTATGAATTTAGACTATTCTAATCGGGAAAAAAAGGAACGTTTTCGTCGATCTTTTTATCATGAAGTCGAAATCTGAATACCATGAACAGACGCAGGCAGACAGGCATGTTCATTTTTGTGCAACCTTTCTGCACCAAAGAAACAAGATGAGAGAAAACAAAAATAAGTATTTAATAAAAGACAAAATCATTACTGAACATGTTTCTTCTTGTATGAATATAATAGCATATATCATGTATTTATTGTTAACTTTGACAATAATAAATGTATTCAAGGCATACAGGTTACTTTATAGATAGAATATTTTTAACTACGTTCACATTTCATATTTCAATAAAAAAAACCGACAAAACAAAGCACTGAAACGCGGTGAAATTGATAGAAAAATTCTGACAAGCAAGGTAAATGGGGATTATTTTTATGGAAGTATTGATTTTAAATTTCACTTGAAATCAATTCTAATTTGACTAAAACATTCAAATAAAAGTGCATTCAAGTACCATAAATGTGAATTATACTTCATTAAGAAAAACCTAGTTTAATAGATTCTTCAACAAAAAAGAAAACACTTTAAACTTAAACTTAAACTTATATCTTTTAATCGAATAATATCGATTTTCTATGTATTAGTTTGAGTATATTACGTTGAAGCATTTATCATTTATTATTAGAACAAACGTTAATTCTCAACAATTTGAAAAATCTTTTTAAAGATTAGATAAAAATTTGTTCAATTTCAATACAAAATATCAAATTTTTTTTGATCTATTATATATGTATGACTATGAATTAATTATATAATCAATATATAAATCAATAAGTGCAGATTTAGAGTTTTTTTTTCGAAATTAATAAATCGAAACAAAACGAAAGTTATAATAAAATAAAATAAAATAATTTGAATGAGAATATTTGTCGAATACGTATATTCTTTTCTCGCTATACAAAAAATAGTTTTTGGTATTTAAATTCTTATTTGTGATCCATCTGTCATACTCATACGAGTTATTGTTAATGCTTGTTTTCCTTGAAAATTTTCATCGTTAAACTGCAATTCTTTTGGTGTCCATGTAAAACAATCATTAGATTTAGTTGACTTCCATTGAACACGAAAAGTATCATTGCCATTGATTGCATGTGGAGGTGTTGGAAGTCAAACTTGAATTTTTATACTTTGGTTTAAAACAATTTTAGCTGTTTGAGGATAATAGAAAAGACCAAGCATAACATCTCGGCGCGTTAATGACCAGTTTTTTGGTATTGAATCAAAGTATTTATCATCGACTTTGTCCATTGATGTCATTTTATAGTTTGTTATCACTTGTATAATACTCCAACATCGACGGGTAACGCGAGTTGATCGAAGAGAAATTTGAGTCTTTATTTTTAAAAATAAATCTCTTCACATGGATAAACGTTTTCATTATCTGTTCGACATATTTGATTTGCATACCAAGTCTTCATCTTGAGATGAATTTGTTGAATAGATCATTTCATATTGAAATTTAATATGTTCCATACATACAACCAAGAGGTGGAGAATCGACTAATAATTGAATATAATTTTTTGATTGAAGTGAATTAGGAATTGAGTATGGAAAATTTTTCATAGCATATGAAGTTTCTTGTTCTTCAGAACCGTAGCTAATGGTTTTATAAGTTCGTTGATTAATTTCATCGATTGCAATTATAGTTTGACTATTATCAGGAAAAAATACAATTTCACAAGGAAAATATGGTTGGTAAAATTCTCCCAAATCATAATAACAAAAACTAAATCATATTAAACTAAATAAAAGTTTCATTGTAGAAATCCTTTTTTCTTAAACGAATCGGAAAATGAATATCAACAAAAAGTTCAGCATAGTATTAACTTATTAATTCTTTATCTTTTTTTTGACATATTAAAAATAATCTATCATGCAATGATGAATCAACAGAAAAATTACAGCAATATTGAAATAGATTTTTTTTCTCATATTTAACGCCCCTCCATAAATATTTTATTTATCTTTATTTTTGTACCGCCTGTGGCAATCTCTTGAAAAATAGAATTAATTTTTTAATTTATTAAGACATTCTCAATGTTGAGTTGCTGTTTCCAGTTCATAGCGAGACACAAGTACTTTATAGTATGTTCCAAAATTGATAAGAAATGCCGGATATTTAACATGTTCATCATGTGAATTCACTAAATTAGTCGGTAATTTTTTACCACGAAAACTAACTAGTTGAAAGTGATAGAAATCGACAAGACTCATATTTGTCGTTTCATCTTTGTTTCCAAATATGTTTGGATCAATCATTAGATTTGTCTAGTTTTCCAATTCTTCTCCAATCAATTCGTTCTCCAGGTTATATCATTCGAAATCTGTTCAATAGCCATCTCACATAATTCTCTGTGACCGAGATCATTTTGATGCATGTCTATTGAATTTTTATTAATTATTTACTGATCTATAGTTATTTTAAAAGAAGTTGAATGAAATTCTTTGTCAAATTTATTAGTTTCTCAAAATCTGTATACTGATATGGCGACATATGCATTCTTACTACATTGCTTTTAACTTGAACAGAATGAAGTTCACATCGACGCTTTATCTCGAAATCTAAATTATACCGATCAACATTTGAATTAATTTTTGCAGTTGTAGTTCATTCAAGAAGATATTTACCATCTGGACATGTCTGAAAGTTAACTCGATTATCTGTTTCATTTCATTATAAACATCAGATATTGAATCAAGTTTCTTGCTTAAGAGAATATCACCAAGTAGTTCAATAAAATAAATAAATTAATAGTATTATGATTAGGGCATTTTCACGTCCTTTTAAAACTAGTTCTTAGTTAATCATGGACTCTCTCGAGAATTTATGTGCACATGCCACATATTTTGTCTGCTTGTTTTTATTTTAAATATAGTGTTCGAGGTAAATACAATCGAGAAGACTGAAAAAGTGAGAGATTTATTTTTTGCTTTCGTTTCTTCTACTTCCTTTCGTTGATAAAGATGGACTACGAAAATAAATACCTTTTTCATTTTTACTTTATTTTACGTTTTATTTAGATCTTATGAATTTATAATTGATGTATTTTGAAAATTTCTATTTTCGTTAACTATTCCTAAATAATAACAACATTCTATTTTATTATAAATAATCCTACTTATAACAAATCAAAACGAATTCAATGTCTGTATACAAGTTATGTTATGTTTAAGTTGGTCGTCAAACGAGATGATACTGATAGATAATTTTTATTTTTTACGTCTCTCTCATTTTGAAATCTATTTACTAATCTCACAATATTATTTCTTCGAGAATAAGCTCGTTAATTACCATAAACTAATTTTTTTCGAATTTAAAATATCATTTTGTTCATCGAATTTCCCCTAAGTTCAAAATTTATTTTTTGTTTTCTTCTAGTATAAAAATTTATTTTGTTAAAAGAAGTATCAAGATATTCAGAAGAAGAGAAGTGTAAATACAATAGATAAGGTAAAGGAGAAAAACAAAATAAAAAAATATTAAGTAATCTTTTAAAACTTATAATTTATTTTATTTGATAAATTTCTTAAAGTATTCATTAGATTTTTAGTCTTCTATCAATAAGATTAGTTGAAAGAAAGTATTCAACACTGTTACAAGATAATAAATAGAATTAATTTTTGTGAAGTAAGAAACAGAAAAGAAATCAAAATAGTAATATTAATATTTTTTACAGCTAAAATCAGATTAAATTTAATAATTGATCTATTTTGGTTTTCTTGAAGAAATTGAAAAAAAAAGAGTAAAATAGTTATAAGAAAATCTGTTTCAATTGTAAAAACAAATAGTAGAATAAAATTGAGATTTGAATCATCGATGGTTTTTTATTTTTATTTTATTTAAATGAAGCGAAGGAGAAACTATTGACAGATTCTGTTTTTTGTCGTTCTGTTTATTAGAAATAAACCATTAAGAAAACATCTGTTCTGACTTGATTTGAGAACATTCTTTTATTTCAGAAGATGAAAACAAACTGTTGACCACTGAATGGCGATTGATTCTTCTCTTTTATTCTATTATTATAAGGTCGTCAATGTAAAAGTTGTTGCAAAAAAAAAACTTTTTCTTATTTATTTATTTTTTCTTCTTCGAAAAAAATTAAAATTATTTTAGTCTTATTCATATCATCGTCTAAAATCTGCTTTTTACTCTTTTAAAATAAGTTTATATTAATATAATTAACTGAATATTTGTTTAATGAATATGAAAACTAAATGAATATTTAACAATTATTAATTATATTTAGAATATTCGATATTCCTAAAATACAAAAACATGAATGAAGATTATTATTCTATTCTTGGAGTTAGTCGAACAGCGACTGATGAAGAAATCAAGCATTCATATAGAAAACTAGCATTGCAACTTCGTAAAAATTTCACTACTAATTTTATTTCTATAAAAATAAAGCGTGAATGTAGATCCAGATAAAAATAATGATCCCGAAGCAACAGCTCGCTTTCAAGCTGTTGGAAAAGCTTATAAAACACTTGGCGATCCAAAATTTCGATCAATATATGATTTTTTAGGCCCACAAGGTCAGAGATTAACAATTATATTGAAATTATTGAACTACTATTTATTCTAAATATAGCGGCTGATATGATAGAACAATATGAAGGTAAAAATTAGAACATATTCAAATAAATTTACCCGTATATATGTATATACATATAGATTATCCTGGCACAATGAATGAAATGTCAACATGTAAAAAGATTCTATTCGGACTAATATTTTGTTTTACAGGTTGTTGTTTTGGTTGCTTTTGTTGTTGTTGTTGTGGCTGTGTATGCTGCTGCAATTTTTGTTGTAATAGATGTGGAAAAAACAAAAATTCTACTGTAACTGCTTCATTGGTAAATGATTTTCTTCTTGTTCTTTCTTTTGTTAATACATATCGTTGATTATTTAAGGATGACGAAGAAAAGAATAATATAAATGATCAATCAAATCATTCTAAAAGTTCTAGTTCTATTCATCAACAACCAAAAAATATTCCTTCAAATTATGAAAAATATTAATTTTTATAATGTTCTTACTTTGCCATATTAACTAGAACAAATAAAAAGAGAGATTTTTAAATGTTCATCTAATCGATACTTATGAAAACAAGTTTTATATTACAAAAAAAAAGAGTACAATCAGTAGTTTGACACTTTTACCAAAATGTTTTATATTAGGATACATTGAAAAATTTTCTTACCTCTTGATTGTCTCCATGTAAATAATCTCAATTATTATTAAAAACTAACAATAAAAAATGAATTCTTTTTTTTTCCACATAGAATATTTTATTAAAAAACATATGATCTATTCAACAATAAGCATCCTTAGAATAGGAAAAAAAACACAAAGATCAATCTTCAAAACTCCAGTTATTGACAATATTCAATGAATAATCATTCATCTCTCAACAGATATAAATTGAAGAAGTATTTCTTATTTGTTCAATATATATATATATATATATATATCTTTAGTATTTTATTGAATCTTTTTTATTGATTGTTGTTGTCGTTCTAAGTTAAAAGGAAATCAGGCCGACTGAAATATTTAATTCAATAAATCATTCAAATACACAAAAATGAAAATAATTTAAACTCTCTTAATTATAACTTTATCAAATAATATTCTTCAATTATTATAAAGATTTCATAGAAAACAACCAAATAGATAACATATATCAATATTTAATTCGACATGTTCTATATATATAAATTGATAAATAAAACATTTATTCTCAACGAATAACAAAATCACAATTAATAATTAAACAATATGTATATATACGTAATATTAAATGACATTGTAACTTATTGGCTTGAAAATAATTCCAATGTCATTTGCCATAGTGACATCTCGTTCTTTGTATTTTTCTATAGTTAATAAATCAAAAAAATACTATTGGAAATACTTAATCATTCTCTATAATAGAAGAAAGAAATCGAAAGATAATCTAGTAAATATTTACCAATATCAGATATCAAAATAGTTGTTAACCTCTACGTCATTTAAAATTTTATTGTTTATGGGATGAAAACTGATGTCCTCTTTCGTTCCCATCAAATACAATAGGTGAGAACAAGGGAACCAATGAAAAACTAACAGATATTTGCATATTTATGTAAATAGGTTAAGATACAAGTAAAGACTGTAGGTAGAAATAAAGACATATTTGGTCGTGGTTGTCTATCTTATCTTTTTCTTTTTCTTTTAGTTATTTAAAATAATGTTTTCACGTCCTTTAAGTCGTGTATTAATTGGTGGTTTTGCTCGTCGTTCATTGACAAGTCAAGCACGTAATAATAGTGGCCGACAACAATATCAATGGTCACGAGCACGATGGAATTTTGGTCGTGCAAAAAGTACTGGAGTAGCAGCTACTGTTGCCTTATCGGGTGGTATTGCTTTTGTTTTACATGCGTCGAATGCACCATCGGATAAAAAATTAGCAACATCGTCAAAAGTTGATTATAATGAAGTACGAAAATCAATTGCTGCTTTACTTGACGATAACAATTTTGATGATGGAAGTTATGGACCTTTATTGGTACGGTTAGGTTGGCATGCTAGTGGAACTTATTCACATATTGATTCAACTGGTGGATCTAATGGAGGATGTATGAGATTTCAACCAGAAAGTGATTGGGGTGCTAATAAAGGTTAATTCGTTTTTTTCTTTCCTTCAGAACTTCGAAATAAAATCTATGAAAAATTTATTCTAATTTTAGGATTGCATTTGGCTCGACAACGTTTAGAAAGTGTTTATCATAAATATCCAGGTTTAACTTATGCTGATTTATATACATTAGCTGCTGTCGTAGCCATCGAAGAAATGGGTGGCCCAAAAATAAAATGGCGGCCAGGTCGATGTGATCATCCAGACGGTAAAAAATCTCCACCTGATGGTCGATTACCAGATGCTGCACAAGGTGCACAACATATTCGTGATATATTTTATCGAATGGGTTTCACTGATCAAGAAATAGTTGCACTAGTTGGTGCTCATTCATTGGGAAGATGTCATACAGATCGAAGTGGTTTTGAGGGACCATGGACATTTGCACCAACAACATTTTCTAATGAATATTTTCGTCTTTTATTAGAAGAAAAATGGCAAATTCGTCGTTGGAAAGGACCAAAACAATACGAAGATGTAAAAACAAAAACATTAATGATGTTACCAGCTGATATGGCGTTAATTGAAGATCCTGAATTTCGAAAATATGTTGTTCAATATGCTAAGGATGGTGATACGTTTGCTAAAGATTTTGCAGCTGCTTTTGAAAAATTATTAGAATTAGGTGTAGATTTTAAAACAACGGATGGAAATAATAAATCGTTATGGTCAAGAATTTTTGGTTGAAAATAATTAGCGCACGATTATTTTGTCATGACGTTTTATTTATGTAATGTTTACTTTTTTAATCTGACAGACTTTTTTTTTAATTTTGATTTCTTGTGATCGAAAAAAAGAAAAAAAAATAATAATCATATCTTATTCTTCTAGTTAGAAAATAAAATTTTTCTAAAAACTCCTCAATACGAAAAATTTATTATTTTCATTCTATTACTTGAGATTCTAAAACAATACGTAAGTATGTATATGCCAAAAGAACTTTTCTAAGTTCAATAGAGTAACTAGCTCGCTATCGATGTCCTTTCTAATTGAGCAGATCAGGTCGATTTTCAGGTATTTTGAAAAACAAAATTTTTGTTTGCTCATAAAATGATTATTTACATTAAATAAAATCAAAATAATAAAAAATAAATTAATGGATATAAAATTAGACGATAAATATTCAATTTAATTGTGCATAGCCAATTTTTCTAAGTTTGAATCTATAAATAGATATTTGACAGTGTATACTTAATTTTTATTGAATAATTTTATTTTGCTTTTGTTCACAAGTCAACCCTTGACATTGATTCATATGAAAAGTAAGTTCTATAAGAATGATCAAATTTTTAACAATATGTTTTATCTTCTACGAATGACTTATAGATAGAAAAGAAAAGATTGAAAAGAAGTATTTCTTTTATCTGATTGTTTATAAAATTTATTTTGAAATATCCAGATGAATTAAATAGAAATTGCCGAAATTATGATAATTTTATATGAATAAGAATTGTAATAAACTCAAATAACAACAATGTGTATTTTAATTTTTCCATTTACTACATTTGAATACTTATATTTCGTGGAGTGGCTTTATGACGAAAATAATAAGTGAAATTTTTATGATTGGCAATATGAATGTTGCTAAGAGATTCAATTTTAAAACTCTTCCAATAGTCGTTTTCAAATATCGATTTATATTTCTCTTTATTTTTGAATCGTTCTCATAAGAAAATATTTGAAGAAAAGAAGAGCATTTCATTTTATGGAAAATAATAACAATTTCTTAGAAATTAGAAAAACGTTGTAATTATTCATTAATCTAATACTATAAAAAATTCGAATGACGAAATTAAATTTTTAATCTTATTCTTAACAAAGGTATACTTTCAATGTTAAACATTGACTTATTTCTTGATATAACGAATATTTAAGAGTTAATGATCTTCTAAATAAATATACTTTGGTTAAATATTTTTTCTACAGGAAAGATTAATATTTACAGTCTCTGAAAAAGATAATAATATCAAATCTAAACTATTATTTCATCTATATACTTTATTTTATAGATTTATTAATATAAAAATCGTGAAATATTTATTTCAACTTGTTTAATAGTCTTCTTGATATTTCTACAAATTTTTCTATTAAAATCATATTTTAAAATGAAATTCGAAAATTTGAATTCACTAAAATTAAATTAAAAAGAAAAAACAAATATGAATCAATTTTTTCTCTAATAAAAGCTCATTTGAGCAATATTCTTTAGTTATTCATAATTAAATTTTACTGATTTTCGCTCTTGTAATTAATAAATATTGGTTGTTTTTCAATATTAATTTGAATATATATTTTTTTTATTTCAATTTTAAAAATTTATCTTACTGATGTGAAACGTTAACGAAGATAGTTTCGAAATAGATAAATAACATAAAAACGGTAGAAATGATTATTATATCATTGAATAAAAATGAAAAAATAAATCTCGATATTTTTTTCTTGTTTTTCATTCTGTGAAATAAACGTAAAAAACTTGTTAAACATTTTAGAAAAGAATATTATTCATCAATAATCATTAGAATTTTTATTTTTTTGATGAAAAAGATCATTTTCATCAAAAATAATATATCTATGAAAAATATTCGTTTTATCAACGCTTTTTTAAAATTTTTTAAAATATATTATCAAATAATCTTTTTTCTATTTATTATTATTATTCATCTCTAATAGTCAATCAAATGTAAATACAATATTGCTTTTCGAACACGTCAAAAGTCAATAATGAAATTGATTCAATTATTATCAGTTGTTATTTTTTTTTCAATTTATAATCGAATGTAATGAAGAAACTTATTACTTGAAAATATTTTATTTGTTATCTATGATTGTTTTGTCAATATTTAATCATAAAATTCTTAAAAAAAAACTAAAGATAAATGATCGATCGAAAAGAACTTGATAAACTTATTTGCTTTTACATAAATTTTACTTTAAAAGAAAAAGATTTTTATTATTCAATCAAATCATTTATACGTGAAGGTTAGTCAAACTAAAAGGTTTATAAATACAATTTTGTCATCGATATTGTTCATATTATCGTTGTAGAAAAATAAAAATATGTTTATATTCACAATTGTTATTCTTTTTCTTGTGTCTAATCATCATCGTATCTATGGACAAGACGATGGCAAAGGTAAGAAATTAGTTTTCGTATTAATCTATTTAAAAGCGCAACAAGATCGTTTTTGATATATTTTAAGGAGCTAATGCAAAATCAACAGAAGTTAGTGTTGGATGTTTTTCTGGTGATTCGTTAGTTACGTTAGCTAATGGTGAACGAAAACAAATTGGTAATCTTAAAATTGGTGATGAAATTCTTGCTGTTAATCAATTGAAAATTGTTTCCAGTGAAATGATTATTATGTTGGATAAAGAAAAATCAAAACAAGGTATTTGACTTTTTTGCATTGTTATTATCTCTTGACTTTTTTTTCTCATCTCAATCAAATTATTTTAGCAAAATTTTATACATTTCTTACTGATTCTGGTCATCAAATTAGTTTAACAGATCTTCATTTAATTCCAATTATTTCATCCGATGAAAAAATTGATTATATACCGGCTAAAGAAATAAAATTAGGTGATCGATTTTATGTTGTTGTCAATGGCCAACTAAAACATTCATCTGTTATAAACATTTCAATTGAATTCAAAACAGGATATTTTGCTCCGTTAACTATGACAGGTACAGTAGATTTATTTAAAATATATTTATATTCATTGAAAAAAGATGTTTTTATTAAATAAAGGAACTTTATTGGTAAACGATGTTTTTGCAAGTTGCTATGCATCAGCTAAAAATCATCATTTTGCGCAGATTTTCATGGCACCGTTTCGTTGGTATTATCAATTAGCTCGTTTTATTTCTATTAACGATCCATTTAACAATACACAAACAGATGGAATACATTGGTTGATCAAAATTATTTATCAATCTATTCGTTATATTTTACCTTCGACATTACAAAGTTTTTAAAATATATTTTACTTTTACTTATGTTTAACGCATTTTTTCCCAATTACTAATATTCGTATTCACGCTCTCTCTGTCTCTTTCTCTTTCTCTTAGATTCTCAATAAAAGGCAATCGTATTCATCAAAATATATTTTCAATAGTATCAATAATTAATAATTAAATATTCAGATGACATACACACATAATGAGTAAATATCATTTAATTAAAGTTTACAAGCAAAAAATATTAATATATCATATTAACGTTATTGTTAATCCTAATATCATAAAATATATTTTACGTATGAAATACAATAATAAATTTATGAACGAGATTACATCTTAGTGTCTAATAACTATTTATTATTTTAGAGAAAAAGACTCTAATAATCGATTAAGAACTAATACAAATATTTGTTTCATTGTCTATAGAATAAAGATATACGTATATATAACAGTTGACATCGGAGGTCATTGTGTACTTTAAAAATGCATCATAGCAATAGGTTTTTGACGAAGAAGAAAAGAAAACACTGCTGTTATCGAACGATTGACGAAAAAAAAATTCTTTATGGATATTGTGATATGCCGATATCATATACAGTAGAACAAGTTGATATTGAATGATCTACGACAAAAGGATATGAATTGAATTTTCCAGTATGTAACATATACAATCTTTAACTTTATTAATACGTTAATCTTCATGATGAAAGAAGTAGAAGTAGGACGAAAAATAAAAACTCTTAGTAGAGCAATCTAAAACATTCTCAAACTCATGTTTCTTACTACGACTTTTTGGCTTGGCTCATTTCAGCTCAATACTTGCTCTCTAACTATTTAAAGTTTTCTAAAAATATTTCCAACGCAGCAAATAGTGTGATGTTAAACTTCGAATTACTGTTCAAAACTATGTTTTCTTAAAATCGATTTACGAAAATTTGATTCATGTCGGTTAAAATCAATTCTGAGCAATGAAGCGAAATGTATCGATCGAGTTCTTAGCAATAGTAGTGACGCAGCCAGGAGAAGACCATCTGATTCTTTGTCCCATTACTGAGATTTTAAAACCTTCTATGCTTAATTTTAAGTAATTTAACTTTTCAATAAGAATAGACAAAATTCAATTAGAATACTTTCGTATAAATTTATAGTTGTTGAGAACGTCTATCTAATTGTAGATTGAAAGTAATCTAGTTATTATATTGAAATAATCGATTATTTTGATTATTTATGCTTAAATTAGCTGATTACTGATTAAGATTCTTAGTGCATAAAGATAGTATTTTAACTTGATTCATGAATTTCTCCAGACACAGATTGGTCAGTGTCTGAAAGTTGTGAGGCATAGCCTTGAAACTGCGATCCATTATCTTTCAATCTCTGGTTACGTCATTCAGCAATTGTACGATGCCTATATCCGAACACTCATCCAGATCTTTACTAATAGAAATGATGATTTTAAAATAAAATTGTGCGTGTCAGCTGAATAGATGATTAGAATAATAATTATTATTATTATAAATGAAAAACAATTGACTAAAAACAAGCAACATAACTAAGGATTATATACCAATAAGACAAAGCAAACTAATACATTACAACCAATATTCAAGAAAACAGTTAGTACAAAATATAGACGACTATAACGAAGGCCGTATCTTCGACAACCAATTATATTCGATAGGCAATTGTTGTCTATTAGAAGTTTTTCATTTTATATATTTTCTATTACCAAAATAAATCGAAGTTTTTTAAACAAAATTGTGCGATCTTACACTTTTCCACTACAGATGTTAACAAACACATTTGTTACGGTTACAATTGAGTTCATTGTTTGTCATTATCGGTACTTGGTTATTTATTGAATTAATTAAGGATGTGGGATTATTGAACGTTCACTGGTCATCATCACCTGTATAAAACTTTGCTTTTTCAATTTTTATATGCTTACTCTTACAATACCTAGACAGCTTGTCTTTTTTTTTATTAGTGTCACTTTTATTGTAAGTGTTAAACGAGACAATTATATGATATGAAGTAAGATAAGAAAATTCGATTACATATCTACTGGCGTTCGTTCGATTAAAAATTGTAACAAAGCAAACGCCAATATACTATTTACAAAAAATTGGTAATATCCTAATTACAAATACTTTGAAATAAGTTGGATTTTTACCATGATATTTCACTTAATTTAATTTGCATTAGCTTAGTGAACATGAATGATTGATATATGTTAGTTTCACATTTCACTTGCAAAGACAAGGGGACTATGCTGAAAGGTTTCCCCCTAAACTTATTGATATCATTTAAATGTAAAACAGTTTTTTTGTAGATCTACATTATTCTATTCCATATTGATGTAATTGGAAGTTTTTCATTACTGTGATATTGGCTCTTGTCATTAGCACATAATTGTTCATCGCGCTAGAATAACTTGGTTAAAGTAAACAGTGATTTGTATAAATAGTTTGTTTTTTAAAGTGTCATAATTTATTCGTATATGTTTATCTATGTTCGTATTATACTTCGAAAAATAAGTAAAGCTTTATCGATTTCGAGATGACTAATATGAAAAACCTTGGTGACAAAGAATCATTAGTATTTTTCAACGAATACAATTTGTTTTATCACAAGCTTACTCGCTCCGTACGACAATTACATTCATATTTTTGCTGTTATTGTCAGACTTGTACAATTCGTACGCCATATTAGCGAGAAAAAGGTTTAATTATAGACGCCCCAGGTCGATCAACTTGTGTCGTACACGGCCGTTTGGTATGCACCGTATTACGGTCGTTTTGTATCGTGTCATAAACGATCGGATACGGAAATATCCGACCACATTACCGTCGTTAGTAACCGTTTACCACACGATTAATTACGGCCGTATACGACCGTTTCTGATAGCCGTAATGCTCGACCTGGCGGCTAAGAATGTGAAAGTCACGCTATTGTAGAGAAATTCATTAATTACACTGTTTTGACGAGGCTCAAAACAAATAGATCATTTAATAAATATTCTTGCTAGAATAGCAACAGAAAACCTGCAGACATGAAGTCTTCCAATGATACTCTTCCGTCAAGCAATCTGATTCGAGAAACCATTATTTTTCTTGACGAACGTCGAGACTGTAGTTCATCATCTAACCCACAACAATCACAAGAAGCAAGAAAGACATCAACAATCGCATTACGAGAAGATGAAAAACTAAAAAACGGGTAAAATATAATGATCATTTCAAAGTCGAGATTAAGGTTGACTGACACTGTCTGATTCAATGCTTTCTAAACAAAGGTTAGCGAACAAGATTTTACTTCTTTTCTCAGTAACAAGTTATGTTATAAAACCAGTCAATTCTTTTAATCACTAAAAAATGGACAACGAATTCTTAAAGAAAACGTTGAAAGAGTTTCTATTCAACTACAATTCTCTCAGAATTTATCGTGATAACTTCTTTTTACGTGACCTTAATAAAACGAAAACCTATATTTTATCATGCTTCACTGATACAAATAACGTCAGAAGTACGGTGAACATTATGAATTAGTTTTGGAATAGAATTTCGTTTTATCTTTATCATAAGTAATCAAGAAATCGCGTATAACATTTAATAAGATTGTTAAGTATTGTATTAACTACATATTTACTTGAATAAATCTCATATTCTACTCGTAACTTTGTGTGATCTGTTCAAACGTACATTTAAGATTGATATATTCGAACATATTTGACGAGTGCGTTATTAAGTATGAAAGCTTGAATATCAGACAAATCGAACTATATACATATTATCACTAGGATAACTATTTGATTTCTTTCATACCAATTTTAAATTTTACTAAAATGACTGTTTCACTTTTATGCCTGTAAATATTATTGATGTATAATTGTGTCGAGCATTAACAGTTAAGTCTTTTGAACAAGAGCTCGTTCCGAATCCATAGAAATTAGAAGTTTATTTTACTCCTGATATCAAAGAGACGATATTTATGGAAGAAACATTTTATTTAAGACGTAGAGGAAAGAGTAAGAACAATAAGAAAATGCTTATAGAGAGTCATATCTTCAAGATACATAACTATTTAAATATACATATTTGCTAAAAAAAAACTTAAAGTTTGTTCTAGAGCTTTCTTAGGTTACTTTTTCACAAGTTTAATTTATCTTTCAAGTCTAGAAAAATTCACAAGAATCAATCTCATAAATCTAAGTACGATCCAGTTTTCGGCTATATTTTCACTATGGATCTATGAGATTAGATTTTTCTTAACAAAAAAAACTGATAAAGATTCATCTGTTGAATCGAGCTATCTAAGAAACACATGTTTCATTGTTATAGTAAGATCAATCAAAAAAGACTATACAACTTTTTCTCTTGACTAACAGAATGATACAAAAGAATAAATCGTATGATGATTAGAGATAAACGTGTAAATTATTCAATAAGAGAAAATAGTCAAATAAACATGATATTTCTATTGTCGTGACGTTAATCTCTATAAGATAAAGTGAGATTACTTTAAATTAAATCTCGATTGCATTCGTGGCTGCATATAGTTAAATTTATAATATGCGTCTTGAAATAAATTAATCTTCGTCGAAATTAACTGTCTATCAATACTTTCACTATCACTGTTCTAACTCGCATCGCTAGTTAACAACCTAGATAATTGGTGTACTTGTGACATGATAAAAATTTATTCAAACCATCTTTTTAAGCATCACTTATTTTATCCCAATGTTTTACCACGACCGCTAAACAGAATTTTTATTAAAAGCTGGTATTAGTTATCAGTTTCGAGAGATCTGTTGAACTGTACATACATAATAAACAGATATTCCATCTGAATATTTCAACAGGTCGATAATTTGAGAGAAAAAAACGTCAAATATTTTGTGTTGTAACTTCTCCAGTAGGTCTAGCAAATCTCGACTATTCCTAGCACCGACTCCTCACAAAAAGTCTGTAGATCTGCAATGCTCGAAAACGCGCAATTTAAAATCAAATAATGATAATCTTCCATCGACATTCGAAGAACTTAAAACGGAACTGAAAACCAACAATGATGAAACGACAGAAGATCCTACTCAATCGACGGTAATATATAGCTTTCTATTCTCGTGAGCATTCAGTATGCTGTTCAATTTCGATACATTTTTTTATACGAGAGCACACAACAAGTTATGATGACCTTCAAAAGATTGAGAAAATAGTAGTCTTACAGACTTTCAAAAATGTTCATGCGAATCCTTTATAATTGAGTCTTTTAGATTTTCATCTGTGGAATAAACTTTCAGATGCGCACTATTACGTAGATAATTAAATAATCCTAGATGTAGATTGTTTTCTTTATATTTAACTTTCTAATTCATTTTCCTATGGTAAACTTTGAATAGTTTGAATTGATTCGAAGTCGATATTTCTTATCTTACCAAAATGGTAATCTTTATCAGAAAATTAATAGAAAAGCCATAACCGAGTATTGGTTTTTGAAATCGTGAAGCACTGACTTCGCTTCCCTGTTTGTATACTCTTATTTTTAAGATTGGCACAACTAAAATTGATCAAAATCTACTAAAAAGTGAAGCGTGCAGCTTGCAAAATAGCCAAAAAACAGAAGATACGATAAATGAAACGGTCATAGAACAGCTTAATCTGTCAAAAGATACAGGCCAAAAGCTGGTATCTTTGGAAGAAAAACTTGCAGAGAATCAAGAATTGAATATCATCGGTATTATGAACCTATCGTCGATGAATTTAACCGATGATGATATTCCGTCGATCTTGCAAAGAGCTTTTGTAGAGCAGAAGAAAAAATGTATTGGCCTCATCTTGCGAGATAACGGTCTGACATCGGTTGGTGTGAGAATGCTCGTTGATGCATTACTTGCGACACGAACAAAGTTAGCATACCTCAGTTTTTCTAATAACGCCGCTATAGGAGATCGAGGCATTGAACATTTGGCTCGTTTACTACAAACGAATCGATCAATTACTTTTCTCGCTTTACCCAATACGGGTATGACAGATCGTAGCGTTCGACTACTAGCCGACATACTTTGCAATGTTGATCCGAAGTCATCGTGTTCACCTCTCGAAAAACTGCATATCTCGTTCAACAAATCGATTACTGACGAATCACTCGAAGCTCTTACACAAATACTTGAACAAAATCAAACACTTAAGGTACTTTCAGTACAACATTGCGGTTTGTCAGACAAAGGTCGAAGACGATTGAGACATGCGAGTGCGAAAAAGAAAAAGAAAAAATTCAGTCTATCTGAATAAGAAAACTAGAACGAATAGACTCTCTCTCCCGCATTGTGTGTGTTTCATTTTGTCGAACTCTACCTTTATACGTATTTTGGAACTACTGCGTCGTCGTTGTTTGTTTTTATTGTTTCTCTCTCTCTCATAATTTTATAGTTATTTTGTCGTGTTTCAGTCGAATCAAATATTTCCTTGTTTCGCTTCTGTACTCGTATGTTTATCAATAAACCAAATGTTTTTATTCTTTTGATATGGATTCTACATGATCGAATACGTTTTTTATACATGAAATGAAAAATATTTAAATCAATACTATCTGGCTCATGAAGTACTTAGAGTTTACTGAAATTTATATGGAAGATGCGGAAAAAATGATATTGAGCCTAAACATGTGCTACAGATGTAAAAATAAAAAGTAAACGGATGTTTGATAACTTAAAGAGACAATTTTTAACGATTATTTGCAGAAGGATTTACTAAAAAATGACGTGGAGATTATTTTATAAACGTAAGTAAATTTCATGGTAAAAGAAAATAAATTAAAATTTTATCATTTGTCTCAAATGATGATGTAGATTTCTACTAAACACGAAGATGGAAAATACTATAAATAAAAGGCACAACTCATTATAGAAAAAATGATGTGTCTTGTCGGTGGGTTTGGGGCTCTTCTTATGAATAGTTATACTGATCATAAGATTTTATCGAATACTACATTACATTCAATATTGATCTAGTTAACTGTATTCTCTTTCCAAGTTGAATGAGACTTTCAAAGATGGCAACCATTTAACGAAGTTCGTTATAAATGTGATGAATACCACTGAATGAAAAAAATGTTGAATATTATTATCAACATTATCTTACGTATTGGATGAATACTAAGTTTTTCTTCTTTGTTCAATTTATTTTACATCACATTTCGCTAAATATCGTCAAATTCGTTTTACTAAATCGATCATTTACAGAAAAATTTTGCACCGTTTGTAGACATATTTATACAGTATGTGATACACATTGTTATAATATAATAGCTTAAATAAATTAGATCTATTTGTGTATTGACAGATATGGACGAATTAAAAGAGACGCAATGCTTTGTCAATTGACTAATTTATGAACACGCAATTTAATCTTTAATTTACATAGGAAACATTTAAATAGGTTCAAATAATATTTTAAACTAAAATATGATGAACGTCACGAGTTTGAGTATTTAATGCGGTGCGAAGCACAGCATTTATGTAGTCCGTCGCGAGTTTTTAATGCGATGCGAAGCAGAAGCATTTATGTAGTCCGTCGCGAGTTTTTTAATGCGATGCGAAGCACAGCATTCATGTAGTCCGTCGCGAGTTTTATTAATGCGATGCGAAGCAGAAGCATTTCTGTAGTCCGTCGCGAGTTTTTTTTTAATGCGATGCGCAGCAGAAGCATATCTGTAGTCCGTNATCTAAGATAGTGAATCATTAAAATAATTAGTCGTTCAATGAAAAAAATTGTTAGACAACTGGTTGTTACATTTTCAGAGAGATTTCCTAGTGATGAATTTCAAAATGGTCGATTTAAGAATAGTGAATGCGAAATTTTTATTCAAAATTCGTATACGGAAATTAAAAAAAAATAAACGTTTGTAATGAATCTTAAAGTGAATCATTTATTTTTAAATCTTATTCTCGCTACTTTCGAAAATTCGGCTCGTGTGCTTCGCACCGCATTTCGTAGTCGAGTGAAACTCGAATACCATCTAGTTGAAAAATGATCTAGGTTTTTGATGTACTTGCAACGCGCTGTTTTTATATGAAGCATTGAATAAACATTTCACCACTCTATTTGTTGTTCAGTTTTCTATTCGTTAGTCTAAAAATAAATAGTTGGAAATCTGATTAATAGAAAACTATCTGTCAGTGAACTAAAGCATTTTATTTACATTTATTGAAAACAAATGCCCGCACCTAAACAAATTTGGAATGATGCATATTATGTTCTGTGTCTGTGTTAGATGATAAAGTTTTCATAATAGGTAAGTAGGCATGATCCAAAATAATATTTACTTCAATAAAACTGTGTCGTAAGAAAAAACTTGTTGATAGAAACTTTTGTCATTGCCGTCTATCCTATCCTGTTAAGAGTTCTACAATAGAACAAGACACAAAGTTGAATTAAAGATTTTGAGATTAATGAGTGATGCATTTGCTTTAATCTTCGATTTATTGATCAATGTTTCATTGTCAACCTCGATATATTTTTTAATGTTTTTGATTTTTCTCTGAGACTATTATACTACGCATCAGTAGGATATGTAACTATTTAAAGGCATTAAATTTTCGAAGAAGAATGATAACGACTCTGGAAGCAATTTAATGATAAGTCAATAATTCGGCAGAGATTTTAAAACGAATAGAACATACCGCGATGGACTAAAATTTTGATCCGACTTCAAATGACTTTATTTTAAATAGATGGTTTAATTGTTCTGTTATTTAGTTCAAATAGTTACATAATGAAGCAAAACTAAATAAAATACTAGCTCAATCTTTGATAAGAAATAATTCTTTCGTTCAATTATACTCACATTCAATCTGTCTTCTACTGTTTTTTCTATTTTAATATCTCATATGTTCTTAGCTAAGAATCATTTCAACAAAACACTTCTTGGATTTCGTTTCTTTATTTTTCGGAAGTGAGACGTCAACCTGTAAACAAGTCAACTATTTTAAATGATCCGTGAGATATATTTCACTGGAGTTAATAATTTGAAACTGAAAGATATTTCCTCTCAAAACAAATAATTCATTGTCGTTTTATATTTTTATATTTCCAACAGAAAAATTACTGAAGTTTTTATCGATTGAGAAAAGATCGATGCAAACAAGATTCGTGCTATGAGAAAACAATTACTATCCGATTGAACATACTCTAATCCCAAACAGAAAGTTTGACTGCTGCATGCAATAATGACTTCACTCTTTCTAATCCTCTATTTTCTGTAATGGTGAGTCCGCACAATAAATACACAATCTCACTGAGAAAAAAAACTCTCATTATTGACGACGAAAACATTTGAAAGTCACGCGATCGAGACGAAAGCCATTAATTGTTACTTTTTGACGACGGTATAAAATAGGTACTTTAACAAAATACTCACGATACAATACCCGTCATAAAGTTTAGTTATGGAGTCTCTCAACGATCTTCAGGCCTCAAGCGATCGTATTCAAGAAACAAATATTGTTTCTAGAGATGATCGAAGCATCAGTCGATCCCCTAACCGTCGAAAATCAAAACAAACAAAAAAATTGTCAACAGTGTCCTCACGGGATGATCAAAAACCAAAAAGCAGGTAAAACTAAAAGATATTTTCGCCATCATGAGAAATGATCTGAATTTCTAGTTCAACTACTGTAAATCCCATTTTTCTATGACTGTGGAAGTATAGATAAAGAGTACATGGCTGGTGTCTCATTCTCTGAGATAATATTCTATATCTGTTTTTGGGTGCTCTCATAACCAAGAAGGTTAGATCATTTGTCGGCTTTTGAGTATTGAGTCTACCAGTTTATTTTTATTCTCGTTATATTGCTACAAGAGTCTAAGTTACGATAAGATGTTTAATCTTATCTTTACAATAAACAATTAACAATAGATTTCTGTTTTTTTAACCAACAGTTTTTGCTCGCATTGATTTAATATATTACTCATGGCCATGAGTGAACTGTCCCAATAATTATGCATTCGTCATTCTTGATGACAAATAAATATTTTCAATCTAAGTTGAAGTTTTACTTTAAAAAAAACTAGAATATTGATCTAATCTTAACAGCCATTTTACATTGTAGTTTCAAAAGATTGCATTCTTATTCTGTTAATAGACTGTAAATTATAAAAACAAGTATCAATAACTATTCCTTTCAAACTAAGATAATATATTAAATATCATACACTGGATTAATTAACAGAACATGCTTATGATATGTAACACTTGTAGCAATCGATCAAGTAAAGATGAAAGTCTCTCTCCGCACTGTTAATCTAGAAGTATGGCTTCGATGTAAAATATGACTTGATTCGAAAGCATCTGAGCTGAGTTCTATAGTTTATAGCTAGAACTGGCAACAACAAAGCTGTAGAGAACTGACTAATAGACACGCATACATATCGAAAGATCACATGAAATGATGATTTTTTTCGATGATATTAGATAGTATCGACATTTCCGAATGTTTTCTTTATCCATCTTCTTTTTTCTTCTTTGTGTAGTAATTAAGATACTTGAAAGAAATTTCTACCATACTTATTACATATAGAAATGATTAAATGCAGTAAGGTCTGAAAAGCCTATAAAAATTGGTTACGATTGACGAAATAATAATAAAATTACATTTTAGTTCAATGGAAAATAAGCAGAAATTAATTCAGTGTATGAATATGATAGACATAATTATATTTCCCTTTTGGAAAAGTACAAAAATACCAGTCTAATAAATGAGGAAACACCGGATTCGCATCTGATTGTTACGTGTACTGAAAAAACTGAGACGATTTAGATATGTTTTGAATAATTCTAAGAAAAACGTTTTTTGTGAAAAAATTCCTGTACCCACCCTCAGTGTTGGTCTGGTCAATAATGACAATTTTTTCGATAACTCAGCCATTTCTTGACGGATCCTTCTCATCTTCGAACTCGACTGAGATTGGATGAGACTTTCAAAGGTTATCATGTTAACAGCCGGCCGGCCGGACACACTGGCCGAATCTAGTGTACTCAATTTTTTTTGAGTACACAAAAAGACAAAAATTCTATGCAAAGCACTAAATCATACTAGCGAATATATTTCTATATCAATTACTTTGCAAAGAATGAAATACCTTTGGAGAAACATATTTGTTTCATCAACATGCATTGATAATTTTGATTGCGTCCACATACGACTCCACATAAAATAATGCCTCAATGTGTGTAAATACTTTTTATGAATCATTCGTTGACAAAAATGTATACCAAACCGCGTCCCAGCCCCTATCAAAGTTTCTTTCGTCACAACTAGACATGTTTCATCAAAACTCTGCACCTCGTATTTACACGCGAAAGACTTTTGATACTAGATAATTCCCAGTCTCGTTAAAAAACTATGAAACAAAGATAATAAACTTGAATTAAGAATTCATTCAGATCGAAAATGTATGTGAGGATTAAATTAGTCTACTTTGCTAGCACATTATATATGACATCTGTTTTACTCATAAAGAAATAAATTATATCAGATGTCAACTATTTCATATTGACTTATTACAAGTAACGCGTCGGCTCCATGAGCCTCGCTTAGCTCAATCCTGAAAGTGCACGATAGAAACAACATCATCGTACTCTCAAAAACAAAATGATACCGTAGATATTAGCTGTATAACTAGGATTTGATGCTCGGATGGGAGTCTCCCGTGCGCTTTCAAAAGATAAAAAAAGGTAGCGTTATTTTTATAGAACTCACATATGTTTTCGGCGAAATTAGTTAGTGTACGTTTGACTGCGAAGTTTTCCGAGTGCCCATCCCCACCGTCACCCTACACATTCCACGATCAAATTGAATAGTAATCAGCTTAATGATTTCGATCTCACTCTTTGTGAAAAATAACTCCCAAGTTTTAACGAAATCACATTCCATTATGGAATTACATGTCATTTCAGTCGATCTATAACGTATATGTAGTGCCATCAAGATCGCATAGCATACGGGAACGGTACCATTTTCGCTTCACGAAGATTACAAATAATTTTAGAACTCTTTACGAGGGATTTCTTGGGATATGTTCTTGAAACCGTTTGCGAGCGAAAACTATCTATTTAATAGCACCACTTTTAGAAAGAACTTCTATTTTTCACAGATATAAATCAAATTTTAATGATCTGATCGCTCTACTGACTCGATTCATGATCAGCTCGAGGCTTCGTAAAAAATGTAGACGTACAGATTAGACGAAAATATACGAAAAAATATGTTGGAATAAAAACTTTTATTGGGACTTTCACGACGTGGTTTACCAGAAATGTTTATAGTCTCGATGCCACTCTTTTCTGAGGAGAAAAATGTATTACAATCAATTTTCTATGCGTCGTTCATTTCCCACCCAATAAATTTCAAATAGTGAAATTCGACGCTGTTGTTTTCGAGTAGAATTCAAGATAATGTGACAAGAATTGTTGTGATCTGTTTGAAAAATAAATCACGAGAACATTGTTTCCATGAAAACATTATGAACACATAAATGGAGTAAAAAGATAGTTCTGAACAAAACGATGCAGTCACACTTGCACCCCTCAGTGGAAGCAGTAGTGACAGAGACGTCTGATAACACATCAACAAAAACAAATCACTTGCAGTTGGACCGATCTTGGATATCAAACAAAAGATCTTAAAGCTGTTTCTTATAAAGGTGATATACGAATATTCTGGACTAATCATTCCCTGCTCAATATAAGAAGCAAGGATATAATTTGTTTGACCGAAAAATATTCGTCGTTTAATCGGCTAATTTCGAAAGTCAACCTCATTTTGACCTTCGACCGAGAAACAATATCGAATTTTGAGTAGGATGAAACTAAATATCACACTCACCCTACCCCATGACCACTCCGAGACTGTAAAAATGCATTTCATTTGAAGGTAAGAAACCAGCTCCTCGTCGGTCGTCGGCGCTACTCCAGACTCGTCGCTTCAATGTACCTTCCTTCCATGTATCTGAAAATGCTCATTCAACCTGTTAATGCAGTTTCTCTCGTCCAATTCCGGTCAAAACATACCGTTTCGACTTTAATTACAGTTTGTTTGCCTGCTTTATAAAAAATACTCTGCAAATTTGGTAACCATAGGTGCAAAAAAAAAGTTATTCCGTTCACTTTTTAGATTTGATTACAACTGATTACGTCTCCTTCTCCAAAATATAGAGTTTCTTGATAAACATCTGCCGCAAAGCTTTCTTTACAATCAATCAGTTTCTAAATCGTGAGAACACATTGCTTTCTGAATGAGTATAGAGATAAACAAACATTCAACCAATTTAATGGTGGTGATCGTATTTTTCAGAAAAGCGAAAAAGAAAAAAAGAATCTCATAGACTGAATAAAGCCAACAACAAAAGATATTGTCTACAAAAATCTGAGAAAAACATCTAATGGGTGACAGAAAAATCAGGAATCCATCCTATTCTTGATCCAAACTTTTTTAAGGAAAGCTAACACGTTGCACCTTATTTATTGTGTATAAAGAGATACAATCTGAAAAGTGTTTCTAGCCATATAGAAAGAAAGTCAAATTAAAACTTCCCTTTCCTTGACACCTTTCAGTGAACTTTCTTACTAAACCTCTCATCAATTGGTCACTAACACAGCAACGCAGTTTTGAGACTAATGGGGCTCATACTCGAACCCGCAATCCCGAAATACCTACGGGAGCCATTTTTCTGAAAACTCAATTTCTATTGGTTCCTATCCGACCAATCAGACACCGGACAAACAGACGAATTTCCGTTGTGAAGACTCATCCTTTAAGGATTGAGAATAAGTTTCAAAAACATCTATTTTAGTCGCCACGCAACTAACAAGTACTGTCTAGGCTACGTTGGCTGCTGCTCGAAGTCATATATCGATTAAATATTATCTAGAGATAAAATAAATCGATACAATCTCCTCTCTACTAATCTATCTGGAAACCTCAGTTCGATGAAGTGTAATCATTCTAGAACAAATGTCGAGAAAATACCAAACTTGTATTTAATCTTAAATATGCATAAATAGTTTTTATCTAATTTTTGGTCGTTTTCCAAGTCTAGCTCAGAAAGCTTCCGTTGAATAAGAAAAATCTGGTCTAACCATCAGACGCAGCGTCATACGTAGAAAAATAACACCATTTTCATTTCGTTTTCTCTCAACTAGGAAAAATAAACATCGAACGTCTCAAGTACAATCTACCCAAGAGAAGTCTGATACTTTAAAGATCTTGACATCAGAAACTTTGAAATCAAAAAGCTGTGATCAACTTTTGGCATTCGACGAGATGAAAATTGAAAGCCAAAACAATGATTATGGAGCTGAAGACAATTTTTCACGTTTGACGGTAATATTATTTGTTTATTTTCCTCTTCGAATTTCTTCCTTGTGATTGTTTCTTCTATCAGAGATTCTACGAGACAATCATCTGAGAAGATAGGTCCATCGAAAAAGAATTGAAAATAAAATATTCTCATAGATCATCAATATCTTTTTATACTTTTTAAATTGAAAAATTCTGCTGTTAATGAAAAGAGATCAGTATGTATGACTTTATGACAGACTTTCGTTGAATACAAAAAATTGATCTATAAAAAAAATCATTAACTAAATTACGAAAAGATGCAGAACAGTGCAAGAAAATATGAATTCTAGAAGTTCGATTTTCATTATCTTTTCAAAGCTTGAAAAAAGGTATAGTGATCAAAGCGAAGCTGGTGGTTTACAAAAAAACAAACGAATGGAATTCGACCCAAGCCTATCAGTCGAAGAAGTACTGAATATGTGGAAAGAAGCAGACGAAATGCAAGCAGCTTCGAATGATAAATTTACAAAAAGTCATGAGTTAGACAATATTGGCATTATGAATCTATCTTCGATGAATTTAACTGATAATAACATGCCGTCGATCATACAACGAGCTTTTACCGAAGAGAAATCAAAATGTGTTGGGCTTATCTTACGAGACAATGCTTTAACATCGGTCAGCGTAATGATACTCGTCGAGGCACTGCTCAAAACACGAACAAAATTAAAATATCTCAGTTTCTCGAATAATACAGCCATAGGAGATCGAGGTATTGAGCATTTGGTTCGTTTACTACAAAAGAATCGATCAATTACTTTCCTCGCTTTACCCAATACGGGCATCACAGATCATGGTGTTCGACTACTAGCAGACGTACTTTGTGGTATTGACCCTAATTCATCATGCTCACCTCTCGAAAAATTGCATATTTCATTCAATAAATCGATTACTGATGAGTCAATCGAAGCTCTTATACAAATACTTGAACAAAACAAAACATTAAAGGTGCTTGCTTTACAACATTGTGGACTATCGGATGATGCGCGAGAAAGATTGAGACAAGTGGCTGCAAAAAAGAAAAAGAAAAAATTCAGTCTATCTGAGTAAGAAAGTTAGAACAAATGATTTCTGTTCGGTGTTGTGTGTGTGTGTTTTATCTTGTCAAGTTCTACCTTTAGATATACTTTGACACTATTTCTTTGTTGTTATTTTCATCTGTTTCTTTCTTCTCTAAATTGGCTATTTTCTCTCTTTCATTCATTCATTACCATTCTGTTGGTTTTGCAGTCGAATTTGATACTTCTTTATTTTGGATTAGCTTTTCGCTCCCCTATTCATCGATATGTCTATCAATAAAAATAACCTTGCACTTTCATTGTATTATATTGATTCTCTAATATTCAATTGATCCTTCATATCAGATATTTTAATGAACGGGATTGGATCATAATTGAGACCAATCAGTCTATGGACTACATACTTAAAAGTTCTATCGAAAGATACTGTAAATGAAATGCACTGTTTTCACTTGAGTTAAAATGCTGATAGTTATTTGAATACATCGGCTTATGTTTATGCAACACCTTCGACGAAATCATCGTGTGATACCAGTGTATTAATCAATCTATGCGTGTATACCACTGCCATATCTGAATATAGAGAGCTATTTCAAATCGTTGTTCTGTTCTTCACGACTAATAAGACATGGCCATGCCAATATTACGGTGACTATATTCTTGTAGTCATTTTAAGCTGGCAGTGTCAACAAATTATTATCTGATGGTATTGGTTTCAGTCAAAAACCGAAAAAATAACTTGTATTCTGGTGTATTTTACAGGTGAACTAGATGGATTCATGTTAGTATCTTCCAAATCTATTATTTTTATCATTCCGAACCGTCAACTTAGTAAAAGGCGATGAATATAATGCTATGCAGACTATGAAAAATGTTCACGAAATAATCTACCGGATTTCATAATTTTCTATAATTTGAAACTAAGAAAAGGCTTTTTTTAAAGAAAACTTGAAAGATTTTGAGAATCTATGAAGATATTTTAAGATTTATACGAGTCCAGTAATAGAGCAGATCCTTTTTATATAAAAACTTCGAATCAAAGTTCTAGAATGATAATAGCTTCAAATTTAAGTTAGAAAATAGTAAACTACATAATGGATATTTTTCGCTCAATAGAAAGTTGAATGGATGAAAATTTTGTAATGATATTAGTACAGTTTCGTATAATTTTACTAGAATGAATCACAATAAAAAAAAACATATCTTAGAACAAGTAATGACGAGTTCTGAGAAAATATAGCAGAAAAATGGTAGGAGTAAGGGTAAGGAGTAAGAACAACAATGTAAAGCATACTATTTTCTATTCTTCAGATTTTCAAGAAGTGCTTCTCTCCTTTAATATAAAAATCGAAATATGAAACCGATTTTCTAGTAATTCGCTATACTTGCTAAAATCGAATGTAGTACGGTTAAAAGGACAACTTACCGACAATGAAGTATGTATATTTTTTCGCAGTATGTGAAACAGTAATATAGCATTGTACAGGATGTTTTATTTCACTCTTGTTCGCTCGCGTATGTTTCAGAATTTTACTATGACTCGGTCGTATTTCTAGGTTCAGCATGAGATCCACAAACATCCTCTTTACATATCGTTTTTTCGCCGTAAACGTTTGCATACGTTTTTTACTGACTTAAGATAATACTACCTGAGGTCTCAAGTTAACTTTTAAATATATATATATATATATATTGAAAAACAAAACACTTTCATCTACTTACAAAAATATTGGTAAATATTGTTTGCCTGACTGACATAAGTTGGGTGGTATAATCATCGATAGATCCAAATCTGCACTAAATCATATTAAGCGTACTCGTCGATATGTGAATATATGTGCCTTGTTGATGTATAAAATGAACATTATCACAGTTAAAATATTGATAAATTTAAAAGAAAGATTCATGTGAAATATTGACCACATACTTATAATTAAGAGAGTCGAAACATAATGTGATCATAACAGAAGTCGTACGTATCATTAAAACACACGACAGTTTTTAAATGATATTTAATTAAAATCAAAACTGGAATGTGAAATAAAATTCTTAGTGTCGTAAGTAGACTAATCTTATCGCAAATGAAAAATAAAGAAAATCGATGATTTTAATGGAATATCATTTAATTGTGTTCCTTTTTACTGTAAAAGGTTCGTATGACACAGGCTGTAGTCGATTATTTTGAACAGTGAAAGGAGCTAAAAATGATTCCGAAAGTGTCGCATCGTTTTTTTCGACAGTAACTGAACGACAAACATTAAATTCACTGCTTTTCTGAGAGATGTTGTTAACAAAATGTGTTTTTCGTTGATTTCCTTCTAGAAAATTGATAATTAGTACTTGAATACGACATGTTTCTGTCAGAAATTTTTATTTTGGAGGGGTGAGCCTCTCTCGTCTTCCCTGATCGACAAGTCTGGCAATAGTAAAAGCATTTTTCAAAGAAATACAAAGTAAATTTACCGAAGTTTATGAAAGATTTCAATACCTATAAATCAGTCATCATACAACATTAAAAAGAGAATTTTCTTCATTACTATAACAATAGTTTTAGTTAAATGCTCTAATGGAATTAATAACCGTAAGATTTGATTTTATGATTATTTCGAGAACCATAATAAATCCAATGTAATAAAGATCTTTGGTAAACCAATGAAGACTTGTTTCAAAATGAAATGAACTAAATGTAGTTTTTTGGCAAGTTCGAAAGATTTATTTAACTTATTGTTATGATTACAAAGAATAAATTCTAATTGAATAAGAAAATAAATCATCAATTCTATTGTTAGTTAGATCATGGAAGCAATGATCAAACCATTTTGAAAATTTATTTCATTGTTAATAATATTATCCGAATCAAATCGTATAAAATGTTTGTTGCAAAAAAAACGGGAATTTATGAATGTTAATGTTTTTAATATCTGATCATCTCTCTTGAAATGAAATAATTGAAAAACAAAGCTAAAAGTATCTATCTACTTTGAATAATGTCTATAATGATATTGTCATAGAATAAATAATGATCTAGAATTGACAATTTAAGAAACGACAAGAAGAGTTTGTATGGCCATTGAGACAGTAACAATTAATCCAATAAAAAAAGTTACACGTCGACTTGGTTGTGGCAATGGAAGCTAAAATTAAAATTAATTAATGAAAATTGGAAATAAAAACTAATCAATGAATAAAACCTGATAGGAAATTGTATGAAGAATTCGTGAAAAAAAGAAAATACGAAAATGCCATAAAGATACATTCGAATCCGGATTACAAGCAACATAACACAGTCCAATAAGTACAAATGGAATAATATTTTCAATATCATTTAAATGATTACGACGAACACGTTCAACATCTGGATCAGATGTTGTTGGTAAAACAGTTTTTCCTTTTTTCGGTATTATATCTTCAGGATTAGCAAATACCTTTCAACAAAAAAGATATTATTTTTCATATTTGAAAAGAGAATATATATATATTAATTTACATTCTTTCGAAGTCGTTGAGCAACAGTTAAAAATGACATAATCATCATTTTAAGAATTGATAATATTGCATAAAATAAAAAATTTCGAAAAACCGTGTTAGTTGAAGTATAATAAAATGTTGACATTGTTCAAATTATTTTTGTTGGATATAAAACTTCGATTGATACTTGCCGACAACTGATAGTGAAGAAGAAGAAAAAAACAAAGTAAATTTATACTTACACGCCTACCTATAGAATAGAGAGAGAGAGAAAAAGCAGAACGAAAACGCATGCTTGTTTTCTTTTTCTTCACATCAAAGTGAAACTATTTTCGTCTGACAAAGTACGAACGAACAAAATAGTACATGACCTGTTTATATGACAGAGTCGTAATAATTGTGAATCACTATCGAACTTTTGCATAGTGACAGACGAATTGAATTCTATAGAAATCTATTATAAATTAGACAATTTGTTTTCATCTATCTTGTTTTTCGTTTAGAAAATATAGTTTCATGCAATTGATAGCTTTATATTACAGTAAAATTTGTAAATAGAATTCCAAAGATTTTACTTGCGACTAATATGAAATGGAGATTTCACTCAAATGAATATCTTAATTATAATTATTAATTAGACGAATTTATTATAATAACTAAATGATATTATGATGATTTATATAATATTATGTTAATAAGAATTGTTTATAATAAATTTTATTTCAATAATTTTGTATTTTGAAAATTATTTAGAAAAAAAGAAAGAACTAAAAAATTTTGAATCAATTTATCTATGGATTAAAACAAAAATATTTAACTGAGATTATATCTAAGAATTTTTCTTCGTATATGGTTTTGAAATCTAATAAATCTTATTCAAATAAAAGAATCTTAAAATTTTTAACTACATAAGAAGCTATCAACACCAAAAGTATGATGTTCTCTCTAGAATCTTCAAATATTTGTTTCTTGTCTTAAACATTGAAATAGAATCGTGAGTTTTTAAGAATTTGAAAACAAAATTCGTAAATATATGTTTGATGCTATCTTATTGTATAGTTTATTATTTTTAATAAAATTCAATTTAGATATACTTAATATGAACAACGATAAAAGAAAATTCTCTTTTTTTTCTTTCATACTAATCTTTCGATTGTGTAATAGTAATATAACTACATGAGAGTACATCTTTTATTGAATAGATAAGAATGACAACGCTGTTTTGATAATGACAAAACTGGAATAAAACAATCAGTAAACAGAAGTTGTTTCTTTTTGTTTTGTTTGAAATAGAAATGATTTCGAATCTGTGAGTAGAGATCATATGGAATTATATCATGAAAATAGTTTAATATCGATTTAGTGTTTTTGGTATTTTAATTTATCTTGTTCCTTTGTTAACATTAGTTTGCATTTGTATGATTTGTGCTTTATTGAGAGAAAGAAGACGTAGTAAGTTTTAGATCTTTTTTTTTTATTTTTAAATAATAGAACGAAAATTATTTCTAGTTCGTATGAATAATATCAATCATCATATTGTCTCTACACCAAGCAGAATAATTAATCCATTAGACGAATATGAAAACGAGAATAACTCGAATATTTGTCCGCCTCCATATACAGCAAAATCTCCATCAAACTTTGATGATTCTTTACCTTCATATGAATGTGCAATTAATAGAATTTAATAAACCAGAAACAATTATTTCAGATTTATGTTTTTCTATTTTATTGAAGATACTATCAGAGACGGCGCGAAGTAATAAAAGTATAGGGGGGTTACTTGAAAACGGGAGGTTTTTTTTCAAAAACGAGAGGTTTTTTCAAAAATTGAAACAAAAATTTCCAAAGTTGGANTAAGCTAACACTGACGAGTTTGACATCGTCGATAGTTTTCTAATAGATAATTAATTAATTATTCGATTGCCTCGTTTCTATAATCATTTATTTAATTGAACGACTTGAAAATTCTTATTATATTTTATCATTAATAAAAAGTATATTTTAAATATCACATGAAAAACAAGCTTCTATAGATAATTAATTCTATTTCAATTTCAATTTCAATTAAATACTCTGTGTGCAAACTCAATTTACGTATATTTATGATAATTTTTCGTCGCATTCTATTCGAAAGAAAAACCTCTTATGATTTATCTGAAATAACAATTGCTAATAGTGTTTTGAGTGACCTTTTTTGTTTTTTATCCTTGAAAAACAAATCTCTAATGTAGGGAAAAAAGAAAGGCTTGTAATTTTTTCAAATACCCCTGGGTCAAGAATTGATATGTACAAACAATAATATGCAAGACGAAGAATATTCAATTCCATTTCGTATTCTGTCACATAATATTTGGTTTTCAAATGATTATTAAGCTATGCATGATTATGATCTTTATCATATATTATATAAATCTCAAGCTCAAATAATTAATTTATAAGAAATTTTGTTTTGCTTTGTTTTATTTTATTTTCTTCATTGTTATTAAAGAAATTAACTATAGTGACAAAAACTATTCTTGAACAAATTCTTATGAGACAAAACTTGTTCAAGAACGATATTATTTGTCTGATATCGATAATCGTGTTAATATTTTTAATTAATGCATTTTCTACAATTAATAGTGGGTCGTCGTTTATTATTTGCATAAACAAAAATGTTCATATCAATTTGATCTAAGTCAAAAAATATCTAATCGTTCTCAAGTTAATTATATTTTGATGGGAAATTTTTAATTTTCCTGCTAGTGATCAAGAAAATATCGATCAATTTAATAGATCACCTCATTCGATTGATGTTTGAACTTATTGAATACCCTTAGATATATTTCCATCAGATCATTTTGGTTTGACTACAGTTTTTCAAATGAAAACTTTAATAACACGATCTAATATAAATGTCGGCATGTATCAGATTTTTTATTATTATTTATAATAAATAATCTTGTTTTAATTAAATATATAAGATTATTTTCAGTGGCAATCGAATAATTAATTAATTAACTATTAGAAAACTATCGACGATGTCAAACTCGTCAGTGTTAGCGTAGATCTTCATTATTAAAATGATAAAAGTAATTTTACAGAAGAATTCATTTAAAATCGGACAACATCAGCATCGATTGAAATTAAAAATAATAAGAAGAAATCAACTCTAACTAACTCAATATAGATTTTTGTATCGATATGAAGAAAAAAAGAAAAGAATCATTTACTACGTTATTCCAAACAGAACAGTTTAATAATTAAGATTCTAAATAAATAAATTCTAAAGCATCTGTAATGATTAGAGAATCATTATTTTTATTCAAATTGAATATTCTCTAAATAATAAAAATAAATAGAAATTCACAAGAATATAGAACAATAGAATTCTATGTTCAACATTAATAAATCGTCATAGAAAACAATATATTATCTTAACATTATTGTTATCTTATGAGAATTTAATCAAGTCATAGGAACTATTGAAAAATCTCAAAAAGAATTATTTTGTTTTGTAGACTTAAAATATGCTTTTTATATTTCAATATACGGCAAGAAATTCAACACTTAGAAATCTTCAGAATGAAATGTCTCATTGAATTGTTTGTTTGTTTTTGTTCATGTTCGAAATCGATATTTTAAATGAGACCTACGGAAAATCAAAATCAAATTAATATGAAATATCTGGATAGAGATAAACTAAAGATATGAACTCGTTTCTAAATATTGATATTTTTCTGAGAATTTTCAGAATAGACATATTTTACATATACAATAGCTCATAAATATAATAGTTTAAAATTTTATTTATGAAAAATATAAAATATAGTTTCTTTTCTAATTGATATAATTATATTCTCCCAAGTAATATCAAAATAAATATTCAATAAGCCTCATATGAACAAGAAAAAAGTAAAAGAGAAATAAATAATTAATAGAAATAGATTTTTGTGCAGAAGAATTCAAATCTAAATTTTCATTTAATTTCATTTGAATTTTATCTACAGTTAATGGATCGAATGGCATTAATTGCTGATTATCATCAATTTCGATCCATCCATAAACTTCATATTGATCTTGAATAAAATAAAGATCATTTTTAAAAGTAACTGGAATCTCTCGAGAATAATTGTATGACCAATAATTAAAATTAAAATTTTGTTCAGCAATTCTAATAGAATTAGGTAAAACATCAACAATAACAGCAACATGTCCATAAGGCATATCTTTTTGAATTGGATAAATTAAATAGGATTCATTTATTGGACGATTTGGACAACCATTTGAATGTTTTTTTAATGGAAATTTTTCTGCATCAATAATTCTTTCAACATATTTCAATTGATTCCACATATCATTAGCTCCTGGAATACTTTCAAATGTTGAACTTTTACGTAAGAAAGTCCATCGACGTGCATATTCAACACATTGCCATTTTAATCCCATATATATTCCATAAAGATAATTATCTTCATTTGAATAATACGTATCATTACCATTCGAATAAGCAATTACATTTGATGAAGCCATACCAACTATATCATTAAATGGAGCAAGTTTTTTTTCATTTATCGATCGTCGCTCTATTAAGAAGAAAAAATCAAAATTTAAATAGTATCGAATTTCGTAAAAAAAGAGTTTTTTATTTTATTTAATTAACAAACCTTTAACTAATTCTAAATATGAGAGTTTTACTGATTTTTCTTTCAATTCTGCTGATCTCGTTAAATGAATGCATTGATAAAGAATTATAATGAAGACAAATATAAAAAATATTTTCATTATCAAACGTTTTCGAATAAAAATCTGTAAAAGATTATTGATAAATAATAAAAACATCACATCATGTTAGAAAATTATTTTAATCAGGAATATATAAATGCTGTTGGTTTTTACTCTATTGCGAATAGAAATAAATATCGACAGAAAGCGCTACAATCATCTTTACCCATTACAAATCTTCCCGAGTCGGGGAGATTCCTTTTCAAGTTTCTATTTCATTGACAATTGCATTTTATTCCTAAACTTTACTTAAATTTTCTCATTGCCACCGAATCAGTGACCGTGCACAATCACTTATTCTTGTTGGGAATTCATCTAATGTCTTCGTTGCTGTCAACAAATATCCAACTCTAATGGGTAATGTACATTCGTTGGACATACAAACAATTATCATGCAATAAGAATATCTTTTACTCGTTTCTTCGTCAAAATAGCCAAGATCAGTGAATTTATTCAATTGAATTCTATCAAGCACAAACAATTCGAAAAAATGAGATAATAATGCATTCAAAAAAACACCTAGAGTACTTATCAATCTTGGTAAATTCCATTTCTTTGTAGTCCACTAGATACTCAAAATTCTAGTAACTAAATTCCACAAAATCCAGCTAGATCTATCGTGAAACTAAAGCTACATTATTCAACTAGACAGTGGAATCTGGATTCTCCAATTGATTCTAACAGCATTTGGCAATTAGATTTTACGAGAATCTATCGGAAAGAACTTTATTTATGTTTTGTGCTAGAAGATTAAGACTCAATTTGGAGAAAGTAACTTTTAAAAAGAAGAAAGTAAATTACAGTAAAATATTATGTAATCTTGTTTTGACAAATTGACATTATTTTCTCTTTCTCTCATCAACGAGATGTTTTCTGATCAGCTGACGAAACTTACACTTCAAACTTAATTAGCCTCATCCTCAGACAATTATTATAGATCGAGTAAAATTTAAAAAAAACAGTATTTACATGAAGTCCGTAGTACGGCAATCAAATTTTCTCATTTTGTCTTTTTTTTCTATAACTATTATTAATGCAAAGCATAGCATTTATGCAGTCCGTCGCGTGTTTTCTTTTGCTTTTGCTTTCTCGACGTACGCATCTTTTTCATCATTTTGTGACCCGATGATCTCGAGTGTCGAAAATCATAAAAAAAACTCATTGAAACGGGAGATGAAAGTATCGAGATCGAACTTCTGACATATTTTTTCTATTCTTTAATCTGATATTCTGTTCACTCACAAATGCAGTTCCAAAATGACGAAAATGAAAGAAATTTATCAAGAGATAATTTAAGTGAAGTCATGAACATATGTTAGCCACTATAGTCTATTCATTTACAGCTGATCTAAGATAATGAACCATGGAGATAATTAATCGATCAATCGAAATCGATCCTTAAGAATGTATCGCTAAGTAAGAATAGAGTTCTCTCAGTGATGAATTTCATCATGTCGACATAAAAAGAGTATTCAATATTTCTCTGAATTGTAGATTTTTCGTGAAGATCCGATTCGAGCGTCGCATCGCATTCGTATTCGAGTAAAACTCGAATACCATCTAGTTTCTAATTGATTAGCTATCTTTTAGATACATTGTTTTATTTCAACGAACAGAAAATAGAAAAATTATTCTACGTATCAGATTAACACGATGAGAGGCATTCAATACTAAATATTTGCAACATTTCTGCGTATCGGAGAAATTTCCACTAAAATAAATTCACGAATATAAAAATAAAATTTGTTCAATCAAAAATACCATTATTTATTTTCTAAAATTTTACTATTCTCATTGTCACTTTGTCATTTTCGTCCTCTTTGTAAAATAAAATCAGATTTATGTTCGAAATATATAGTTTTTGAATAAATAAGGCAAATATTTCGAGTTAGATCTCATATCAACAGCAGACTATTGTTTATGAAAGGAAATATGAAATATAAAAAAATTCAATATAGACATAATTTAGCAGATCATTGATATTTCATCATGATTGTTTTCTATTCTTTTAATAATATTAATTATTTTATAATCTATGTAGAAAATTTAATTTTAACATTTTTAACATTAAAAGATCACTATGAAATTTTACTCATGTTAAATTATTTTTTGGTTGCATTTGAATGAAGTTTATTCACAGCCAACATTTACAGAAATATCGTACCATTTAGAATGTCTATTAAATTAATTTTTTTGTTTTCCTGGAAAAAATTAAAATCATCGATTATATCTATGATCAGAATATTATTAAAAATTAGATAAACATGCGTTAATTTATAAATATTTCAAGCACATAGACATTTAATAATATTGACAAAATATGCTTTATATATAAAAAAATCTGATTGATTCATATAATTTTGGTTTATCTCACAAAAAATCTATTCAAAAGTCTCTTAGAAAAATGAACGATGTTCACGTCAAAAGCTAAATGTTAAAAGAATTCAATATTTTTAAACCGTGAAGTCTAATTTAAGAATTTTTTCACAGATCATTTTCAATGAACAATTAAAATTAAATATTTATTGAATTCAACTAATAAAATAATATGATAGAATAAATTCAATTAATTCATGGCAGATAAATTCTATACTTTACATTTTCGATAGTCGATTAGGAAAAGTTTAATTCGGAAAATTATTTTTTGTTATTTCATTGAACTTTCTAAAGAAAGTAATGCAATGAATCATATTGAAGAGAATAGTAAACTATAAAAATCTAATACACATTGTTGAATTGATTAAATTCTATATTTGAAATTTGAAATTTGAAATTTGATTGCAATGTCTACACACAGCAACAAATAAATTAGATTAATTTTCTGGTTAGTTAATATATGTAGCTAAAAACATTCGTTTATTGGTGCCATAAAAATAGAAAAGTGAAGGATAAAGAATACTCATTTCGCCATTTCTTTTTCCTGTTATCCGTCTTGGATTATAAATTTAAAAAAGAACGAATAAAATAAAAAAAGACATCTTTGTTGATATCTCCAAAATAGAATATAATTGTTGCATTATCACCGAAGTTATTTCGATTTGGTGGTGGAACAAAATGTATTCCTCAATTGTTATTTAATGAATATAATACAGATAATTTTATTGACTTCGCTTTCGTTGTTATGATATAGAATAGTTTTTATTTAATACTCAATTCAATTGGGCGCGTATATTTATAGATAGACATAGAAGTGAACGAATAAGCTACGTTAAATAACTAAATTATTTTGAACAAACATTATGGAACAAAGTCACCATAATCAATTTGATGAAGTTGATTGGATTCATGATAGAAATATTCATTTTAATGAATTAATTACTTGGCTTTATAATCAGGGAGTTTTATGAAATCAAGAATTGACTCTTAACTGTTCACAAAAACTTTAAAAAAAATCTTTGATAAACGTTTTCAATAATAAATATTCATTCAAATCAAATGATTTAAATTTATCGTAGAATTCGATTTTTATAGCTATAAGATTATCGCATTTTAAATTTAACAGGAGTTTTGATACAATTTATTTATGTTCACCAATAATAATAAAACAAATCTCGACAATGAAAAACCAATTACTTTCAATTGAATGAGAGTCATAGAAAAAAAGATGAAAACGCAAAAATGACAAAATTGATTATTAAAAACATTTAAATAATGCTAAACAAAAGATAAAAAAAAGATTTTGCCAATAGACGAAAAACAAAGAAACGTAAATATTTTGCTTGACAACTCGTTTAATAATGACGTTTGTAAATTTCATAAGGGTATGCGTATTTCGACTTGAAGCATATAAATATATATATATATATATATATATATTTGCATTTGTTGCACACACGTGGAAGATTTCTATTACCTCAGTCGAATAAAAGAACGAAAAAAAAACCTAAATAGGTTTCTTTCCCTTATTATTTGCATACGAAAGAGACAACGAGTTAGTTTATGAGTGAATAGCCACAAATATAAAAGGTAAGCTATTTTCATTTATGTCTTTATTCTTCTTTTGTTTTCATTCGAACTGTATTTTATCAAAGAAAATGTTTCAAGGCTTCAATTATAAATAAACTAGAATATTTTTTAAAATCTATTTACTTCAAATGATATTCATTTTCAATTTGTTATTTGTATAAATTCGAATAAATCGAAATATGATAATTAAATTATCACGATTATATAATCATGTATTAAAAGGTTTAAAATTCTTTTAAAATTTAAAAATAATAAAATGAAACTCTATTTTTAATTCTACATAATATTTCTGTTGATATATATTTATTTAGTGGGAGATTATAAAATATCTATTTTAAGAGATTTTTGTTCAGTTATCAATAAACAATTCTATGTCTTTAATTCAATCATGAAATTATTGATTGAATACTTCGATTATGATGAAAAGAGAAGAAAAATGATTTCATAAATCATAAATACCATCCAATTTCAATGTGACTTGAAACGCCGATGTCAATAATATAATTACAATATCAATCTCAAAAACTAAATAAACTGATTACTAATAGAAATGCAAAGATAATAATGGATATATTTGTTAAAATATAATAAATAGTCTGATTTGTCACGAGTTATATTCAATAATAAACAGTAAAAACAAAATTTTGACTGTTCAAACATACATAAATTACAATTTTAATTGAAATTATTTCCTTGCTTTTTGGTTTTTTTTGTAAATATCTTTTTGAAAATAAAACCAATTTTGATAGACTGATTTCGTCTTTGTTGATATCATTTCAACATATTTCTTTCAGAACTAATTCATTTCGAGAGAAATCAAAAGTGTTTTTGATTGTTTCAGTCTATATATTTTTATTAATTACAATAGCAAATCAAATATTCATAAATGAGTGCGGACGATCCAGGACATATTAGTAAGTCGATCTAGTTAAATGATAATAATCAATATAAAATCAATTCTTATTTTTCTGTTATAGAAAATCTTGATAAAAGTCAAATTGAAAATCTGAAAAAGTTTTGGGGAATTCTTCGAGATTATATGAATGATTCTACAAATAAAATCAATAGCATTTATCAAGATGAATTGTTTCTAGCAATTGGTTATGATAATCCAGATACTGTTTTACTTCGATGGCTTCGTGCTAGAAAATGGGATATTCATGCTGCTTTACAACAATTAAATGATACAATTAACTGGAGACATCAATGGGGTGTTAAAGAACTTTTAGACAAAGGTGAAACTGATCTTTTTTATGATGAAATTCTAACGGGAAAAACTTATTTTATGGGCAAAGATCGAGCTGGTCGTCCAATAGATTATGTTTATGCTAAAGAACATGTAAAAGATCAATTTCCATCTGAAGCAACTGAAAAATTAACAGTTTTTAGTATGGAAACAGGAAGAAAACTACTTGAATCACCCAATGAATCTGTTACTGTGATTTTTGATCTAAATGGTTTTGGGTTAAAAAATATGGATTATCAACATTTAAAATTTCTTATTAATCTTCTTCAAAATTATTATCCTGAATCATTTTCACTTGGGCTCATTATAAATGCACCTTGGATATTTAATGGATGTTGGTATATTATCAAACGATGGTTAGACCCTGTTGTTGAAAGTAAAATTCATTTTTTAAATAATATTAATGATTTAACAAAATTTATTGATCCGTCAGTTTTACCTAAACGATTAAATGGAAGTCAATCAGATTTTAATTATATTCCACCAACAGATAAAGATTTATTAATATTAAATACTATTCGAAATGATCAACAAGGGAAAGTAATAGTAGAACAAGCACATAGAGAAGCTGTAAAAAGTTATCTTAACATAACTTATCAATGGATTAATGAAGAAGATACAAATAATGTATTAGAAAAAAGAAAAATTGCTACACAAAAATTGAGAGATGCATTTGAACAACTTGTACCATATATCCATACAAAAACTCACTATCATCGGATTGGACTTATTAATGAACCCATTTTTGATATTACTTATCAAACTATTATCAACAACAATAAACAACAATAAATAGTACACGTTTTTTTTTTTATTTTGTTTTTATAAAAACAATGATTTATATTTTTTTCTTTTTTTAAATTTCTAATATACTTTAATTTATTTGATTGAATATATTTATAACTATTTAATAGAATTTTATTCTATTTTATTAACAAAGCAAAGTAATATCTTTATTTAAATGAAGTACCATAGTGAAATTGTCTCCTCATTAAAAGTATTTTAATTTTCTCTCTGAATAACATCATTTGTTTATATTTTAAACAAGGGGAAAAGCTGATGTTTTTGTTGAAAATGAGAAAATTTCATGCTTTTAAAAATTATCTGACAGTCAAAGTCAAAGATTATTATTCTTTGATTTTATTGAAGAGAAAAATAATAATTTATTTTACAATCTATAAAATGTTCCAAAGAATTTCAATGAAAATAAGTTTAATTTATATTTTTGTATAAAATAAAGAAGTTCACGTTAAAAGAAAACAATCAATGATTTAATAAATGCCTTTTGTTGTATTATTTTTATTAGAAATTTCGTTAATAGAATTATTTCTCAAATATAATAATAATAGTAATAAAACGAATTCATTTCTATTGAATACATCCAGAAAAATAAACGAAAGAGAACAAACGCGAGAAGAAGAGAATCAATAATAAGCAGATAGAGCCAATGAAAAATGAAACATCATTTTCTCAAAACACATTACACCTTTTCTATTTAGATTCAATGAGAAATTGTTCAAATCGAATCGAACTGAGAAAGATTTCATAAGTTATTTTGTTTTAGTAAGTATTAATTCTATGAAGATATTTTAAACATCTTATGTTAAATGTAGATAATGTAACAATAGTACAGTCAGATCTATAGACAAAAGAGAAAATAAATTAAATTCGATTCATTTTTCGCAGCAAAATTTTTTATACAAAAACAATTAATAAGAAACAGATTGAATAGTGTTACTATAAAATATTGAATAAATCTTTTTGTTAATGTTTTCTTTCTCTATTTATGATCTGATAAATATCGATCTAACTTTTGGCAAATACTAAAACTACATAAAATATCAATTGATAGTTGGATCTCGTATGCGTTATTTATTTATAACTAAACAAATACAAATGAAAAGTAACTATGCAACGAATAGGATTTGTCATTTTGAAGAAAAAAAAAAGAAAAAAAATCATTCTGATCGATAATAGAAGAAAGAGAACAAATATACAACTATTCCTATGATTTCTGCGTTCTTTACCGATCTCATAGCAATCAACCCATATGAAGTTTACCCTTTTAACTTTCAACTATTTAGATCGTGTGTTAGAATTTTCTTATTTTATTTTCATACCATATCAATTCATTCATTGGCGATGAAAATGAATATTCTCATTTCAGATAGTGTATTCGATATTTAATAAAATAATTTTTATCTAGATCTAAATTATGACATGAGAAAATAAAAACAACAATAAAAGTATTTTAATTTCCGTGAAGTTAATTGAATGAAGAAATATATATTTTTACATTTGTTTGATGATTGTAGAGGCGTAAAACGGCCCTTTTCCTTTTTTTTTCTTTCTTTTTTCTTCTTCATTTAGAAAATAACTAATAATGAAATGATGTTGGCATTATACTAATAAAAGTGCATATTTTATCGATTGTGAACGCATTCTATAGTCGGAAAAGTCTGTTTAAAAGCGCTCAAAAAGAAAATGTGTACTTATAATGCCGTGAATATGTTATTTCTTCCTCATATTCTCGTCTCTTATCAAATTACTTTCGTTTCTCGTAGATAGATTTTGCTCAATTCTTTTTTTTTACCGTTAAAAGTCTTTGAATTGCATAATATGTTTGCTTATTTCAAATTGAGATTTTCTTCAGTTTAATATAATTGATAAAACTAATAATATTCGAATAGATATCGAAACGAAGAATAAACATTAACTAAAAGATTTCTATCTATCAGATTCTTATTTCAAATTATCTAGTAAATCAACATCAGTTTAATAGAATATGTATATTGTCGAATTGTCATTTTTTCTGTTCTTAGAGAAAAAACAACTAAAAAAGAAATGAAAGGAAAAGAGAAGAAGAAACGACAAAATTTTCAATTAAACTGGCGAAAATGCAGATAAAAATGTTGAATAACAAAAAGGAAGAGTGTCACAAGTGTAATAATATTCAATTGAGTTATTTTGTTCGATTCTTTTGTCTAACTAAGTAAAATGCAACAGCAGGTACCAAATCATTCCTCCACCTTCTCCTTCGTCTTCGTCTTCGTCTTCTTCTTCTGCTTCTACTTCTTTTTTTTTATTATTTTAACGTGCAATATGTACTGATTAGTATTTGCCATTGATGAGTATGCACACTAAAAGCAGTTCTAGACCATTTAATAGAAATTTATGTCAATCAAATATTTGTAGAAAAACAATATAAAATATTCGTTTGATTCATTCATTTACTATTGGAATCGATCTTTTCTTTTTATAATTCCTTTTACAAAATAAATCTATCGGAATAAATCGGTATTTTTTAGATCAACTGATTATTTTATCATAATACTATATTGAAATAATTAGCTTGATAAAATTGCACTTTCAGTTATATTTTTCAAATGGAATTTATCATTTATACTTTCATTTTTATATTAAATATTAACTAGAAGCAAAAGAAGAAAACGAAGTTGATAAATATCAATTGTTAAGGTATGTAATATAAGACAATTGTTTTTTTTCTCAATTAAATCATTTTCTGCTTGAAATCTAAAACTAATATCCAGAAGATGTTAGGCAGATAGAATTCGAATAAATTTCATTCGTTTTTGTTTTGTTTTTGCTATTTGTCTATGATCATAAATAAGTTAGAAATAAATGATAATAATATCTATACATATTAAAAGTAAAGCGAATTAAACTTTAATAGAAATGATCATTTCTATTGAAACTCTTTATATCTGTAATGTGTTATAAGTAAACGATCGATTGAGATATTTGTTGAATAAATTTTGGCATGTCTAGAGAATATGCATCACTTTCATTCGTATTTATGTTTATTGCCTATGATTTTACGTATGTCATTAAGTCGAAAATTGTACATCGTGAATAATCGTCGCCATGCTGCTTTTTTTTTCTCCATATTTCTTCGCATTTCTCATGATCAATGCTAATCATAGTATGTCATATTTCTTATGTATTTTTCTTCCTCTTTTTGTGATTTAAATGTACATGTGGGCGTTTGTTAGTATGAGTAGTGTGGTTGTCAACGAAAAGAAAAAGAAATGCAATGTTTATGTAAAATACACTCGGTAGACTCAATTATTATTAGAAACTTTGAAAAGTTCAACATGAAAATAAGAAGTAGAAGGTGAACAAAAACATTTTAACAAAAAAACATTCAAACATACTTTTTAGTCGATTCGATAATGTAAGTCATTTTAAATAAATCAATTCAATAAAATGAATATTTAAAAGATAAATTTTACCTTTTTTGGTTTTTCGACTTTTTGTCATTAGTTTTTATAAGTTTAATATTCAATCAGATTTTAAAATGAATTGTTCATGATACTTGTTCGTCACTTTAAAATTTATTTTTAAAGCTTTGCTTTCTTTTTTATTCAAATACAGAAAAGTTAAAAGGAAAAAGTCTAGATGATTTTTCCTCAGAAAAAAAATAGAAAATTTTTGTAAAAAGTTTATAGACACAAAAATAAAGCCGATGAATTTAATTAAATTGAAAGTAAGCATATAGTTTTTAGTTGATAGATTAATAAGATGAAAACCTAAATTTTAATAGATTTGACTAAAACAATGAAATTTTTCTCACTAACCAATAGAATTCTCTATGGAAACAAGATTTTTCTTGCTTTTTAAACAATAGAAAAAAAATTATTGTCCTCATTAGAAAATTTAAAGGAGAACTAAGAGTAACTTTGTTGAGTAACAGAAAGAAAAAATGCACGCTCTGTGAAAAGAGAATAAAGAATTGATCTAAATTTTTTATTACTTTCATTTTTTTTTGTTTCTCTTAAACGAGTTCAATAAAACTATATATTAATATTTATTTTAGAGGAGTTCAATCTATTATCAAAAATGAATAAAAATATAATATTTCTTGTTTGAAACAATAATATTTCATCATAGATTTATTTGCGTCTATATAAAAAAGAAATCATCAACGATATTTTGTTATTTTAATTATGCGTACGTATATTAACGTTGAAAGTTTATGCTTTTTTTGTCTTCATTTCTTTTTTTATTTTATATGAAAGATTTCGTAAAGAATTCGAAATAATTATAAATAAGTTTGATAATATGAATTTGATTAAGACTGAAATTTAGTTAATAGGGTTAAATTATAATCATATAATTGTCTCTGGTTTTCAAGATAGAAATCAATAAAATTTTCTTTTAGAGGAAAGACCTCTATAATTTAGATAAGTTTCCATTTTGATAAAATTTGAAAAATTATCTCAATATATGTATTTTCTCTTCTAAGACTTCTTTTTAACGTTGAAGAACTATTCCTCATCAACAATAAAACAAAAGAAATACGAAATTTCTCTAATATTGAATATTGAATACGCATAAAAGAAGTATATGAATGAATAATAGTTGTCCTAGTTGTCTTCTTCATGGAAAGAATTGAATTGATTAATAAAATTCATTCCTATTCTAGAATAAGATTGAATTCTCTAAAAGAAAATCTCAATTGATTGATCTCTAGCCACAGGTTAGATTTTATTTTCTTCCTACTAATTAATTCATTTTGTTTTTCTTTGCATATAATTAGATGTTGACTATGAAATACGATGTTTTTCTATCTTTATTAATTTCTTTTAAAATAAATAATTAGAGTTTAGAACAATAAATAAATAAAAAATTAAGTAATATCTATTTTGTTTTGTTTTAGTTAATCAAGTTGATCTAGTCGATATTTATATTTTTAAAATTAATTATTATAATCGTCTGATAAAAATCAAAATGGACTATGAAAATGAAAAATTAAATTTTCTTAATGAAACTAAATCAATAAAAACATATAGATATTATTTTGAAAATTCGATAAATGAATTGAAACATTTGAAATTCAACATTGGAAAAACAATTTTATTTCGAATATTCTTTTGCTTGTTAATATTAATAATAATATTATTTCGTGGACATTTTTTTTGTCTATTTGGTTTTATAAATTGTTATGTAACATGGCCATTTAGTTCTCCTGTTCATATTAAACTTGATTTATTAAATCTTTCAACAAAACCTTCTCAACATGAATATATTCCACGTCGAATGCATCATATATTACTTGGTCCATTGAGTCAATCTCCACCTGAAAGTTGGCTGACATCAAGAAATTCTTGTATTGAACTTCATTCAAAATTCGAAAAACATTATTATTGGACAGATGAAAATAGTAAAGAATTTCTTGAAAAAAATTATTCGTGGTTTTTAAAAACTTGGTTTTCATATAAAACAATTGTACAAAAAGCTGATGCATTACGATATTTTCTTCTTCATTATTATGGTGGAATATTTCTTGATATGGATTTGTATTGTTTACATAAACTAGATGGATTATTTAATTATTTAGATGACCATGTATCAGCAGATGAACATATATTTTTAGCTGTTAAAGCATTTCCTGTTGGAATATCAAATGGTTTTATGATATCAACTCGTAATCATCCACTTCTTCAACGTGTTATTGAAAATCTTGAACTTTATAATCGAAATTTTCTTTTACCACACGCAACAATTGTTATATCAGCTGGACCGATGTGTATTTCAATACAAATTCAATTAAATCGTTCATTGTGGAGTTCAATATTAGTTCTTGACGGAAAAGAAAATATGATTGGAGGTAAAACGGATACACCACTTTTTAAACATTTAGGTAGTGGTTCTTGGCATAAAGCTGATGATATGATTTTTAAAAATATTCCTATGAATATTCAACGGCAAAATCAAACATTTTCAATATCAGTTATTGTTTTTATTATTTTTATTTTCTTATTTTTTATTGGACGAAACAAAAATTTCATCAAGGTAATAGTTTTTTTATTTTTTCAAAATAATCATTTCTATCAAAAAGTATTTTATCAAAACAAAAAAAAGTCTTTTATCTTTTAAAATAAATAGTTTATTAAGAAACAAAGGAAAGAACTGATTTAAATTAAAATTTTTTTATATCTTTAAATATAATCTCAGATGATTATAGAAACATTTGAGATCATACAGTTCTTTACTAGCAATCAAAAGTAGGGGTAGACCGTTTATTTTAATTTGAGCTAATTAAGAGAGTTAAATAAGTGTTTTTACTTAACACTTAATTTTTCTCATCATCTTTTTATATGTTATCAATAAATTTATTCTTTTTGTTTTTGATAGAATTTGATTCAACGAATATTATGAAAGAAGAAGAAGGAGAAACGGAATGCAATTAGCAGTGAATCTTTATCTGAAATTAGACATGACGACATCAATAAAATTCATTTCAATATATATATATATATAATTATTTATTTGGCAAATTATATTTTATTTATCTTCCAAAAACTTTTTCTCTATTATTTATCTATTTATATGATCAATTGAATTATTTGATTAATTAACAACTAGAAAATCAAACAAACCAATATATATATTTTAATATTATTGAATAGAACAAATATTCATTGATAAAAATAAAACTAATAATAATAATCTAAGAATTAATTTCCGTTGAATAAATTTCTTTTTCTTTCTTTTCTCTGTTTAAAAACGTGTGCATCAATAGGAAATATACAAACTCCATTTTTATATTTATAATAATTCATAAAAATAAATAAATAAATTGTTGCTTTTCTTTTTCTCTCTTTTAGATATTTAAATTAATAAAAGAAAATGAAATTAATTGGAATAATAAAAAATATTTCTCGTAACATAAAATATTATCGTGTTAAAAAAGAAGATGAAGAAGATTCAATAAATCTTGTTGATTCATCAAATGAAAATGAAAATGATCGTGATAATGAAAAATTTCGATTAATAATCCGATTAATTCGTCGAATATCATTATGTTTTATAATTCGATGTGTTTTATTCATTCCTTTGGTTATTTATTTTTTAATAGTATTAACTCCAATTAAAAATCTTCAATCATTTATTCCAATTGAAATAAAGCAAACGAAAAATTTTCTTATTGTTGTTGCTCATCCAGATGATGAATGTTTATTTTTTAGTCCAACAATACTTCGATTAATATCGGATCAAAAATTAGGTCATATACTTGTTTTATCAACTGGAAATAGTAATGGTTTAGGACCAATTAGAGAAAAAGAATTAAAATTAAGTTGTCAGCAACTGGGTATTGATTTAACTCGATGTTTATCTTTAAATTTAACTGATTTACAAGATAATCCAAAACATTGGTGGCCACAAAGAAATATATCTGAAATAGTAGAAAAATATATAAAACAATTTCAAATTGATTTATTAATAACATTTGATAAAAGTGGTATATCTGGTCATATTAATCATAAATCAATTGCTCTCGGAATTAAATATTATATTGATAACACTGATCAAACTCCGCTTACATATGAAGTTTCTACAGCTTCACTTTTATTTAAATTTTCTTCGTTATTTGATATATTGCGGACGACAATTAAATTTTTACCTCGATTGTTTCGAAGTTTATTTTCAACGCTATTTCCATTTATAATATCTCAACCAAATGATAAACATGTTTTATTTGTAAGTTCACCATATGGATATTATAAAGGATTAAAAGCTTTTCATGCACATCGTTCACAAGTGCTTTGGTTCAGACATCTTTATACAACATTTAGTCGATATATGTTTATGAATGATTTGAATAAAATTTCATTGAATTAAGAAATATTCAATTAAAAAAATAAAACCGAAATAAACTAATTTTCATTGAATCGGAATTAATTAATAAGTAGTTTACTATCATCAAGAAATAAAATAAATTGATTTATATCGATGATTTAACATGCATCGAAAATATTTATGAGACGATTCAATTGACGTATTTTTTTTATGTGATCTTTGGTTTTTATCCAGTTAGTGTTTTTCTTTTTGGTTGAGATTCAAAAACAAACGATTGCTGATAAAATCGTCTTTGTATTTTAGATGTTGCTCTGATCGAAAATATTATTTTTCATGACTCTCTTTTACAAAACTAGTTTCACACTTCTATTCTATAATAATAATTTAATTGAATATATTAATTTTGAATGGCTGCTTGATATTGATTAATAAGCATAATCACATTGAATAGAATGATATGTAATACAAAAATTTTTATTCTGCCTAACTTGCTTTCTAATCATAAATTTGATCAATATTTTGAAGTAAAAAAATCAAAACAAGTAAAATATCTCTTACAAATGAGTACAATTTGTAATGATTTTTACTTTGTCGTCCATTTAGATGTGATATTGATCCTCATGACTATATAGAATCGAGTGAATCATTAATTTAAACATCGACTTGCAGTAATTCTGTAAAAAATAACAGTTCTCGTTGTAGAAATAGTATACAAGTTACTATTGATTGTATAAGTTCTAGGAACACACATTAACAATTTAAACTTCGCCTATAGACATTAAATTATAAAGTACTAAAACATATTTTTTGCTTGTTTCAATTTGAAGAAAACGAATTCTCGTATATTAATCTACGAAAAAAAATGCAAATAAATGGATACCTTGTTAAAATTTGACATATTTTCTAGATTATTTGTTGGTACAATTTTAGTTAAAGCAATAGAAAGAAAGAATAAATAAATAATAGTATTTATTTTACTTTTTTAGTTATTTAACTGGTTCGATAGATACGTTTTTGAATTGTTGGATATTAATTGCAATAAATAACTTTATGCCAAAGTGAATTGTCAGCAAATGAACGTATAGCACCAGCTCTGTAGCCACCAATATTTTGATCCAAGAGCCAACTCAGACGTAAAAGACTATTTAAATCTTCATTATCAGCTGATGTTTGTCGAATAGAAGGTAGTGGAGAAAATCCAAAAGATTTACCATTTTTACGACACCAATAAACTTGCCAAAATTGCTGAGGTTGATTCCAGCTGGTATTTAGAGTTAATACACTTGCTGGACCTACAGTTGCCAATGAAATAGATTCATTGAATGTAGCAGTAACAATAACTTGATTATGACATATTCCAGCTATTTGATTAAGATCATCAAGACGAGTTCGATGATTATAAGGCTGATCAAAAACAAATAGCCATCCAGTTAATGGAATCTGAAGATTTTCATAGATTTGCCAAGATAATTCTATAGCTGACGGACTTTTATCATTCGAACAAATTAATGTTGCAAGACGTCCTTCAATATCTTCTAATTTCTTAGTTATTTCAAGAGAAATAGTTGAAAGAATGGTATTGATTATTTCTTTTTTAGTCTCTTCAAGAATATCACGTGTAACAATCTGTGAACATTCAGCACTACTAGTGATAGGAGTCGTTGCTTGTTGTGTTGCCGTAAAAATATCCTTTTCAGTTGGTTCTTCAGTAGTATATTCTTGCCATTGTTGTGTTTTATCAATATCAGTAGTTAATGATTCGTAAGGTTCTACTGTAGTGATTTGTTCCCATAACTGAGTTCTATCGATATCAGTAGTTTCATCATAATTTGTATTTAATTGAAAATCTTGTTTAGTCGTCTCGCTATTGAACTGTAAAGATTCTTTAGTTGTTTGACAAGATACGTGAAAAATAAAAATAAAAAAATTGGTAAAAAACGAAAAAGTGAAACATTTTAGCTGTATGATTCGTAAATTGATTTTTTTTCTTGTAAAGCAATTCAAAATAAATGATATATTAATCGCATAAGCATCAGTATCAAATCATCAATGCCATTTAAGAATAAAATTGAAAAGAAAATCCTTTACAAATATTCACATTGAACAGATATTTTTAATTCAATTTTTGTTCTGTCAACACAAAATGTAAATCGATACGTGAATCTTTTTTATTATTGATTATGACTCATTCTATCACATTCTCTGCTAAATTAGCTGCAATAGGATAATTTATCATCGGGAGCTATTCTCTATTAGATTATACACGTATGTTTAGATTTTATTTTTATTTGCTTTCTGCAGAAATCGATTGAATTCAACGAGTTTTTGAAAAGAATTATTACTATGGGAATAGATGTTTACTCAATATTTTAACTGCGAATTATGAGAGTTTAAAAATCTCTATCACTTGACTTGACTTGACATATTTATCTGCTATTTCAATCTTTTTGATAGACAATATATATTGAGCACATTAAATGCATTTTCGATAGGCAAACACTGCGAATCTAAAAGTTTTTCTACTTTTTAAAATTGTATAAAAGTAAATGATAAACGAAATATCTATCGAAGTTTTTTAAAACTGATTTTCTTCTATTGAATTTGAAATTATTGAATTTCGAATGATTCAACAGAAAAAACTTCGCATAAATTACTTCTCATTATGATAGTCTGCAAGATTATCGTTTATTTAGTAATAGAACAGAGCATTTTAGAATCGAAAAATAAAACTCACGTTTTCTTTTTGGCAATAAATCGATGTTTTTAACAAACAACCAAGACAATAATACATGAAAGTGATAGTAAATATGTTTGACTTGTTTGCATAGATGAAATCACTCGGAGCTTTCGCAGAACCGAAAAGATGTATCTAAAATAGCTTTTTGAAAACTTTAAAAGGAACAATGAATTGTATTTCACGAAGAATTTTTTTTCTGAATGATTATGAAAGATATCTTTCAAAAATAATTTGAATTTTTATTCATAAATAAAATTTTGACGAAAAAAGTAAATTAAAAAAAAATATGATGATACGTGCCAAGATAAAAATTTACTAAAATGTGTAAGATATTTCTTTTAGAGTAAAAGTAAAGCATAGAGGACCGATCTTCTAATCATAATAAAAGTTTCCTTTTTCTAAGTTAACAATAAGTTGAGGTATGTTCGGAATTTTTGAAGGGCACGAAAATTTTGGAAATTACCGCTGTTCTTCACGAGCTTCTTGCATTTTTCTCGAACTAGCTTTCATGACATTCATTTGTTAACTATACTAAAAACCAAAAAGATAAGATAAAATTGGTAACAATTGTTTTCTCGCTTCTCGCTTCTCGTTTTTTATTTGTCTATTTTAATTATCAAACAATTTCATTCAAATAATGTAAAATCGTAGAATGACGGATAAAGAAAATATTGTCACACGCTTACTTTATTAGTAGAATTCAAAAAACAGAAATGAGTATATTAAGTACTTCTATTACATTTTGAAGTCCTTACTTACCTTCAATCAATATTCTTTAAAGTATGGAATCTTTTAGTGCTACATGTTAACAGGGCATTTCAAAGAGTTATTTTTTATTTTTATTTTTCCTTTATAATTTGATTATTTAATTTGAACTTGTTTAATGTTATTTTGAAAGCGATTTTGATTCAGTAAGGTGCAGAAAATCTAAAGTAATTAAAAAGTATAGAGTGCTAAGATAAAAATGATATACTTAAGGACTGCTCAATGTATTCATAATGGTGACACAAAAAAAATCTGTGATGGGAAACATTTTGTGCCTTTTCTTAGCAAATATATGCCTCGTTTACAAAGATTACGTCTTTGGCGACAAGATGATTTTCCTTGGACATCTAGTAAGTTTATTTTGAACAAAGAAACCTTTTATTAATCTAAAATAGACATTCTTCTATTTATTTTTGATTTTCTGAGTATTGAATCTCATCTTTCTCTTTATTAATTAATTAATAAAAGAGTTATTTTTCTGTCTCACTTCTATTCAAATCTTGTCTATAGTTTTACTAAATAATATTGATCATTATATAATTACTTTAGACTCGATGCTTGAGAAATCAAGTTTAGCAGTTTGACTACTAGGTTTTATTTTCGAATTATTTTAAACACTCAAATAGTGCTTGTATTTTTCGATTAGATTAGTAGATTCTTCTTTTGCAACTGAACTTGATAAAAGACTTGTATCTTATCTGTTCACTAGAGGTTGTTATTTGTCAAATTATTTTACTCAGTAAATTTTCTATAGAAAATATTCTAATTTATTTATTTAACTATCTTTGATATCAATATAGATAAATATGTAATACTTACGATTTCTAATAACATTTCATACTATCGTGTATTTTTCTTTTTCGACAAAACAATGAGAAAATTATAAAATGAAATTTTATTTTACATTATTGATCAAATTTACGATCTTTTCTTTTAAAGCATTTTCTTCTCAATGAGTTAAATTATTCGAACTAAATTATATAACTGCAAATATGATCCACAACAATTCTTTTTCGTTTACACAATTGAGATAACGACAATGAAAAAGAAGCCATTTTTGAAAACTTTTCACAGGGAAATTCACACTTGATTCGATTCTTTCCTAAAGATAAGACTTGGATAAAATTTATTATTTTAAAACAAGAGTTTAACTAAGAATACGGTGCCAGCGAAGTATGCATCAGCAGAAGACTTTATCATGAAAAATTATTTTATTCTGTTCAAAACCAGTTTGCACGTAGACAAAAGAAAGCTCTAAAATTGATTGATTTTTCTCAATAAAAGAAAATAAAACAATCTTCTATTGAAACTTTTAACTGTTTGACGAATTCATGTTTTATTGCTTGTTTTTATAAAAGTTCGACCAACTTGTGATGCCGACCAGAGAAGCAGCAGATATGGATGTTTTATTCTACGATGGCTCAAATCTCTAAAAACACCTGAATCGATTGGTAAATAGGTTCAAATGCAACAATTTTTATATGATTTATGTAATTATATTTTTAGCACAACATACAACTATTTTTGAACAAGATCTTGGCCAGCTGGTCGAAGCATTAAAAGAATTTACGTTGATTGATATTTATGGCGAAATTCATTACGAAAAAGTTGAATCTTATCGTTTAATGGCCGAAACTCGTTTTCCTAAAAGTCGAGTAGAGGTTGATACATCAAGATTTTGTCTTTGGATTTAATTCCCTGTTTTTGTTTTCTTTATCGTTTTAAATTGTCAAATACATTATTACATTCAATAATCAATTGCTGAAGTTATTATTTAAATAATGTTTTGTTATTTTTGAAGGAGTCATTGTAAAAGAAATCAAAAATTGACTAGCAATCTATTCATTGGCTATCGATTCGCATTAACTTGCTTTATTTTCTAATGTTTAAATTTAAAGTTATCATCCAAAATGACAAATTTTACTGTATTAAAATCCTTTTTTTTATTTTTGAGAAAGAACTCTCAAAAAACGTCTTGCTATTAGAAAGTCGCTTCTTGTTTCTCTACGAAGATTGAAGCATGTTAGTTAGTAAAAACTAAACTGGAAAACTTCATCACTCGTACTACGAATCTTATGACTAGAATGGTTTTCCTAACGCCATTTCAATAGATCCTTTGCCAATTTTTCATAATGCTACAGTATTCAATTGTTGCTTTAACCTCATATAAGTCTGACTTCTAGACAATGCATATTTTAGAAAATCGGACTCTCTCAAAGTCGTGATTTTCTGGAAGGTCTCCTCAATGATAGAAATTATGCACACAGTCAAATTCTTTTTTAGGCCGTAAGTACTCAGTTAAATCTCTTTGCAGCTCGAATTTGAACTCTTTCACATAGTCCGTTCATCGAATTTCTAAGTGCATCAAATAAAGAAAAAGAAGGCTTTTTTCTTGAACTTGGTGGTATTGTTCAACTCATCACTCGCTTACGTAGATAGAAATATTAAATACGTACGAATTTAAAATTAACAATCAACTTAATTGACACAATATTCACTGCTAATAGGAAAATATTGTTAATTATCACGAGTTATTTACAATTTAATTCTGTATCGGATAAGGATCAAGTTGCTCTATGATAAGTTTGATAGAATATTTTTCATTGAATTTATTAACTAGAAATATCGTGAGTCGATGTTTACGCAAACATAGAAGATTCCGTCATGTAAATGCTGAATGTTTTTTATTTTGTTCCGACTGTTAAAACTGTTTACTCTCTAAATTGAAGTTTTTTTTTCGGTTAATTTTGTGACACAAATTATTGAATTGACTAATTTTACCTATATTTTTAGGACTGTCAGAAATCACGTTTTACTGTTTAAAAGAGATTTAAATAATAGATCATAAAGAGTTAAAATTATCTTTCTATTTGACTCTTATTAGTCTTGATTATTAAGTTCTGATTTCTTTCAATCAAAGAGTTTTCAATATAAAAAAAAACACATTCAAATTGATTTGTTCGGTTTGGTACTTCGACTTTATTCATAGTAGAATCAATTTTTAAAAAAGAAATATCTTTTTAAAATAAAAACCAAAATGATCGAGTTTCCTTTTGTACTTTTAGTTCGTCAGATGTGGAATTTGAACTTAACGTCTATCGATCAAGCAAAAAAATAATAATACGTAGAGTCATCTGTCTGGATACGTATTTTATCTTTATATGTATAAATAATACAAAATATAGATTTGAAGCGCAAATATTTGAAAATATTCTAAAAATTCCAAATTTGTTTTACAGAAAAATATAGAGAAAGAATAAAAATAAGTTTTATAGATGTCCCAATGGTATGGCAATTATATACAGAAAGTTATTACACAGATGTCAGTTTTTTTTAAGAGAAGAAAGTAATTGGAGAACGTAGCTCTAGGTCGTATTGTTCTTTTGATCAACTAGTGTTGAAGAAATAACATTAATGTACCGACAACTATTACCTGTTCGATCTAAACTTCTCAATATTAAATTAAATGGACGATCTCAGGTATTTATTTATAATAGAGTAATGAATATATACATATATATATATATATATATATATATATACATAGATTTATTTATTTTTGTTATAGATATCATGTGTATCATCATTGACATCAGAATGGAGTAAATTAGCAACAAAACAATTAAAAAAAGTTCCATTAGATTCGCTCAATGTTACAACATATGAAGGAATTCAATTAAAACCTTTATATACATCAGAGGATGTTAAAGGAAAAGAAGAAATTCCCGGTGCATATCCATATACTCGTGGTCCATATCCAACAATGTATGCTCAAAGACCATGGACTATACGTCAATATGCCGGTTTTAGTACAGTAGAAGAATCAAATCGATTTTATCGAGCTAATTTAGCTGCTGGTCAACAAGGTCTTTCTGTAGCATTCGATTTAGCTACACATCGTGGTTATGATTCAGACAACGAACGTGTCAGTGGTGATGTTGGAATGGCTGGTGTTGCTATTGATACAGTTGAAGATATGAAACAATTATTTGATTCAATTCCACTTTCAACAATATCTGTATCGATGACTATGAATGGAGCTGTTTTACCTATTCTTGCTATGTATGTCGTAGCAGCTGAAGAACAAGTAATTTTTTCGCACGAATTTGTTTTGTGTTAATCATATTTTAATTCGATTGATAGGGAGCAAAACAAGAACAATTGAATGGAACAATTCAAAATGATATTTTAAAAGAATTTATGGTTCGTAATACATATATTTATCCACCTGAACCTTCAATGAAAATAATTGCTGATATCTTTCGATATACATCGAAAAATATGCCTCATTTTAATTCGATTTCCATTAGCGGTTATCATATGCAAGAAGCTGGTGCAACAGCCACACTCGAATTAGCTTATACAATTGCTGATGGTCTTGAATATTGTCGAACTGGTTAGTTATACTTAACTATATCTTAATTAAAATAAATCTTCTTTTCTTTCCTTTATAGGTATTAAAGCTGGCTTATCAATTGATGATTTTGCTCCACGACTGTCATTTTTTTGGGGAATCGGGATGAATTTTTATATGGTACCTATTTAATTGTATTGTTTTATTAAAAAATTTCGTTTTTGTTAAATTTAAGGAAATAGCGAAACTTCGTGCAGCTCGTCGTCTTTGGGCAAATTTAATAAAAGAAAATTTTTCACCTAAAAAAGCACAATCATTGATGTTACGTTGTCATTGTCAAACATCAGGATGGTCATTAACAGCTCAAGATCCATATAATAATATTATTCGTACAACATTAGAAGCATTATCAGCTGTTTTTGGTGGTACTCAATCACTTCATACAAATTCATTTGATGAAGCTCTGGCACTTCCTTCAGTTCAAAGTGCAAGAATTGCGAGAAATACTCAAATTATTCTACAAGAAGAAACTGGCATTCCTAAAGTAAAATTAATTTTATATCAAAACGAAAAATAATTTTTCTTCTTATATTAAAACAAAAAAGGTGATTGATCCTTGGGCTGGATCTTATATGATGGAAACATTAACTGATGAAGTTTATAAAAGCGCTCGAGAATTAATTGATGAAGTCGAGCAAATGGGTGGAATGTCTAAAGCTATTATTGCTGGTGTGCCAAAATTAAAAATTGAAGAATGTGCAGCAAAACGACAAGCTATGATTGATGATGGAAAAGAAACGATTGTTGGTTAGTTCTTTTTATCCATTGTGATTTTTATTCAATTAATTGAATTTTTTTATTTTGTTTTCTAGGTGTTAATAAACATAAATTAGAAAAAGAAGAGTTGATTCAAGTACGTCAAATTGATAATCAACAAGTGCGACAGCAACAAATTGAAAAAATTAAAAAAGTCAAACAACAACGTAATCAATCCAAGGTTTATTTCATTATTATTATTATTTCGGATTTTTCTTTTTAAAACGCCTAGTTTTCATTTTTTTTCTAGGCTAATCAATGTCTTGACAAGTTACGAGAAGTAGCTCGTGATAAATCTGGTTCAGGAAATTTACTTGAAGCTAGTATTGAAGCTGCTCGAGCTCGTTGTACACTCGGAGAAATATCTCAAGCATTAGAAGATGTTTTTTCTCGTCATGTTGCTGAATCACGTCTAGTCAGTGGAGCATATAGAAAAACGTTTGATGATGGAAAAAATAATAATGAACTTAAACGTGTTATTGATAGAGTTGAAGTTTGTTTTTTTTAATTTTTGATTTCATCAATTTTTCTATTTTGACTATTTTAAAAGAAATTTTCAAAAACCGAAGGTCGACGTCCTCGAATACTTGTAGCAAAAGTTGGACAAGATGGACATGACCGAGGAGCAAAAGTTATTGCATCAGCTTTTAGTGATGTTGGATTTGATGTTGATATTGGTCCTTTATTTGCTGTAGGTTCATTTTTGTGTCTACGTATTTTAATTAAATTATTTTATAAAATATTCTTTTTACAGACTCCATCAGAAGTAGCAATGCAAGCCATTGATGCTGATGTTCATGTTGTTGGTGTTAGTACATTAGGAGCAGGACATAAATCTCTTGTACCTGAACTAATTAAAAAGCTTTCTGCATTAGGTAGGAGTGATATTATTGTTACTGTTGGGGGAGTTATTCCACCTCAAGATTATCAAGAACTATATGATCAAGGTGTCAAACTTATATTTGGACCTGGCACACGCATTCCCGAAGCAGCTATTCAAATTCTTGATCACATTGAAAAAACATTTAATTCATCAAACAAATCAAAATAAATTATTTTATTCATTAAAGTTTATTTTCAATTTCCACTATGGATATTATATTTCTTTAAACGATTACAAATAAAGCAAAACGAAAACATCAACTAGAACACTTTATTAGAATAAAAGATTAATATATAGATTTATTCATTTTGCGCACCTTTAACAATTATTATCCCTTTAGTTGTACTTTTACTCAAATTTATAAAAATTAAACTCGCATTTAGTCAATAAACATATATTGTTCTCATCAAAATACAATCTTTTCTTATTGATAAAATATTAGAAAAAAATTTCAAAGAAACGAGTCATGATAAATAATTAAAGTATTTATTTCATAGAAAACAACAATTATCATGATCATAGCTTAATAATTAATAGAGTTATACTATTGGCAATTTATCTGATCAGATAATTTATATTTTGCAAGTTATTATTCATACGTATGTTGAAGTTATGGTTAAACTACGCCACAACGGCTCCGCCTGCAAAAAGAATACCCTCGTACAGGAAATATGCACCAGAAGTGATAAAAAAAATGACGTTTTCCGTTTAAGTAATGGATTTTTTTTAAAACTGATAACTTTATTTAATGTATTTGCATAAATATATATCTAGTTTTCATAATTTTGAACTAATAATATTAATGGAGTGAGTTCAAAACTATATTTAAGCTTTTAAAATCGTGAAAATTCCTTAACAAATCCTCAAACTCGCTTTGTTTTTATGAAAAAACCTTTTTACCTAATAGTTGCGAAATTTACGCTCGAATTTAATTTAAGATACGGAGTCTTTCATTTTCTACGGATTAATCTAATCATTATAGTAACGTGTTTATCGAAAGAAACTAATATTTTCGTCAAATTACTCGGTACTAGAAAGCGTATGAGATCGAAAAATGCAATCAGCTTTTTTTCTGTACTTTGCAAGAAATTTACTTAGTTTCATGTCAATGAAAATAAAGTTAAGCATTCACTGACTGAAATAATTTAAGAATTTTACTCGTATTTTACGAGCATAGATCATGATTAACGTTTTTTGTGAAACTCGCATATATTTTTGAAGAAAATGGTGAGTGTAGACATCTACATAAAATCAGATGGGATCAGACTGTTGGAATCATTTTTCTGGGAAGGTTTTCTTTGTTTTTCATGGAAAAAAATTGATTTTCTAATTTTGTGTTGGTTTTATGGCTTATACATCTACTAACAACGCGAAAATTGATTCTTAAATCTGTTCGTTTTAATACTCATAGAGTTCAATCTGAAATAATTGGGAATTTAGTGAGCCAGATTCGGATAAAATCCGGTGCAATCCGAGCTACTGAATTTTTTGATCTGAATCAGTAAAGATGACGTCAGCATAATTCAACACAAATTAATATTTTTGATTACTAGAGTAGTCATGGTTACTGTACTAAAATATTTTACAAATCTGTTGTATTTGTAATAACAAAAATAAATAGAGAATGCATTCATCGTGGATCCAAAATAGCCTGATTGCATGTACATTACAGAGTAAGAGTATGGCAAATTCAATGATTCTTCTTATCTTATACTCATGATTTCATAATTAATTACGTATTTAATATCGAAAAAATTTCGACGTCTATAATTCTTTCAAAAAGTAACTCTTAGACGTGACTAGTTTTAATTTGTTAATGGCTAAATGCTGAGCATGAAGCTGTTAATAAGATAATAATCAAAATTTCAACTGCATATCATATATGATATTTTTTTCTAATATATATTTAATCAATAAAGGTTCATTTAATACATCAAAATTCTCTCAACGATCTTATTTTACATAATTAATTTTCTTTTTATTTGAATGAATATCTAGTGTAATTCTGTTTTTTAATTCTCACTATTAATAAATAGATAAATGATTACAAACTTAATAACTTGAAAATAATTAAAGAGCTATCTACTGCATCTTTGCATACTTTTGCAAACACGCAAAAACAAAAAGAAAACGTAAATCTTCTTCTAGCAGCACAGAATGAAAATCGTGTTGTTCCTGAAAGATTAGATCTACCATCATTTTTCGTGGATTTTGTCGTATTTTTGATAAATCTAACAGAAATCAACGTCATTTCACGAAAGATAAAATAAAACTAAAATATTTTTTCAAATATAAATTATTTTCTTATGAAAAAGTAAAATAAGAGATGAACCTTGTGATTTATATCATTGATTACTATTACATAAATGTCTATACAGTGTATAGAACACTGGTTTACTTAAAACACAAGAAAATATTTTATTGATCTATCAAATAAGCGCATACTCAGTCGTATGAACATTTACTAATTAAGAGAACTTTTATGAAATATGTCATATTGTGATAATTAGATAATTAAAATTGGTATACAGTATATGGATGTTCACTTGTTTAGAAGTTTATTTAATTTCAATTGAAATTATTTCTTGAAGAAAATTTCTCTTAAAATTAAATTATCATTTAAATATTTCTAATTATAATCCACTTTTTATAAAATGATATAACTTAGTGAATTAGTAGTATAATAAAATGAGTTATTTTTTCTAGATTTTAGACATAGATAGAATAGAATGATCAAGTCATTTTCAATCAAGACAAAAAAATTGATTTCATGCAGAAAAATCTCCATAGTAAATATTTAGAGCTATAAATGTGAAGCTGTATGTATTTTGTTACATTTAAATTAACAATCACTTCAATCACATGATAAATGTCAAACGTTCATTCGTTTCCAATAGAAAAAAATATTAGATTATTATCAATTGAAATCAAAAGTAAATCATGCGAATAATGATTCACTACTAACCAACTTTAACAAATAAGAAAAATATGAAAGATTTGTCGAAAAGAATCTTTTATCATTTAAGATTAACAAAGATATGATTGTAAACGTGTGTTTAATGTATCACAAAGAATCAAAAGAGAAAAATGTCCTCTAAAAGATAACAGGGTTACTGTACGCACAGATAAAATGGTATAGCTATAATGTAGTATGCGTGGCTTCTTCGTGAGTCGTGCGTGTTACCCTATCATAGATATAAAACGAAAAAGGAAAAAAAAGAAATCGATAAATGGTGCACAACAGAAATAAAATAGAATAACGAAAGAAGAAAAAAAACCTTCTATTCTTTCCTCTTATTCGCTGATTAAACTAAAACGAACCTTGAGAAATGTCCTTTAGCTGCATATACTATATATATCGTTATATCTATAGTTATATTCGAAACGTTTGTAGAATAAATGTGAAAACTTTCTTTTTTTTTTCTAGATTCGAAAGATGGATTCCTATGATGATATGAACCGCGTTTTAATTACTGATGATGTTGATTCTCAATGTGTTGATATGTTGATAGCTAATGGGTTTTCAGTAGAAAAAGATATTAAGTTAGCTAAACAATCTCAGGAACAATTAATTAAAAAAGTTCAGGTATTAATCTTATTTGTTAACATATAATTTGAAAAATAAATCCAAATATTATAGGAAGTAGATATTTTAATTGTTCGAAGTGCAACGAAAGTAACAAGTGCAGTTATCGAAGGATCACCACGTTTAAAATTAATTGGAAGAGCAGGTACAGGAACAGATAATATTGATACTGAAACAGCAACACGTCATGGAATCTTAGTTATGAAGTTTGTTATTATTAATATTTGTAGAAATACTTTTTTTATCTCCTTTATATTTCTAAAGCACACCTGGTGGAAATACACTTTCAGCCGCGGAGCATACATGTACTTTGATTTGTTCTTTAGCCAGGTTAGATATGAAACAAATTTAAAAAAAAATGGAAAACAATATAAAAAAAGGTTTTGTATTCTCAATAAAGAGCTATTCCAAGTGCTTGCGCTTCGTTAAAATCAGGCGCATGGCATAGATCAGAATTTATGGGTGAAGAATTAAATGGAAAAACTTTAGCTATTGTCGGATTAGGAAAAATTGGACGAGAAGTAGCTAAACGAATGCAATCATTTAACATGAAGGTTATTTATTACATAAAATAATATTTCCTATGATTTATTTTTATTTATTCTTTATTAAAGACAATTGGTTATGATCCATTTATTACTGCTGAGCAATGTTTAACATTTGGTGTCGAATTTTTTGAATTAAAAGATCTTTGGCCATTAGCTGATTATATAACAGTTCATGTTCCATATATGGAAGGAACTCACTGTAAATAATTAAGGAATATTCCAATAGTATCTCTGTGTTTTCCGTTTTTCCTTTCAATAGATTTAATCAATGACGAAGTTTTATCATTATGTAAACGAGGTGTTAAATTAATAAATGTTGCTCGTGGTGGAATAATCGATGAAAATGCTCTTCTTAACGCCCTTAATTCTGGTCAATCTAGTGGTGCAGCTCTGGACGTATTTGAACAAGAACCACCTGCGAATTTAAAACTTATTCAACATCCATTAGTTATTTGTACACCTCATTTAGGTGCAAGTACTCATGAAGCTCAAAAACGTGTTGCTATTGACTTAGCTCAACAGATAATTGATTTTAAACAAGGACATTCATTAATTGGTGTTGTTAATGGATCCGCTGTTACATCACAATTTGCTCAAGGTAATAGAGCTATTTTATTACTTTGTAAACGATTAGGACAAATTATTGGAGCATCATCATCATTAACACCAAGTGAAATCTCACTTTCATTTAATCGTACGTCAAATATTTCATTGAATAAAGAAAAAAGAATTCGATTTTTTTCTTCTGATTAGATACTGTTTCGAATCATTTATTCGAAGCTCTTTCGATTTATTTCTCGTATGGTTATTTACATGAAAAAGGCAATAAACGCGTTAATTTTGTTAATGCTCGACATTTATTTGACGTTAAAGTATGAAAATAATTATATTTCTTCTTTTTTTTTATCGAAAATAATTTCTTTTATTTAGATGGACATGGTTGTTGATAAAAAACAAGAATTAAATAATGTTTTAGTTGTTCGTATTTCTGGTGATAATGAAATAAAAGAATTATCGGGTGTTGTTTCCGGTGAACATTTATGGTTAAATAGTGTTAATCAATGTCGTTTTATTGCTCATGTACCACTTGATGATGAAAATGCTCATGTTTTAGTTCGACCTATAAAAGGATCATTAATAGATTATCTTCTTGACAATACATCACAAATAAATAATCGTATATCAGCTGTTTTTGATACAATCATACCAACAGGAAGAAATATTCAAGATCAACGTTGGTGTGCGATACTCTTATAGGAAAACTTTTTTTTAACCGAAGAAAAGCTGATAAAGACTCAGTTATATTTTTCTTTTGTTACTTTGATTGATTTTAAATTGGCAATTAAAAATGCGATGATCTCTATATCAAATAAATATTTAAAGTGTCAGAAGCAAATTGCAGAATATTGTAACATATTTATGTATACTAGAAAATAATTTTCCATGCAAATATATTTTTTTAGTAATTAGTCAATATAAAAAGAACTTGTTCTATTCGATGATTTATGTACAAAACAATTCTTTGGCGTATTATAAAACTTGTATTTCATTATTTTAAGTTGATGCGACATGTATTTTGTGATAAAAACATGTCGAAAATCTTGAACATTCTCATTTTATTTTCTTTGAAATTACATAATTAGAATTGTTGATGAAACTCAATCAATGAAGTACTAAGGTTCAATATTTCATCCTACACTGGTTTTCGGTCATTTATTGTAAAATATCTTTTTACTGTCACATATATTATTGTAATTTCAATTAGATTCTAAAGTCTTCTATCAAATATACATGAACAAATAATCATTAATTAAGCATGCTCTTTATTCAAAACAATATCTCACCCTAATTCCATCAAAGAATGTATATTCTTGAACATAGAGGTCATAGACAGTAAAATTTAATTAGAATCAAATTGAATCCGCTTTGGGAGCTATTCTTATCTAATATGAATTCATACTATTTCATAGTCACGAGAAGAATATGTATTATTATTATAAGTCACACAATGACAAGTATCTTTTGTACATCTAATCTTTATTTTAAAAACATGTGGTTTCATCGCAAAATACTGTTTAACATAAGATCATGAGAATTATACTTTTAGTATACGTTCAACTATAATCCAACCATATCCATACTGTCGATTTTGATAACGTATTTTATACTTTTTATTGAATTCATCATAGGAAATTAAGGTCGCGTCATACAGTTATATAGAATAATAAACGACTATAGTAAAACACACGAGATTCTAGTATTACCTTTCCGTCATCATATACGACCTTGACGTCATCATTTATATGCAAATGTTGTGTGTTGCCTACAACCCTAAAAATACAAAAGCAAGTGAATTACATAAACATTAAAATGAACAACAACCATTGCACTGCGTGCCATTATAGAAAACGTGAACAATCTACCTACCTCTCATTATTGTAGATTGCACATACTTTTCTAAAAACGATTCGTAAAGTTCTCAGTTCAGGTGCATTTACATCGATTATGAGTCCTGTTTGTTCGAGGAATTTGTTTAGATCATAATTTTGATCAGTCACATGTTCTTTAGCGTAACATTTTATCTCTTGATTAGCTACAATGAAATACTGCATTGGAAATTATTTTGATACGTAAATATTTGATCAGTTCAACTGTCGTTATACCGAATTTGTTGGCTACTAATTTTATTGCATATGATAAAAATGTATTTGTCAGGTCCCATCGTTGGATTGGAATATCAATATCATATATTTCTTCAAGAAGACGCGCCGACAATTTTGTCTTATGTAATAATTCAAGTAACATTGTAATGGCACTTTGAATAATTCACGAATAAAGAGTTGTCTATCGTTACGTATTAGACGGTTTTGCAACTTTTTTAGACTTTCCCTCGTAAAATTGTTTTCCTCCTTTCCTTAGGCAATCTCTTCTTTGAGATGAAAAAGTTCGTTCTAGTAGCAAAAAAAATCAAGATGTGTTTAGAAAAAAGTACGTTTACATCTATTTGAAGCCAACGAGTTGCGATTTCATCGAGTAAACTATTAGCCTCTATCATTAAATTATGAAGGCATATCTCCACCTGACGAGGACATAAATCTTCCAATCACGTTGACATTTTTTCATTGCCTCGTTTGCATGTTCTCGAAAATTTTCTATTGACTTATCGGATTGAAACTGGTTGCCGTGAGAACCGAAGACAAATGTCGCGATATAATTTCTCACGCCGAACAGTCCGGCCTGGAAACGGCCGGTTTCGGGTAGTTCCGTTGGTTTTATGGAAGCAGTATTCCGGTTAGAAAATTTTCGGATTTTTTCCGATCAATTTCTGCCGGAAAGCACCGGAACATAGCAGGAATTTGCCGGAAAAGTCTGGCCGTATTTTTGACCGGAATACTACTTCCATGTTCCAGCGATTTACCGTGTTTTTCTGCAGGATATGGTGACTTTCCCGCATATTCCCTGGAGTATCCTACGGGATCCGGTGGCCGGAATGTTCGGCCTGGGTTCTCAATAAATGTAAATAATTCGCTCTGGACGTTTTTACCAGGTGCAATATATATTTCTTCACATATTTGTTCCAAGTATTTTATCGTTGATTTACTCATGGTACTAAGTACCTGTTCCAATGGAAATTTTGGTTTTTCAGTCAAGTCGACCATCAGACGAAGAAATTCTCAAACAAGATAGAAAATCAATCTAAAACAAAAGCTAAATCATAATTAATTTTTTGTTGTCTGTTTTTGCCGAATCGGAATAAAAAAAGCAAACATTTATTGCGTCCTGTCCAAGAATCTCTCGGAATAAGGGGAAATAGTGTAAAATGAATACAGGCTATGCCAATGTGATAATGGCAGACTAATATAAGATTCAGAATTTGTAAGGTAGTGAAGTTCCATGTTTTAATAATAGTAAAGTCCATTGCTACATCATCATTACTTTCCTGTCGCCTCTATTCGTTTCAGACTATTCTCTTGATTTCGATCGAATCGTAGACAAAGAATAAAACAGGCTATCTAAAGAATTCTGGGTCACTTCATACGATCGATTCGTTTCAATAGAGTTGGAGTAGGAGTAAAAAATGACACCGGACTCCGAAATTCGATTTCTACTGTGACGAAGCTAAAGTAGTAGAAGAGGATTAGACAAATATCTGATCGGTGACATAAATGCTCGTTTCAAGCGGGAAAATGTCGTTCAAATCAAAAATGCTTGAAAACTAAACTTACGTTAAACACATTAAATAAATGAACAGTAACAAACATTTGCCGTTTCCCCGACCACGTCACACCATTACAAATGAATTTGCAGTGGATAAATGAAATATTCAATTGGAAAAATGCTTTGGATAAACGAGATATCGTTTTTCCTATAGGAGAAAAGTGCTTCAGTTTAAGATCGGAAGTGAGGATAGATATATGTGGCAAGTGGCTTTGGAATTTGGTTGAGTTTGGAATAGTTTTTTTTGCTAATTTTTTTAATGGAATTTTTGTTGGCATATTACTTTAGGAAGTTCGTTGTTGAAAATTATTCTTCGCATCGTTTTACGATGAGTTTTGGAATAAATCAACTCTGTCTAGATTTTTTAATCAGTGGGCACATGGTGTCATCGAATTTATTTGAGAAATATTTCTTTTCTATTGTGCTTTCTATAATGTATTATCACTAGCAGTAAAGAAAAAGGAAAATATATTTTTTCGATTAATTATTGTTTTTGGGCATTCCAATCTCAACTGAAATTCTCATGTTAACTGTGCCATGTATATTCGCTAGCAGAAAAATGAGTTGGCAGCTGATAAATGAAATATCATTTTCCTTTCAGAAGAAAAATGTTTTTGTATGTAATTGAAATGAACTTACATTTTTTCGCGATAAGTGAGAAATGATGCTGGAAAGTTTAGTCGGTTAGGTTATAATTTACTTTAGTTAAAAGAAAGATCGGTAAATCTGTATGAGGATGTGGTGTCGAAAATCATTTACGATATGAGGGAAATCTTTCAGAGTTTTGTGATGACCCGTGATGAATGACGAAGACCTGGTAAAAGTTTGTTTTCAAATAATCGTTGGGAAAGAAGAAATGTAAAGAACGAAAATGAAAATGAAAATGAAAACTACTCATATTTGGTGTTTGTAAAGTTGTGTATAGCATCGGGTATGTTGTATATGCACGGATATCTTTTCTGAACAGTGACGACAAAAGTATTTGATAGAAATTTAGTATACACACGCTGACTTGTACTTATATAGCTTGTCTTCGGTTATAGACAGAACGGAAAAAATTCATTTTTGACCTGAACGACACTTTTCCGCTTGAAATGAACATTTATCTCACCGATCGATTTTTTTGTCTACTGCTGTCACTTAGATAGAAGTTTATTCATGAGTATATTGTATAATAAACAAAAATTTGCTAATTTTAACTTAATAAATAAATCTTAAGCAAAAAAGAGTGGCACAAGAAAAAGATTGACATTAACCATTAGTATAAAGAAAAAATAAAATAGACTAATCAAGAACATTCTCTTTATTATAATTATTGAAAGTATCGTCGCCATCTATACATAATTGTTTAGGAGCTGTGCAGGTTGATTCTTTAGAAGATACTGTTGTTGTCGATAACAATGATGATATTAATTCCTTATTAATTCGTTTACTTATATATCCTTTCAGAATATCAAACATTTGATATGAATTAGATGTCACTAAGCTGCAAAAAAGAGTCGGGTTTTTTCGGAGTCGGAGTTGAAAGCGGAATTGAAAAAAAATTTTTTCGGAATCGGGTCGGGCTTAGGAATCAAAAAGTGCGACTCCGCTGATCTCTAAAAGCACTACTGGTAACATGTCTAAAAACTGAGGTGGAATAATGTCGTTTTGTTTTCTTTGAAAATTCATAATAATATGTGACTTTTCTTTTCTAGAGCATTAACTAGAATTTCTTTTTGTCTATACACTGATATCGATCTTATTTTTTAAAAGAAAATAGTATTGTCATTTTCGGTAACAAAGGAAAACACTACTCCTTAAATATAAAGATATGTTCATTGAAAGAAAAGGAACTAAATAGATACGACCTCCATTATAAAATAATTCTAACTGTGAGAAACATTTTTTACAACTTGCCAAATGCCATATATTCTTTTTTTTTAATATATTTCTATCATCTAACTAAACTAGCAAAACGTTATTGAATTCACGAACAATAAAATCAAAGACATTGGTAGTATAATGCAATACTTGGAATATTTTAATATTATTTAGTTAGTTAATCCAATTGATAGAAGCGATAACCGCGTAATCAATAAAAAATTGTGCTTTCCAATTCTGTATCTGTCACATTGAAAAAAAGAGTTAAGAAAGTTGAGTTCTGCCTAGACTTTCTAGTTTATCTTAAGATAAAATATGTTCAACATATAAATATATTACTTATGCTGAAATTATTTGATTGAATGAACACATATACACAATTTCATATTTTAGAACAACATAGAAAAAAATGCAACGATATTATCTATATTGTCAGTCATGTCCTTTTCGTTTTATTTATTTATTTCATTATTTGATATTTTTGAAGTTGAGAACATTACCACGTTTTTTATTATTGTTTTTGATATTCGGTATAGTTTATGTATTTTTTCATTAAAAATGAACGATAAATTTCAAAGACAGAATATCTTCATTCTTTTTAAGCTCGATTTTTATTAAAGAGACATTTGTCTATAAAGAAGAGAAAAAAAAGAAATCTATGATTAAGTATTGTCTCGAAGTATACGATTATTGAGAAGATTTTGCCTGGAATCTTTTTCCTTCATTAATTTTTCTTCACTTAATTTTGGCCAACATAGATGCCGATTGAAAAATACAACACATTTCGTGGAAATTCCTTTATATTAAAATAATAGTTAATTAAAGGTTTTGAACAAAAACAAAAAATTTGTACAGACTTTGTCGATTCAATGTGCACGAAGATGTGTCGATGCAAGGCTCAGTGAAATATCGTTTACCGATTCTAAGAAATGTGTGATATCGTCCAAGTTTTGGAATGTGATAAGATGGAGAGACAAGTGGAATCGATATAAGTAGAACAAGAATAAGAAGAAACATTTTGTAGTATTAGTGATTCTAGGACGCATTCATTGATGCTTCTGCTAGAATCATATATAGTCAATTATTTCGGAGCGCGAATCACACGACTAATCAGGTTTTAGAGAGAAAGAGACAGAGAAAAAGAGATAGAATAATAGGAAACAAGTTTATAGCCGATGAGTCGCTCGATCATGGACGGACAAGTGGGTAGATGACATCATCAGTATGTTATTCTGATCGAATAATCAAAGGATGAGAGAAACACGCATCCTTTTTCATATCCGGCATTGCTTCTTTTTTTTTAGCCTCTAGCACGAGATTGGAACGATCAGATTTATTGATAAAGAAAAAAAGAACACAAAACAGAAATGTATTTATGTCTTAAATCGAACTTGTAATTGTCGACCATGGAATGGAGTTGCATTTAAACTTTGAACTGCCATTTGAGCTTCTTGAAATTGTTCCATGGCGACAAATGCGTATCTAGAGATATAATAAAAAAATAAAAGATTCTAGCTAAAATAAAATACAATACCCTTTGCATAAACCCGTATTAAAATCAATAATAATATCAACACGAAGAACACGTCCAAATGGTTGAAATAAAGCATAGATTTCTTCTTGAGTAGCTCGTTGTCCAATGCCATATATGTAAACAACATGACCACCTTTAGGAGATTCGGGTGGTATAACTTGTTGACCAAATTCACCATAAACAGCTGGCTGAGCACCCGGTGGTCCATATGAAGTTTGCTGAGGTGTTCCATAATATCCAGCATACATATCAGCTTGTTGTTGATAATGATGTGGAAGACCAAATGGATTTCCATATGCTCCATATGAAGATTGTGCTGCAGCAACAGCAGCTGCAACACCATTATTCCATTGACCTTGAAGTTGAGAAGCATTGCGTGCTTGAAAACCAGCTGATTGAGCACCCAATGGATCATAGCGATGACTTCCAAAATTTCTTTGTTGTTTCAATTTATATGAAGTAGTTCCTGATTGATTTGGATTATTTCCATTTGAATTTATAGCTTGACCACCGCCATACGAATTCATTGATGGACGATTTGCTGTTACAGTTGTAGATATTTGATGTTGAGGATAAGATTCATTTCTTTGTTCATTACTTTGTTGCGATGAATATTCTCCTCCTGTGTATTCATTTGTAACGCTTGTTTGCTGTTGGGTTTTGGTCGTACCGTTATCCCTTTAATTAAAAAATTAACATAATTTTTTTTTCTTTCTATTTTCTTTCTTTTTTTTATTATTTGTTAAAAATTTTTATTTTTTATTTTTTTTTTAAAATGAACGAAAGTTTGATTTAAAAAAAAAATAAATAAATAAACGCGATTTGGGAAAAAATGGATTAATCTCACTTTCTCTGATAGTTTCTCTATTTTCTAACTCACATAATTAGGAGCGGCTTTGAAGACTCGCTTAGTCACAGCGAAAGATTTGATAGAATAAAAGAGGAGACAAAAATCTAAAAATAGAGGAAAAAAAGCCCAAAAAAAAAATAAAAAAAAAATTTCTTTACAAAAATGTAAAACAGGGATAATTTTGATTACCCTTTATTAATTTAGTTATTTGAATAGAATCTAGAAAAAGAAAAGTTCAATAATTGTTTTGAAGATTGAAATATGAATTGTTCGTCGTTATTCATAAATACATCACATGTTCATGATCATTAATAAATTTGAAGATTTATCAAATTTAAATGATTTCTATAACATTAAGCAAATAATTTGTTCTTCTTTCATTTCATGTTTTTTATGTTTAATTTCTTAGAAATAAAGCTTTTCATCATCATCCATCCGCCGTTTTCATAAAAAGTAACACTACATAAATAATCATTTCAATGACAAATAAAGTAAATAAACAACTAGGAAATTTGTTTTGCTTTTTGTTTATTAATCATGAATATAAAACACTTCTCATTGTTGGATCAAAGAAAAAATTTGATTAATGAATTTCATTTAATAATACATTGGAGATAAATAATTGACAATCAATGAATCGCATTGGTCATTTTGTATAGAATCATTAAGAACTATTTTTTTCAATCAATTAACTAAACAAATCCAGCCATGTTGATTCATGACAATGTATCGTGTCCTCCGTTTGCCCTTTGTCGCTTGAAAGATGCCGCTACATATCGATTCATTTTCATGGCTCATTCAATATATATATAATTAGAAATGACTATTAAAAATAAAATATTGAAATATAGGCTATTGAGTTTTCTTATGTTTTTGCCAGTACTTTGACAAACTGAAAAAGTGAAGCATTATTTTTATAAGTTGAACGTACTAACAGATAACTTTTACCAAATATTAATCATTCTCATAGTTTTGTGTAGTTTCTCATCCTTTCGCATGTTGAATTGACTTCTTTTGAGTGACATGCTTTTCGGTTTATTAACATTTATTGTTCATTCTTACAATTAATATCACTACTTAATCAGGTTCAACAATGCCACATGGATAGATAATCTAACTATCTCTTGTATATTCTAGTCTATATGAACGTATTGTAATTAATATTTTAATGATTTTAGTATGGGATACTTGCTGAAACTTATTTTATAAGTTAAGCTTTGAATAAGCCATCTCCATTCGAATATTAATGGATATTGATATATTGATAGTTTCCTAACATAGAAACCGATTGGTTAAAATAAATGAATTTTTCGTTTCGTTCATACGAAGTAGTCATCACACGGGAGGAAAAGCGACTCCTGGAATCCTGATACATCATGTCTTTCTTTAGTAAAACTGTTGTAGGAAGTTTTGTTTCGAAATGGTTCTGATGCGGAATACGGGGATCTACACTTAGGACCCCCACTTTGTTGTCTTTCGGCACATTCCTGTCTCAAAGGTGATGGTTAAAAATACATGTGAAGTCATTTGAACAAATTTTAAGATCTAAATTGAAAATATAGTGACAAATGAATATCCAAATACAACTATATTATTTTTAATCGTTCGTATAATAATCGTGAAAATCATTCAATTAATGCGAGTATCAATCTATCCTAGTAGACAAACATATAATTGAATCCTATTCTTTTTCGCACAAAATTGCTTGCCAATGTGCTCAGTGAAATATTCAAAATAAAACTGCATTTTGTAAACTTTGCATCCTAAGAATACAATTGTAAGGTCATTTCATAAGCCTTGAATTCTATCTAGACATTTAGTCAAGAAAATGAAATCTTGATGAAACTGATATTTGGTTTTTTTTCATTATTTCCATCAAGAATAATTTACTAAATATGATAAATAGTTTCATAAATTCAATAATACGTCTCTTCAAATTCAGAACTTAACTTCAATTTGTTAATCTAAATAATATTATTGATTTGCTCTTTAACTTTTGCAAATATTCTAGAATTATTTAATCAATGTAAGTCGAAACTTATAATGAAGAGATAATTGAAGCAAATCTTTATTTATCTACTTTTGTTTCTTAATACTCACTGATCAATTGGTGAAACATGTTGATACAAAATAATGAACAAATATTTGACAATTGAATTCTTTGTTAAATGATTTTGATATAAAGAAAATTTGTAACAAAATGTGAAATGAAAACAATTACTAAAATGATTCTTTCACTTCGTGGTGAAACAAATAATTAATTATCGATTATAAATAATGATATTAAGAAATATTTTCTACGAGATTTATTAGAAAATTTGATGAAAACTGTGATATAAAAAATACTTCTTATGCATTCTATCAAATATGTTCACAAGATCATGATCTTAGTCAAGACATAATCGTTGACATCCTCGCAGTACTCTTTGACTTATTCAACAGCCATGAAGCGACCTCTGCCCGCTTATTAATTTACTGGCTCAAATTATTTATCGACACATGAAAGTAGTCATTTGACAAACACATTCGTTTTACGTTGGATTACATCAATTCTTATTCATTGATTCACTACTCTGTTCGTTTTATCAACAACAGAACTCATGGTGAAACAATCACAAAATGAAATCGACCAAATGGTTCAACGAGCACGAGTAGGTGTAACAATTCTTATGTTTTTTTTCCAAATTCCAATCTTTTAATTTTCAAGCCTACGAATCGCGATTTGGTTCGTCGAGATATTACTCATGGAATTAATTTACCAATAAGTAACTTAGTTTTAAAATTGAAGGAATATTATTATAACGATGGAAATTCAAAAGAATTACTTTGTTTGGATGGTACTGTCGCATGTGAATATAAAGGAAATCGATATTATATTCCAATAGAAATATGGTTTCAACAAGATCATCCAAATGTTCCACCATTAGCTTATGTTAAACCAACATCAGATATGTTTGTTTCAACAGCAAGTCGAGATGTTCAACCAGACGGAACAATTATTATACCGTATATAAAAAATTGGCGTCATGTAATAAAAAAAGAATTTATTTATTTCTCATTAGTTTGTTTTTAAAAAAAATCCTGTTTAATTTCATTTTAGCCAAATAGTGATTTACAGACATTATTAAAGGCAATGTCTGAAGCATTTAGTCAATCACCTCCTGTATATTCAAATTCAAATATGGTTAATCGTCCAACACCATATCCAATAAATCCCCCAGCAATGCCAATGCCGATGCCAATGCCAATGAACAGCGGAGGAAATCCATCATATTCCTATCCATATGGATATCCTCAAACACAGATTCCTCAAGATGTTTATCGAGATTCAGTTCAAACAGCTGTTTTAGATAAAGTTCGAATTCGTTTAGACGAAATAATGCAAATGGGAAAAGCACAAATAGATTCGCTTAAAAAAACTGAACAAGATTTAATTGATGGAGAAAGAAAAATTCAATCATTTATTGTTGATGCACAACAACAACAAAGTCAAGCGCAGGTTTAGATTTATTTTCTCTTTTTCTTGCTTTATTTTTCTCTTTAGACTTATATAACAAATTTACAAACGAAAAGACATGAAATGTTGGAAGCCACACAAAAAATGTCATCGTCATCAGGAAAAGGAAATAATTCTGTGAAAGAAGATGCTCTCATAACTCCTGCACCTGTTTATAAACAGTTAAACATTTTTTTTTATTCATTTCTTTGACATAATTTCTTTCAAAGACTTCTACAAGCTTACGCTGAAGAACATGCAATGCAAGATTTATTATATTATCTTGCTGATGGACTTAAACGAAATTCTATTGGATTAGATACTTATTTAAAAGTTTGTTTCTTCAAAAATATGATCTTTTTCAAAAATTTATTTGTTCATTTTTTAGCATGTTAGAGAACTTTCTCGAAAACAATTTATTTTAAGAGCTACAATGCGCAAATGTAGACAAATTGCTGGCTTACCTTTGAAATAAAGTGCTATTTTTTCTTTTTCCTTAATAAAACAAATGATTTTATTTTTGAATATGCTTATTACTTTTGAGAAAGCAACAATAATAATATGATCATAGATAATTACATATAAAGAAACGATAAACATATTCTGTGCTATTGATTCAGCAATGAGAAAAAAAAATAGATAGATGATTGGTTTCAACTATAAAAAAAGGTAGTAATGAGGGAAGAAAACGAATGATTTTATTTTCAAACAGTAAATGTGTGTGAAGTGACGCGTGCAAACTATATCAAACACATTTTTGTTGTTGTTGATGATATCATTCTACAATAATGTCGGTTACAAGTAGAAATAAAAAAATTGAAACCTTGGCTTGGATAACGGATGATGAAGCTGAATTTTGGACGGTGAATATTTCACGAAAACGTTTCTTCTCTCATCTGTTTTGTCTATTATTGATGATCTTATTTAGAGTACATCACCTATAACAAAGCGTGATACATCTAATCAGTTTTCAACGATAAAAGATATTTCTACTGATGTTTTATCACCTGATGGTCTGTATTTTAAAACTAATAATGAAATAAATACAGAAATGGAAGATCATTTATCATTATTGCACAAACAAACACTTGAAAAACAAGATGAAGAAGTTAAATACGAAGACAATGAAACACCTGTCATATTTCAATCAAAGGAGAGTCTTCAACTGAATAATAATAATAATAATACTGAAAAAAACATGAGTCTCTTCGATCGATTGCTTCATCAATTAACGCGATCATCATCTTCAGAAACAGATTATATTGATGATGAAGTATTTGCAGAGGTCGATGAAAATGAAATAACAGCTGTAGTTAATAATAATAATATTCATCAATCACTCAATGGTGGAAGTAAATTAACAGATAATATTCCATTTATAAATGATATTCGATCCTTTATTGATGAAATAGGCGAAGAAACAAATGTTCTTTTGGGATCCATGGATGAAGAAGCATTAGTTAATCGAAGAAGTCGAAAAGCAAAATCTACATTTTCATCTATTAAAAATAATTAATTATATAATAGTCGAACATTATTTTGATATCTCGATATTTTAAGACTGAATTCTGTTTCATATTAATAAATTATTTTCATATTGGTCAATTTTTTATATTATTATTTATTTTCTAGAAAATATTATTGATCGTCGGTTTCTTTTCATACGAGATGGAAAACTCTTACCTGTGATGCTATTTCGTTCATTTGATCTTGTCAAGAATTCACGTCAGTTCTAATGCTAATATCTAAAGATCTTTTTGAATCAACTGATAAATAGATCGTGTGATTTTTGATTGATTCATGTAACATTGTGTTATGATTTTCAATAGAATGAGTTTATTTCGACAAATGAGGATCTAGTTATCACATTTTGAGTACAGCATTTTCAATAATTTATTAGAATTATACTATGAGAAATGATCAAAAACATTTTATCGTGATTATAAATTGAAAAAGTAGTTCATCACTCCTAAATATGTCCAACAGAATCGAATACGAATCTGACTACTAATAATATATACATGTCGATTATAGCTTTACTGCTTTTTGTTGCTCACATTACGAAACTTCTTTCATTGGAAATATTTTATCACTAAAAATGAAATATCAAAGATGTCAATAACTAACGTTTGCAGTTTTTGCTATGATCATTTATTAGCTAAAGACCATCGAAATATATTTGATCAACCCCATTGGTTAAGAAAAGCATTTTGTTTTTCTTAATTCATTGATTCAATGTCACTACAAATCTTCATATTTATTTATCTCAATAGCTATTGACATAGCATCTTAAGTGCATTCTATATTTTTTGATTGCTTTAGTATATAATAACCTTTTGATTTTCGAACAGCAATTCTTGTAAATATTTTCCTGATCTTTTTTCATTCGATATAACAAAAATTTAATGATCTACACTTTGATTGAATCACATATACGTAGATTGCGTCTACATACGGATGCAGTTCAACATTATCTTAAATTGTTTTTCACTCATCCTTGTTTTGTTATTAAATGAATCTACCAAATGATCTAAAGCGATGAAAGTTTCACATTCATTGTCATTGAGAATTCTTCTTAGTTTGTGAATTTCAATATAGATATATATATTATTGTTTATTACTTACATCTGATATGATTAATATTCCATAACCTACAACAATGTATTTTTTATTTTTCTTAAAATATTCTTCTACTTTCATAAATTTATGTACTCGCAATCAATCATAAGAAATAAGCAATAAAATAAAATAAAAGCAAAATCAATGTGATAATCGTATAGAGTACATCGAATTATACTAGAAACCATAGTATAATTAGAGTCTGACTATGATATGACTTCGAATGAACGAATGAATAAATTTCTGAAAGTGGAACACATATTATTACGGGAGAAAAAGAAGTTTTGATCGCAATTTTTTTTAGATGAGATTTTTTATAATTTCTTATCCGGGCTTGCAAACAATAAATATAACATCTCCTTCACATTTCATATTTTGTTTCCGAAAATGAAACAAATTAATGTATAATCAAGGCAATTCGTGTATTTTTGTGAGGGTGAGAGTAAAGAAGATACTGACAATGACTTTCTCAAGATTTAACTGAACTTTTAAAAATATTTGCTAGTTTATGCGTAAATAGATGCATTTTTGTATATCCTATATTTTGTTGAAAAATAAATAATGTAAATTAATGCTAAGAAAAAAAGGATAAGATAGAATGATTTGTCTTCATTCAAGAATCCATTGTTTCAACCCATTTCATAAAGTAGAAAATATGAATGATAATATTGTTTGATTATTAGATAGCTATAAACTGATTTCGGTTACAAAAATTTTTATGAATGATATTTGAGTTTAATGAGAGAGTCAAAAAGTAGGTGTTTCTTTTCTTGTCTTTGTTTTTACTGAACAACATATTTTGTGTCGTGTGTACTTTTTCTTGTGAAATACATATAAAAATAAATCACAGACTAATGAAAAAGAACGCAGTGAAACATTTATTATCACCATGCTAATATAATAGGATATACTTTAGAAAATCATTTTTTCTTGTGGATTCCTTCTGATTTTGAAAAAATAATTCTTAGCTTCAAGTTTCTGATCTGGCACAACTATTGGTGTCATTTACTTTTTGAGATCATGATAATTGTAAATAAGTATACAATTTTTATTTTTGACATTATTGAAAGATATTAAATTATAAGGTATTATGTTTCATCTATTGTGTATTACAAAGAGAAGTTAACTACGAAAGAACTTTCTTGCCAGACACACAAATAAAACAAGTAACGCGTCGGCTCCATGAGCCTCGCTTAACTCAATCCTGAAAGTGCACGATAGAGGCAATATGATCATACTCTCAAAAACAAAATGATACCGTAGATGGTAGCAGTATAACTAGGATTTGAGGCTCGGATTAGAGTTGCCCGTACGCTTTCTAAAGATAAATAAAGGTAGCGTTATTTTTGTGGAACTCACATATGTTTTCGACGAAAATAGCGAGTGTGCGTTTGATGTCGAGGTTTTCTGANGGATATGGTGTTGGACGATTAACCATATTTGAATTTGAATATACAGGAGGTGATTGACTAAATGCTTCAGACATTGCCTTTAATAATGTCTGTAAATCACTATTTGGCTAAAATGAAATTAAACAGGATTTTTTTTAAAACAAACTAATGAGAAATAAATAAATTCTTTTTTTATTACATGACGCCAATTTTTTATATACGGTATAATAATTGTTCCGTCTGGTTGAACATCTCGACTTGCTGTTGAAACAAACATATCTGATGTTGGTTTAACATAAGCTAATGGTGGAACATTTGGATGATCTTGTTGAAACCATATTTCTATTGGAATATAATATCGATTTCCTTTATATTGACATGTAACAGTTCCATGTAAACAAAGCAAATCCTTTGATGTACCATTATTATAAAAATATGGAGCAATTTTCAACAATAAACTACTTATTGATGAATTAATTCCATGGTTAATATCTCGACGAACCAAGTCGCGATTTGTGGGCTTGAAAATTAAAAGATTGGAATTAAAAATAACGAAAGAATTATAAATACTTACTCGTGCTCGTTGAATCATTTGTTCTATATCATTTGCAGATGGTTTTGCCATATTCATTGTGTTCGGTGATGAAACTGAATTGAATTGTAAATTATTGGAAGTTGCTGTATATCTAATAGACATAGTTAGAAGAAAAAAAGAATAATCATCACCTGAAAAAGTCAAGATGCTATGTGATAAGAACAAAAAAATGAATCAACTTTTACTGGCAATCAAAAACATCAGCAAAAAAGAAAGAATTCGATTAGAATAAAGAACTGGCAAGTATCAAATAAGAAAAGAAAGATGTCAGGAGAAAACGAGGACTACGAAATTGTTTCTTTTATTGTTATTTTTATTTCTTAAAATAAATTGTCAATTAGTAATGGAAGTAAAAAACGAAGACAATAATCGTCGCCTATGAATGGGATTATTTGTTGTAATTGTTGTCGCTACTGTTGTTGTCGTTGTTGTCGTTGATATAATTAAAAATGTATTTGGTTTTGGCATAAGTTGTTTAAGACGAACAAGTTCATCAATTTTATGTGCAAGACGAAGTGTTAATGTAACAAGTAAAATACAAACAACAAGAAGAAATATGGCAACAATTGTTATAATACGAGATAAGAATTTTTTTCTACTTTCACTTATTGTCGAATTTATATTTAGTCGATATGTATGTATTTGGGAAGATGATGGTAATGATAAACGATAATCTGTTTTAGCATTATCATCAGTAGCTGATGAATTTTCTGTTGATTGTCGATCTTCAACCATTGATAATATATAATTATCATAATCATACGTTGTCGAATTACGATCGATTGTTGAATCAGGTCTTTCAGTCATTGAACATCAATTTAGTTAAAATAGGCATCTAAAGATAAAACCTACAAAAAAAGAAAACATAAACTGATAAAGATGTGACATACCCATCTTGAATACTTGTCATCAAATGTATTCTGTTTTTTAGTAGTAGAATTTCTTATTTTCTCTAGAATGTCATCGGGCAGAAGAATTCCGTCAACAAATAGAAGAGGCAACCGAGAAAAGAGAGAAGAAAACTCGGCGTTCTCTTTTCCATAATCGCATGAAAACACCGCTTCACCCGTCTTCTTTTCTTTTTTGCTCTGACGTCAATCTTCTGTTTTTTTCCAGCACCTTGCTTTTCCACTGCAAACGTCTGTTTGACGAACAAAAACAGAAAGAAGAAAAACAACAACAAGATTACGAGTAGTTCGATTGTTGAAAATGATTCTTTCATAATTAATAACTTTCTCTATTTATATAAAAATCTCTTTTTTCTTTATTTTTATTCATTCGTTTTTGTTCATTATAGAACTAGCGAAGATTTCTTCCATAAAATTGATCATATTTTTATTTGGAAATAGTTTTTAAATAATAATTCTTATCTAATCAAATTATGATACAAATATCTATTTAAATAATTTAATGACTTTATCAGATTCAATTCAAATAAATAATACAAAACAAAAACAAAAACAAAAGCAAAGAATTCGAAATGAATAAAATAATGAGATTCACCAATTGAATATTATTGATTGGCTATAATGCCGAAATAATCAAAGGATCTTCTTGTTCTTGACATGGCAAAGTCGATGGAACAGGAGGAGACGGACGAGAAGAAAAATCATTTGGTATTTTATGTCGTCTTATTGTGACAATAAGTAAAATAGTCAAAAGAAAAAATGAAATTGCTTTAATAATAATTGCTGTACCAAATAATGTAGATGGTAGTCGATCTCCATTATATATGAAACATGATCCACGGCGATCACATGTTGCTTGAGACCAAAATAAACATTGATCATCAATTATAATTCCAAAGAGAATCGGTGCAGGAATTTGAGCAAGAATTTTCATAATACAATTTTCTAAGCCTAAACCAAACGATTGAAGTTCATGTTGAACTGAACGTAATATTATTATTAATTGTGGTGTAGCCATTAGCGTTTGAAAAAATGTAACAACAAATAATATTGATAAAAACAAAAATGTTTCAGTAACACATATATTTTGACATGAACCAGAACGAATAGGTCGTCCAATTGGTAAACACGTACAATTTGAATAATCCTGTTTGTTGTTTTAAAACAAAATAGAAAATTTTCGATTCTTACTTTTATAAAATATATTTATATCTTACTGATCCATTAACAAATGTACAACCAGCATGACATGGTGAAAGATATGTTATTTCTTCTTGATAGCATATTGGTTCATATACATGTGAAGAACAATGACATGATTTTGAACAATATGTATCACCTTGATATATTGTTGTTGATTTACATTTTAGAAATAATAATGCAATTAAACCAAACCACGATATTGAACAAGCAATTAAGATCATTTTTATACATTGAAGAATTCCCATATGAAAACGGCGCACTAAATATCCACCTGTAAATGTACCTAGGACAGCTGCTGGCACAACAATCGAGCCGGTTAATATACTGGATAATGATGAAGATAAATTAAATACAGATTCTATATATTTGACCATAAATGTTGTAAATGAGACGACAAGTATCTAAATAGAAATAAAATCTGTTTAAATTGATCGATGTAAATTGTTAAATAAATTACACTTTCTACTGAATTAATTAATACAATTAAAAGATATGTAAAATTCATTAAAAGATCGGTTACACTTGTAAAAATGTCTAGAAGTAGTCTGAAAGTATATATTGATTTTTCTAAAATAGATGAAAATGAACCTTTGATTTTAGATATTCGACACAAAAATGTACATTGAGTTGGATTAGTTATTTTAGGTAGTGTATGACGACGTGTTGCAGCTTGGCCAAGAGCACATATTGAATTCGTTGATTGTGACACATCAATTGATTCTTCTGTTTGATTAATATCTCGTGGTAATTTATCAGGAAATGTACAAAGAAAAAATGATAGAATTGTTAATGAACTTGCTGATACTAGAAATCCAGCCCACCAACGACCAATCCAACGAGGATCATTTGTTGTTATTCCATTTGGAATTTCAGTATGACCAATATTTATCCATTGAGAAAGAAGTGCAGAACCCATTAAAAAACCAAGGACAGGTCCTAATGCAACCATTCCATATAGAATACCTAAAATAACAGCTGATGCCACTCTTTTATCTATTCATTTATTATTCATTTCTTTTCTTCGTCTCCAGCTTCTTATTTTCAAACATAGTGACATTTCAAATAAAAATATATTAATCATGTGGATATTTATTTTCTTTCTACCAATTATCGCTCAATGTCAACATATTGATGAATTAGTTGACAAACTTCGTCATTTAGAATCATTTGTTGAACTTCAAGGAGGAAATTTTCGAATGGGTATTAATGATAGACAAGGGATTAATATGGAATATCCGATCAAGCAAGGACATGTAAAACCATTTAGGTAAAATTCTGTTCTTTTTCTTATCGAACATTACTTGATTTTGTCTGTATTTTAAATGAAGAATATTTCAATATCCGGTAACTGTTGCTGCTTTTCGTCGCTACACTCAAGATAAAACTCGCTATAGAACTCAAGCAGAAATCAATGGGTTTAGTTTTATTTTTGGAAACTCATCAAAGCACTCGATTGTTAATATTTCATCTGAAGTTTGTGTCTTTTCTTTTTTTTCTATATATTTGATAAGAATTGATTGATTTATGCAAATTAAAATATAGGATGAAGGTTTTATTCCTGTTGAAAATATTCGTTGGAATCGTCCTGAAGGTGAATTAACTGATATATCAAATATATTATCGTATCCTGTGACACATGTATCATGGAGTGATGCTCAAGCATATTGTTCATGGAAAGGAATGAGACTTCCAACTGAAATGGAATGGGAATATGCAGCACGTGGTGGATTTGATTCAACTGCTTATCCATGGGGCGATCTGTGGCAATTAAAACGAGTTAATCTATGGCAAGGAGAATTTCCATATGGAAATCAATTACGAGACGGATTTTATCGTTTATCACCTGTTGATGCTTTCCCTCCACAAAATAATTATCAAATTTATGATATTTTAGGCAACACTTGGGAATGGACTTTAACAAAGTATGAAAATCATTCAATTTCTATTCATATATTTTGTGCGCTTTCTGTTTTTTCATTAAGATATCGAGATTATGACAATGTCAATGTTAGTTCTGAACGTTATATAGTAAAAGGTGGTTCGTTTGCTGATACACGTGATGGCGATACTAAAAAAGATCATATTCAAGTGAGAACAAGTGCAAGAAAAGGTTTTCGTCCTGATTATACAGCAGAAAATCTATCGTTTCGTTGTGCACAATCAATGGATTCAAATAGAAAATTAAATAAAGATTATGAAGTTATTCGACTTCGTCCACCGGTTCATCATCATTCGAATGAACCTCATGAGCATATCTATCACAAAGATGAACTTTAAAAAAGAAAGACAATAAAACCCAACAGTGTCAAAGCAAGATTAAAAAGCAGCTATTAATTATGTGGTGTGTTTTTCTTTTTATTTGAATTATCCTACTATTTTACCTCAATTAATTTGTTTTTGACCTATTTAAACAGAAAAAAGTGTTGTTTTACTTTAAAATAAATTTAATCAAGACAGAAATATTTCGTTTCGTTTTAAAGTATAAAAGAACTTTTAAACTTACTTGTACAAATAGCTTGATCATCTTTATTGAGATGATCAGTTAAAAATGTTATTCCTAATGTATAAAATGGACTTGAACCAATCGACATGGTTATCATTGATAGTATAAGAATATAATAAGTCCATGCTGGTTTCGGTGTTACATGTGGATTTGATATTTCGTGATCAATTAAATTTGGTGTTAAATGAGATAAAATTTTAGCTGTCGATAATAATGAACAAAGATCATTTGTATCAATTCTTTCGTCAGTTGAATTCAATTGACAGAAATGTTCATTGGTTTGATTTGATGAATTCGTTGTTGTTTCTTTTTCATAACCATTTATAAAATAAGGTAAAATAAACAAAATATTTCCGATAGCAAATAATACTGCACCAAATGCAACTATTCGCGGTCGATTATTTTGTGAACCAAAATATGATATTAAAGGAATTGAAAAGACACCCATTATATCATAACTACTAAATGCAACACCTAAACGTGAAGTAGAAAATCCATAATAACGTTCTAATGATGAAACTATTGAACCAATATAACCAGATGATATCATTGATTGTGATAAAACTATGAGACATAATAAAATTAAATATGAACGAATTGTCCATAAACGAGAATTCGTTCTAAATAAAACGTATATTAATTAAAAAAAGAGTATTTTTTTTTAATCGATACCTTTTTTCATTTGAATGATTAATATGATTTTCTCTTATTTTCATATCAATCATTTCTCGTTCATTATCATGCATTTTCTAAAAAAAGAGAGATTATCTTTTTATCTGCTTTCGTTTCCTACTATTTCAAATCTCATCATCTGCTGATTATTGTCTACACCAATCTAAATATATATCAAGAGAGGTCATTAATTGTCAATATAATTATTAAATTCTATTTGTGCAGAGAAAATTGTTCAGACCAAAATACTATTTCTTTTACTTCAATAAATTTCACCTATTCGAAATCTCATATTTTTGAGTATTATAAAAATATATAAGATATCTGTAAAGATTATTTACTTCGAAAGTCTCAGTTGTTCGTGCAAATTAACATTAGTTTAACTACTCAACTTCAATGTGTTTTTTGTTATATTGAAGTACAATTAAATTAATTAAGTGCACGAGAAGAAATAAATTAACGATAATATACGTAGATCCAATATGCTATGTTGAATTCAGTAGAATTCTAATAATATCAATACAATCTTGTTAGCTTGTTTTTAATTCAATATCGACACTGTTCCATAATCAAGCTCTACTAAAAGGTTTCTGTTTAATTCTGTTATTGTTTTGAAGGTATATTAATAATTGTGGTAAAGGCATATTTTGCATTGAATTGATATCGAGCATTTCGGAGAAAACCTTGTATTAGATAAAACAACAACAACAAAAACAAAAAACTATCGCTGTTTTATGATAGATACTTTCTAATTTAAAAATTTTTATTGTAAAATCCCAAATTTCATTTCAATTAAATTCGAAAATACAATGTGAGAACGAAAGAGAAAAAGAACAATGAGAAGATAACGTACAAGACTAGAATGAATTTATTTCCGAAGAGCGAAGAGTATAGCAGCTAAAGTAAAAAAACCACAACTCCATGCACCGGATATGACAAATCCTGACCATACTTTAAAATAAGCTAATGTCCATGCTAAATAAAATAAACTAAATATATTTAAATGAAAAATAAGATATGTCATACCTCGAGAAACAATACATCGCATTGCTTCAACGACATGCGTTAATGGAGTAAAATTACTAATAAAACGCATAACGGGTGGCATACCTTCTAATGGCCATATTACACCTAAACAAGAATAAAAATTATAAAAAATGAAAATACATTCGAAAATGGATTAACCTGAAGTTAGTAATATGGGGAAAACACTTCCAAGTGCAACTTCCATAACTTCAACTTCTTGTTCACACATAGCTGATATAAATAAACCTTAACAAAAGAAATATTTTCTTGTCACATTTAGTTTTTCATATTCTCTTACCATAACTCATTCCACAAATGCCTTGAATGAAAATTAATGCCATCGCTAATAAAACAGGTCCTTCAATAGTTACCTTTAAATATAAAGAAAATTAGAAAATAAAAACAAACAAAGAAACGAACTTGAAAAATGACATCAGCAAAAACAACCATTAAAATAATTTGAATAAATTGTATAAAGAATTTGACAATAACATGAGCAAGCATAACTTCAACTGTTGTCACACCAGCAATCCAACTACGTTCTAAAAGACCTTCTTTTTTTTCAACGACAAATATTAATGCTGTTAAACCAATAGCCAAAAAAAATATTATCGATATCATCATTCCTGGTGCAGCAAAATTTAAAAATCTTTGAGCTTTTGATCCATATATCGGACTTTCTATTATAACAGGAGGATCAGCTAATGCTGGATCAATTCGATGATTGGATAAAACATCTTTTAAAAATAATTGAGTACTATGTAATAAGACATTTTGCATGACAAAAGAAACTTGTTGATCTATATGAACAACAACAAAACAAAAATAAATAAAATCATTTTATTCTGAAATTACTTGTCATATCAAGATAAAGATGAATAGATGATGCGTTCAACGTAGCTGAGTCTGTTTTTAATGAAATTAATCTTTAACAAACAAACGAAAAGCAGATCAAGTAAATATAAAAATTAATTTTAAGCTAAAATACTAACTTATTCTGAATTCCTCGCGAAAAATTAAGTCTAATAGCAGCAACACCCCAATAATGGCCTTGTTTAACAGCATCAATAGCTTTATTAAAATCATCAAACGGTGTCTTGAAATAATCAAATGAAATTAATTAAATTCAATAATTAAATTGCTTACAAAATGAATTTGTTCAGGATCAATTTTAGTTAGAAGTGCTAAACTTAGATTTCCTGTTGGAAATCCATTTATTGCTTCACTATTATAGAGTGCCATAGGAATGTGTTGAGGATCACCTGAAAATTCTTATTTTAAAACAAAACAAAACAAAATTAAATCAAACTTACGGCCAATACAAAGACAAAATAGAGAAATTTGTATGAGTGGAATTAAAAATTGAAAAATTAAAAACCTAAAATGAATTTCAAATCACATGAAAAAGAAATAGAAGAAAAATGTTTACCCAATATTTCTTTTAATCACTGTTAAATCTTTGACCATCAATGCATAAATCTTATGCATATGTGGACAAATACAACAATCTACGGCAGCACGTTTTGCACGTAATACAGCTTGAAAAATAAAAGATTTTATTAATTATGGAATAAATTTTTTTAATCAAGAAAAAATCTATCTTTATTCAATACGTATATATTTATATCAGTATAAAACTATACATACAACCGATGCATCACTGTATCCTTACGATTCATTTAGTTTTTCTTATTAAACTTACGATTTTTTACTAGTTCTTTTTTACGAATTTCTGAATGAGGAGTTTCTCCATTAGTGACATCAAGTGGAGGTAAATTTTCATTATCAGCACTAACAGCATTTTCAATTTTATCATCTTGAATAATACTATGAGTTGAATTTTGGAGAACACTTTTTTGATCTTCAACACATAGAAAAAGAAAAACATTTTCTAAACTCTAAAGTATATTTTAAAATTAATTTATAATTATTTGTTTTTCTTGTCTAGGTAATAAACAAACCGTTTGATTATATTTGGTTAATAGACGAGATGGTTCATCTTCAGCTAACATACGACCACTTCGCATAAGACCCACCTAAAGAATATTTTTGTATCAAACTAGAAAATAAGCAATTGATTTACTCGATTAGCTTTTCTTGCTTCTTCAATATAATGAGTTGTTATGATAATTGTTGTTTTACTTGTTTTTGATATGTAAATAAGATGGCTCCAAATTCTAATTCAAAAATAAAAATAAAATAATCAAAAATAAATTCCAAATATAAATACAAACTTTTCTCTTAGTAGTGGATCAAGACCAACAGTTGGCTCATCGAGAAGTAATAATTGTGGTTGTTGAAGTAAAGCACATGCTAATGATACACGACGTTGCTGACCACCACTTTACAAAAGAAAAAAAAATCAAATTTCTATTGAAAATTTTCTTCGTACCTTAATTGACAAATTTTTTTTCCACGTGAAGGTAAATCAAGAAAAGAAAGAAGAAATTCTTCTCGTGACAAAATATCTCCCCTATTCATATTATGAAGATGACCAAAATAATGAAGCATTTCAGATATTGAAAAATCTTTATATAGTGCAGCTTCTTGTGGCATAAAACCAACAGCTCGCCCAGGAATTTGATGACCACGGCTACCAGGTCTCTGCCCAAGTACATTAATCTCTCCACGATTCAATTGTAAACGCCCAACTATACATCTTAATAAAGTTGTTTTGCCACATCCAGATGGACCTAATAGACCATATCTAAATTTGAATTGTTTTCCATTAATAAAATATTAAAAAAATAAAATAGCTTACATAAATCCTGTTGGCACATGAAGAGTAACATCACGTAAAGCTGTCATAGATTTCCACCAATGCCCATAGTTTTTCCATGCACCTTCAACACATACAGCCAGATCTTTTGATTGATCCTTTAGAAAAAAAAAACATTAGTTGTGATTAAATAATTAAAACAAAGAAAAAATTACTTCAGTTTCATTTGAGAGTAAAGCTTGATTACCGGTAGTGGTATTTGCTAATTGTTGTATTTCATCTGACATCGTTTTTGTTGTTGTTTCAATAAATAAAATTTCTTTTCTATCTGACCCAAATTTCAAACATTTTTCTCGTTTTTTTTTAAGCTTACACACCGAAACGTAGCAACAATCTGGAGAAAAAAATAGATGAAATTTTTAATCATTACACCATAACATGTTATTTCATTCACTTCTACTTTGACAACTACGTTTAATAGAAAGAAAAACAAGAATTTTCTTTTACTCTCTCAGCATTCTTAGAATTGAAAATAGCGAAATGATTTGAATAGATTCATTTCATGAGTCACAAAAATTGTTTGGTTTCGCAACATCATTGTTTTTCTATTTACTATATTGATAGATCAAAATATTCCTTGTTTTAAAATACATTGATAAAAGCAAAATCATTGGTTCAATTTAATATCCAATAAAAAGAATTGAGATCGATTTTTTTTATCGAAGTAGAATAAAATCATTAAAAGATGTTATTACAAATGAATTAAGAGGCAAAAAGTAGAATGCATATTCGTCATCGTGGATGGGAACATGTTGTCAAGGCAAAAACAAAACGTTCAACAGCTATTTCTGTTCTACGATAGACACTTCTTCGTCATGTAACTCAATCACTTGATCAAATCAATGATGAAGATACAAAAAAGAATGTTCTTTGGGAAGAGATGCATTGGCTAAATCAATATTGGGCTCAACCTATACCAAAATCGAGTATAGTCCCTAAATATTGGCAAAGACTTTTCATTGTTAAATCACTTAATACTCGGCGTGAGCTTTACGAGTAAGTTAAATAAATAAATAAACAAATAAAATTTCATTTGATTTTTTTCTCGAATTATTCTCTTTAAGATATTTACATGATGAAGAAGCTCGAAGAGAACGTCATCGATTACAAATGGAAAAAAAGAAAAGAATATTTGCTACATTAGATATGAAATATAATCCACAACGATGGCCTAATCTTTATGCATTAGCAGAAGCAGCTCGATTAGGAGATATTTTTGTTATCAATGGAGTTTTTGAATATGCTCATGCGTGTCATTCATATTTTTCATCACTTCTTCAAAGAGTTTTTCGTTGCTTTAAACATATTAATCATTTTCATTCACCAGCTTATATTATAATAAGTGATATTTCGCATAATTTTCAAACATGTCATCATCCACTATCTCATGTACATTCAACTTATTTTCATTCAACAAGAGAATTATATATTGATTTATTTAACATAGTTTGTGTCTATTTGTATCGAACATCGGACTAGGTAGGTACTCGGAAAATTTTAATTCATCAACTTGAAAACATTTGCGAAAATTTTGTACATCTATATTAATGCCTTCGTCTAAATATCACGTGGTTAAAAACGTGGGAACATACAATCGTACTTTATTTTGGTTCAAGTCATGCTTGATACTATCAAGCTAAAAAGTTTTATTTCCACCATATCATCTTAGATCTTTTTATTATCATGTACAACGAAAAAAATATATAATATAAAAAGGTTTAACGACAACGATGAAAGCGAGATTTAGATTTCTCTAGTGCACATATCATATCCTTGACTAATTGCTTATGTTCAAATTGTTCAGGAAAATAAAACTTCTTAGCTTGTTCAATTAATAATAATTGTTCTTTAGGTGTTCTATGACGATAATGAGCAATGCCAGTTCGATCTTTGAGTAAGAATCGAATATCAGTTAGGCTAATACTGATTTCTTTTTGAAGTGGTTCAAGAAATTTTGTTAATGGCGTATACAATTGCTCATCGTCGACTGATTGGCCATGTTCGATCGATTGAAGACGATTATCATCTAGTTCTACCTCTATTTGAGTTAATTTGTTTGTGAATTGATCCCATGAAGAAGTTCCTAATAATCGTAAAAATACAGGTTTAACAAAATATTCAATATATAATGACGAAATTTCATAAGAAATAATTAAAGCATCTTTCATATTTGATTTCTCTTGCATCTTATTCATTTTCTCTTGCATCTCATCCATTTTCTCTTGCATTTGTTTCGACTTCAACCCAGGTCGATCAACCTGAGCCGTAAACGGCCGTATACCTATCATTCACGGTGAAAAACGGCAACCGTATTCTGTAGTCGTTTACTGTTGCCGTAAACGAAGTTATACGATGAAATA